CGCAAAAAACTCTGATCGATTTTTCTCTATTTAGGTCAATGAATCAAGTGATCTTGAACGACATGATTCTGTCGATAGCAAAACAAGTGTTGGTCTATCGGAAAGCGAAAGCGAATCATTAACAGATTCGAACTATTTAACTATCACACCGAATTCTACGTTTCCACCGATTGAGCATTCATTGTCGACTAAAGCTCCATGTGAAGACGATTTCGAAGTGATTAAACTAATCTCGAATGGAGCTTATGGTGCCGTTCACTTAGTCAAACATCGTCAAAGTCAGGAACGATATGCAGTGAAGAAGATTTCCAAGACTCATCTAATCTTACGAAACCAAGTCGAACAAGCTTTTGTCGAACGCGACATCATGACATTTACTGATAATCCATTCGTTGTTGCATTGATATGCACATTCGAAACGAAAAAGCATCTATGTCTTGTGATGGAGTACGTCGAAGGTGGAGATGTTGCTACATTATTAAAAAACATCGGTGGACCTTTGAATATCGACATAGCACGAATGTATTTTGCTGAAACCACACTAGCTGTGGAGTATCTTCATTCCTATGGTATTATTCATCGTGATCTTAAGCCAGATAATCTGCTTATAACAGCTGTTGGCCATATAAAACTAACCGATTTTGGCTTATCGAAAATTGGTTTGATGTCATTAACAACGACTTTTTATGAAAAACATATCGATAAAGAAACGAAAGCATTCAATGATAAGCAAATATGCGGAACACCGTCATACATAGCACCTGAAGTTATTCTTAGAAAAGGTTATGGTAAACCGGTCGATTGGTGGAGTATGGGTATTATTTTATATGAATTTTTAGTTGGTGTACCACCCTTTACGGGTAATACACCTGACGAGTTATTTGTGAATGTTATCAACGGACAAATCGAATGGCCTGACATTCTCGATGAGTCAACGCTTGATTTGTCTTCCTCGACATGTTTCGACTCATCGGAACAAGTCTTTTGTCCCGAAGCGAAGAGTTTAATTGAACAACTTCTTGAACATGATCCATCGCAACGTTTGGGTACATTAGGTGGTGCTTTAGAAATTCGTGCACATCCATTTTGTGCTTGTATTAATTGGAATACTTTATTACGTGAAAAGGCTGACTTCGTACCAGTATTAGAATCACCTGATGATACATCGTATTTCGATACGCGGGAAGATCGTTATCAACACTCAGATGATGATATTTTATCGTCGACAACAAATAAACAAACACAAGTAGCATTACCTGACAATGATTCCGATATATTATTCGCTTCATTTTCATCCGTCTCGCTAAAATACGTCTCGGAACTATCGGGTAATTCGAAACAACGTCATTCAAATAAAACCCAACATCCTCAAGATTCGACAACAACAAACACAACTGCATCGGAGGTCTCATCAACGGATGTATCAAGAACGAATTCATGTTCTGAATGTTTTAATCCTGATAATATTATAAGAATTAATTCACCAAGTGCTTTTCAACCACTTGTTATGTCGCAATCAATGCCACCACAGACAAGAGATAAGGGTAAGTTTCTTTTCTCGTTGGCATCTTTATCCTCATTTGGTTTCATTTCTTCTGCAGTTGAACCGTCGCCCGTTCAGCCAACATTTGGTTCGGATACGTTTGAACCATTGCTTGTCTCATCAGATGATAATTCATCAGAAACACCATCTCATAAGAATAATTCCGTAGCATCAGCTGGCTCCGATAAGCTTCTATCATCGAATATATCACTGTCAAGACAAAACTCTTCCTCATCATCGTCACTTTCATCCTCAATTCCAAATTCTACATTAGCTCCGATAACAAAAAATGTCGAAGAAAAGAAAACAGCTGCAATCACTACCAGTACACCTTCGACAACAACGAAACATTACAAGCAACGTAAAACGTCACTTAGATTACTTGAACAGCAAAATGCGAATGATAGTGGTGATGACAATCAACAACAAAAAGGTAAACCACGCCATCATTACCACCATAAGAAAGTGCGAATACCTCGAGTCCTATCTCCTCTACGTCCAAAACAATCAACAACATCACCAACACCAGCGAATAGTATTCCTATTCCATCAAATACCAAGTCGCAAGACATCCTGCAATCAAATAACTCGTCAACATCATCACAAACTACACCAAAGGCAGCCGTTATCAATGAAACTGAATTTAAGAAATCAGCATCATCAAATTCGTTGATACCAGCACCAACACATAAAGTCATTTCATCTCATCTAACAACAGCAACCACAACGACGTTGACGACCACATCAGTAGCAAACACAAACAGACCAATTAAATACAATAATCAACAACGAAGTTTCCCACGATCTTTATCGAAATCATTTTCATCGTCTTCTTCTTCGTCATCACCGCCGCCACCAGTCTGGTTTAACAATCCAGTAGGTTTTTTTTCTTCTTTGTTTGCAAGTAAATTTCATTTATTTGCTTAGGATGATCGTTCTTATCGTCATACACAGCGTCATAACATGGCTGTCTCGCCTCTCGAACGTGATACAACTCTCCGAGCTCATCAACAAAATTCATTTTCATCATCAACAATATCACCTGTACACTCATTAACACACAATCTTCGACCACCGATCATCATTCGTCGTGGTCCCCGAAGTTTTGGCTTTACACTACGTGCTGTTAAAGTCTTTCATGGTAACACCGACTATTATACAACGCAACATGTTGTCGTCGCTGTTGAAGGCCCAGCTGAAGAAGCTGGCCTAAGGCCGAATGATGTTATTACTCATGTGAATGAACGCCCTGTTGCTGGTCTTCTACATCCTGAAGTTGTGAAGTTAATTTTAAGTGGTTCACCGAAATTGTCTATCCGAGCAATTCCTTGTTCAGAAACTCAGATACGTACTGGTGGACGACGTCGTTCACCTTCAAAACAGAAGATTCGCTATCAACAACAACACTATTACGATAACAAGAAAACTCAAACGAGCAATTCATATCATCAACCATATTGCCTAAAATATCGAACGAACTCGTCAGGAAACTCTTCCAGTATTAATTCAAATAATAGTAATGGAAATAATGCAGCAACTAATCTAAATAAGAAGCATCCGCAAAACAATTCACTCTTTCGACGTTTGAGTGAAAGAAAAGTAGCGCGAGATATGGAAGCAGCAGCGGTCGCTGCTGGCCTCCCATTAACCATTCCAACAACGTTTATAACCAATACCAATCTAGCACATACATTAACAACGACAAACACATCTATACTCTCGTCATCGTTACCATTACTTTTGTTTAATAATCAATCGATCCATGAGCATAACAACGAACGATCTGCATCAGTAAATTATCATCAACCTCGTCCCAACATACTTGATTCATCCGAATGGCCACCACTTCAGGCACCGCTCAAACCACCGACACCGACTGGCACTGAACCAGACTCTCCTCAACCCACACTATTACCATTAATTGCAAGGCAGAAATCACAGGTATGCTTGGGCAGACTAACGATCTCTCTGTGTATCAACGAATGTTTACTTTTCTTTTGTCTTTTCCTAATTTGAGATATCTGTTTCGCCTTTGGCTAAATGTCCTTCATCGGCAACATCATCGAGCACAACAAATTCAAATCTACCGACATCAAATCCATCTGCACATCACTCTCTTTGTAAAACTCTATCTGAACCACCCGTCTTTCCTCATCAGCATAGCCAGATTCAATATCCGGTAAACAATAACGAAAACAACAGCGATAACGCTCAGAGTGATCAGCTCTGAATGTCTGTGTGCCCGCGCTTTGCTTCAATATATAAATGCCATCTTTTAAAATAACAGACAGCCACGCGCTGACGCTTGTGTGTGTTATGTAAATATACATATAACTCTGTGTGGGTTTACTTTTTTTTGTGTTTTGATCAACCAATATTACTATACGCATACAAAATACTCGATTGATACAATGATAATCTAAGGTAACCAACTAACATATGACTACGTTTTATTTTTTATAATTAATTGTGTTTTCTTCAACAAGAGGATTATTGAATCCATGTGTGTGTATATTTTCGTTGTTCTATTCTAGTCTCGACAGAACCGTCATGAACAGAAACCAAGACGAAATCATTGCTATGTACCCATGACAGCAACTCATAAGAAGAAAGTTTTTCATCAGACACCTGTTCATCCATCGCCTTCGATATCTCAACCTCCATTCATTTTGGAAACTAATCTCAATCGAAACGTTCAAGCAAGTCCACATTATCGCGATGTATTCTATCATGATCAATTAACTCGTTCATCTTGAACCGAATCATCAACGAGTTTACCATGGGCTCGAATGCATGTTGATAATTTTTCTTTCACCCCGGTCGTGATCCCTACAACAATTTTTTTTTCTATCGACGAAGATAGGCTTCTTTTAAAATGTACATATTTATATATATATATGTGATGTGAGTGAGTGTGTATATGTATTTAGGCTAGCCTTGTATATACGTTTTTCTTGGTTTTTTTTTCTTCTTTTACATGTGTCTTTCAAGTAAACTGTCTCTTTCTTTGCTCTTATTAAAAACCCTCTAGCCCAATAATTGTGCTGCTTTTATTCTTGTCCACAGGACTTTCTCATACGATTTCGACTATTCTTGTATTTCTTTTGATGATTATGCAGATGAGAAAGACTTTGTTGGTTTTCGAGGCGTGACGTATTATTGTTCAAATCTGATGATGGACATGTACACACACATAAAAAAGCAAACTAAGATGTGCGCTCGTATCTATGTTTACATATTTCTTTCATTCGGTGTTTCTCTTTTTTTCCCCGTTTTTTTGCTTCTTCGACTGTGTACATTATCACCACCATATGTTTTTTGTTCTTTTTTTTCTCGCTTGCACAAACAGATGGATTATTAAAAAAAGCAACAAACAACAAGAACTAAAAGAGTTTCTCTATAACTGATGACAGTGCCATTCGAGAGCTAAACTTTAGTTTCAGATTATTGAAAAGAAATGGTGCGTCTGACACCCATCTTACGATGGAGTGATTATTTTCATATGCCAAAGAGATTTGTTGAACGGATGAAATTCAATGGAACTGTAATTGGTAAAGATTGCCCGGACTTCTCTTTAATCATATGTCTATCATCACCTTCTTTTAGAGGGAAATATGAATGTTATACCACATAAAACAATTAAGTATAACAATCCATGGATATATACGCAGGATCCACCATGGGCGGATCTTGCGCGACGTAATAATGACCCAAGGCAAGGAACCCGACATCCACAATTGATCGAACCTTTGAAGACGTGGGATTTCTTTCGTGGAGATTTGGTATGTTCGATTGTCTCTCTCTCTCTCTCTCTCTCTCTCTCTCTTCGCACGGCATCATTTGAAATCTTTCTCGACAGGTTGAAGTCATGGTTGGAAAAGACAAAGGCAAACAGAGCAATGTTATTGCTTATATTCGTGAAATGAATGCGGTTTTTGTCGGTGGATTAAATCTAGTATGATTATACTTTGTATATGATACAGTTGTTATTCGTTCATTCGTCTTGTAGGAAATTCAACGAGTGAGCGGCGGCGCAATTGCAAGTTCTTCGATTGCTGCCAAAGAAAAACCGTTAATTGCTCCATATCAAGTAAAACTAATCGATCCTTATGATGGGTACGAAACACTGCATATTCAGTCGATATTGTCTTTCTCATATCTGATGGTCATATTTTAGAAAACCGTGTACTATCGAATGGCGATATACAGCTGAAGGTGAACATGTGCGTGTCTCTACTAGATCCGGTCGTATTATTCCTAAGTCACCTGCCTGGGAAGAAACCAATGACTATGCCAAAAAGAAAACATACAAACGTAATAAATATCAATTAGAGAAACATCATTGAACTGCATATTTATTTTATTCTAGCCGGTCCTAATGACACTGTCGATGATGACCTGAAAGCTGTTACATTTGAACCGAAATTGATGACAGTTGCCGAAGAATTAATGCAAGTGAATGGTATTGTAGAAACGAAGAAGCGTGGTCCTGTGTATATCTATTAGTTAAAGATACAAAGAATAAAAACATCTGTTTTGTTATACAATAGATAAATTGATATTCTATATTTCGTTTTCTACTTTGATTTTCAGATTAGGAGAATGATAAGTTCATTCGTATTGCGAGCATCTGTGCTGACGAATACAGTTCGAAATGCCCTTCCTAGTATATTACCAATGCAACCCGTGCGGACTGCTTTTCTTTACGAATCAAAGCATCGTGTGAACATAATGAAACGTATGGCGAACAAAGGAATTCATAACCAATTAGGACGAAAGAAGGGTCAAGTATATCTATGGGAAAAACTGATCAAAGGTGAAGAAGTTGTCGTTGGTACGCAGAATGCAAAATCTTTACGTTGTTTTGTTTCTAACAAAAGTTTTTGATCTGTTTTAGAAGCACCATTCTTTCCATTTACTGAAGCTGCCAAAGCCGCAAGCAAACCGTTTTGTGAAATAAAAGACAAGTACAAACCTCTGAAACCTGTTCGAATACCACGACCGGATCCTTGGCTTGATCGAAAATCATTTAAACATACAAAGAAATTCTAATTGTTGCTTGTATCTATAGAATGTCTTTCAGTAAAACAGATTCTACTAGGAATTTATTCATCTTTAACAGTATGCTTGACACACAGCTCGACTTTTAAATAGATTGTAGACATTGATAAGTAGATACATTGGAATTGCTCCAACTAGACTGCCGAATTGACTTGCTGCTCCAAACCAAAACAATCCACTTTCGCGTGGAAATTCTTGCCGGATCCGGTTGCCAAGAACCAATCTTATATAATAAAACAGTAGATATGCTAGGAAATAACAACTAATGATTAACACAGCACCGCCTGCCGAGTCGTGTAATGGTGGACATGGGCTTAAGGCAGCAACAACAATCACGTACATAGATATACAAGTGGCACAAATAAGCAAAATTGTTAATGTAAAAATGCTCAAGATACTTCGTAAGAAGATACCAAGTAAAACTGATAATGGATTTGATATCGGTAAAATGAGACTGGAAATGTAATACGCTCGTTGAGAGTATGGTAAAACAGCATAAGTGCCAATCGAAGGTAGAATGCCGTATATGATAATACTGGATAGAAATCCGAACGCGAGTAAGATATAATAGTGTTTCTTCGACATATGCAATGATGTTGTTTGACTATCTGGAGTAAGACTTGTTTCAACGGAGAACTCCATTACATTGAAAGTTCGTTGCGTTTTTGAAATGGATGAGAATTCCAGTAAGAGAAAAGCAATCAGGGAAAGAAGGATAATGCCGACGAATGTCCAAAAATAAACTTGAACAGAAAATCGTGGAGAAGAATACTCAGGATATGTCGAATTCTCTCGACAGATTGCTTCCCCGCCTACGCCCTGAATCGATGCTAAAATAGACGGAATCAACGATGTTAAACTTTCGCCAAGATACAATGCATTTAACAATTTCGCATGGTATCGCTTCATATAATCCGCATAAGTTACAGTCGATGTTGTGTCCAATGTGCCGAGTAAAAAAACTAAAATTAAAAAGAATACCGAATGTGGTCGACCAGCAAAATAACTTGTTGTGTTCCAGTGTTGAGCAATTAAAGCGCATGATATGATGCCAACTAGAATTTCTACATAGATAAATATTCGTTCATCAAGACGCTTTTTGAAACGAAGTTTTAATAGAACGATAATCAATGGTCCGATGTTACTCAATGCAATCGCTAAAGTTAAATACGATGGTAAAGACCACCCTTCTGGCGCTTCGTTGACAATCAAAGGAAGTTCAACCCACACACCATTCACATCAAGCCAAGTGGATAGGGCGAAGACAATCAGAAGAAGCGCCGTTAGTGTGAAACTCTTATCACGTAACATACCAGGATGTTTTCAAAGATGTTTCTTTTCTTCTGAAAATAAAAGAAAATAATCGTGATTCGAAAACATCTTTGCACAACTAAAACGAATATGCATTACAGGAGAAATATATATTGCCTCACTTTCCTTAGTGCGCAATGTCACTGATAAAATCTCATTGACATCGTAAAAGATAACAAGAGTATACAATCGAAATTTGAAAAAAGACCTATGCCAGCTCCCTAATCGTTTGCCAAACACCTTTCAAGATACATATCAACGAAATAACATTCAAAAACCAACTGCTATTTGGATAGTCATGTAAGCGAAAAAGAAGCATAGAATGATAAATATTTGTCGACAAAATAACTCGAAAAGATATGTATTTACGTAACATTCTTGTGAAATCAAAGGTCAATTTTTGATAGTCAAGTATGAATTAATCAGAATTGAACCACTAATCCTAAAATGTAAAAATTGAATTGATCATTGGATAGAAGATAGATAATATCTGTTAGAACGCGATGAACACATTCCTCGTGTCGTTATTTATGAAAGTCAAATGTGCAATGAATTCATCTTTATTTAGTGATAGTGTCAAAGAGATGCACTTTGATCTGAGTGGTAAAAGAAGAGAATGCATGGATATGCACTTCAGTAGACAACTGTTTGTGCAGAAATCGATGACTCTTCATGTTGAGTGAACGCATTATATTGTACTTAAATTTGTATTTTCACCGTGTCATTTAATTACGAAAACAGAACGAACATTGAGGACTTCTTATTAGAAATAGTCAACGACAGTTGTCGCTATTCTTCATCAATCCTTTAAAATGTATACATTAACAAAATAACCGCCGTCCAACAGGATGAAGCGAACGAAAACAACCTTCGTTTGAGTTTATTATTTGCTATTTATCTGTCTGCTTTTTGTCTTGTGTTATTTTTTATCTTTACGTTTGTCGAACGCCCATCGTTTTTATGGCTGAAAACAAGCAGCTTCGTCATGTTGTTTTGCTGAAATTCAAAGAAGACACTCCACCAGCAGATATAACTCGTCTGGAAGATGAATTTCGTTCGTTAGCTAAAGTGAAAGTCTCCGCAGTTAAACAATATGAATGGGGTACCAATGTCAGTAAAGAAAACCTTGATCGAGGTTATACGCATTGTTTTCTATTGACGTTTGCCAATGAACAAGACCGAGATACATATCTTCATCATGCAGATCATATGGCTTTCGTCGAACTTTTGAAACCACATATGAGTGAAGCAACTGTGATTGACTATTGGGCACATCATTAACTCAATTGTATGCTTTTATCGATATTGTGACAAGAAGAAATCTATAAACTAACCGAGCATTTTTCATATCACTTAATAAATTGCGATAATTACTTAAAACGATGTTGAGAATATCTATCAAAGAATAGAATGCTTTAGAGGACTCTAGTAGACAGATTGGATACTTGAACGAAGGTTTTTCATTGGTTTTTCTCTTACGCGAGTAATAAGTAAAGGAACAGAGGACGACAGGACGTGAAATCGCGAAAAGAGAAGAGTTTATTGAGAACGTTTTGTAACTTGAATAGTAGTTATAAGTGAATGTACAACTTGTGGCGTGCTCGAAAGTACGATTCATTCACGAATATACAAAAACATTTTTTCATTTTAGTGTTTCTCTAATTCGTCTGGCTGTGAGAATGGCTCAACAAGAACAGCAACGTTTTGCTAATCGATTAGCAAACGAAAAATCTTCTTATCTTCAACAACATGCTCATAATCCAGTGAACTGGTGAAATATTTCAACTATCGTCGTTTTTGTTCGATATTCATACGTGTTTTTCAGGTATCCGTGGTGTAAAGACGCATTTGAAAAGTCGCGTCAAGAAAACAAACCAATATTTCTTTCCAGTAAAGCAAATTATACCATTAATTACTGGTGAATACTCGTTTTTTTCTTTCAGTTGGATATAGCACATGCCATTGGTGTCATGTCATGGAACACGAATCGTTCGAAAACGCCGAAATTGCTAAAATTCTCAATGATCATTACATTTCAATCAAAGTTGATCGAGAAGAACGACCGGATGTCGATCGGGTCTACATGACATATCTTCAAGTAAGCAGTACTGGTTCGTTTCAAATCTTTTTAGTTTTTATTTACGAAGAGGCAACAAAAGGTGGTGGTGGTGGTTGGCCATTATCAGTCTGGCTCACTCCACAATTGCAACCTTTCTTCTCCGGCACTTATTTTCCACCAACAAGTGAACATCAATACGGTCGTCCAGGTTTCAAAGAAATCTTACTGAAATTAAACGAAGCATGGCGAACAAAATCAAAGGATATTATCGATGGAAGTAAAGATGCAATACAACAATTAACAACTGCGATGGAAAAACAGTCTGCTAGTTCAGAGAACAACTCTGATGTTATCACCAATACGAGTATACAGACGTGTTTCGCATACTTTGCTAATGATTTCGATGATGATCATGGCGGATTTGGTACAAGTCCAAAGTTTCCACAACCTGGTATGTTAAAATCAGATATTTTGTGTAAATTCTCAGATATTCTTTGTAGTTAACTTTAACTTTTTATTAACGCATGCCGTCGTAAGTCATCAATCGAAAGGAAAACCTGATACAGCTAAACTAGCTATCGATATGACACAATTGACATTGAAGAAAATGGCTCTCGGTAAACGGCCTCCATCTGATTATTAGAACTAGAAACGATCATTAATTCGTCTCTAGGCGGCATCAATGATCAATTAGGGAAAGGTTTCCATCGATATTCAACTGATAAGCGATGGCATGTGCCACATTTTGAAAAGATGCTATATGATCAAGGACAAATCGCTGTGGCATTAGCAGATACATATGCAGTAGGTTAATCTGCGACTGGGGAAAATGTGACTGAGATTTGTTTTTGTGTTGAAGATTACTAAAGATGAACTTATCGGTGAAACACTGCGAGATTTAATTTCGTATGTTCAACGTGATCTATGTCATAGTCAACATGGAGGTTTCTATTGCGCCGAAGATGCGGATTCATTGCCAACAAAAGTTGATAAAAGGAAAAAAGAAGGTTGGAAGAGACACTTTCAATGATAAATAACTCGTATTCTATTCAGGTGCTTTTTATGTTTGGAGTTATGATGAACTATATCAGCTATTGCCAGAAAAAAATGCACAAATCTTCAGTTATTACTATCAATGCAAGAAAAATGGTAATGTTGATCCTATGCAAGTAAGATACTAAATATGTCTTCGCGCATCTAAAAAAATCTCTTTTCAAGGACCCGCATGACGAATTGAAAAATCAAAATGTTCTGATTACCGATGGTAATCTCCAAGCTACCGTTGAAAAGTTCCAACTTGCCAATACGAATGAATTGAAAAAGATCTTAGCTGAGTGCCACCAGATTCTTTTAACATACCGAAATGAAAATCGACCACGACCACATCGTGATGAGAAATTTCTCGCATCGTGGAATGGCTTGATGATAAGTGGTTTAGCTCGCGCTGCTTGTGTATTACAAGAACGAAAATATACTCAACTTGCCGAACAAGCTATGAATTTTATTCGCACTCATTTGATCGATCCAGCAACACAAAGACTTCTGCGTGCATGTTATATCGATCAAAAGACGCATGAAATTCAATATACGTAAGAAAATCTGTTCGCATTGTATTTTTCGTTATGTTTGTTTCTCAGAGATTCGAAAGTGAATGGATTCTTAGATGATTATGCTTTTGTTATTCAAGCTTGTATTGATCTATACGAAACGAACTTCGATGAAGAATTATTATTATTCGCATATGATTTACAAAAGCAGCAAGATGAGTTCTTTTGGGATTCAAATAAAAATCGATATTTAAGCACAGATGGCAAAGATATTTCCATTATTTTACGTCTTTCCGAAGGTATTTAATATCAATTCACGTCTTGATCTCTTCTAAAAACGTTTCTCTAGATCATGATGGCGCTGAACCATCACCAAATGCAATAGCATCTCTCAATCTTCTGCGTCTCGGTCATTACCTCGCTGACACCTCACTCCACGATCGTCTTCGACTATTATTCAAATCTTATTCTCGTCAATTGAGTAAAGTGCCAATGACGATGCCAACAATGATCCGTTGTTTTGAAATGTACACACAAGGTATGAATGAAATTGTTATTCAATCATCAAACAGCGAAGAAATCGATCGATACATTCAAACATCCTATCTTCCGAATAAGATCATCATCAATTTAAGTAAGCCAAATCATAAGTTGCTTCAATACAACAAGCACTTAACATCGTTTATGGATGGAACAAATGAACAGACACGTATTTTCCTTTGTAAAAATTTTCAATGTCAATTGCCTGTAACATCTTTTGAAGATTTTAAACAAAAACTAGACCCTTTAATTTTAACATACAAATAAAGACCATACTCTGCTTTAGCTTCCTTTATTATTTATGTATAGATTATCATTAGTGAATTTTTGTCGAACATTCAATCGACGTTTAATGGCGACAAACACGAGTGCTCAAACAGGAGATAAACCTATTCAATTGTATTCATTAGCCACACCAAATGGACAGAAGATTGGTATCGCCCTAGAAGAATTAGGTCTTGAATACGATGCACATCTTATTGATATTAGTAAAGATATACAATACGGTAAAGAAATTGAAAGCAATCGTTTGAAATAACATCGGCTTTTGTAGAGGATTGGTTTAAAAAGTTAAATCCGAATTCGAAGATTCCTGTTCTTGTTGATCGACAGCCACCTGGTGAAGATAAAGAACCGTTGACAATATTTGAAAGTGGAGCCATTCTAATCTATCTCGCCGATAAAACTGGCCAATTTCTTGCTCCTGTGGGAACACGTCAACGCTATGAAACACTCGAATGGCTTATGTGGCAAATGGGCGGCGTTGGTCCAATGTTTGGACAAGCAAATCATTTCCATCGAGCAGCAAAAGAACAGATTGATTACGCCAAAAACCGTTATTTAGATGAAGCAAAACGTCTTCTGAAAGTTCTCGATACACAATTAAATAAAACAGGTTCTTACGTCAGTGGTAATGATTACACTATAGCTGATATGGCTATTTTTCCCTGGGTGCAATTCTTTACCAAGAATTATAAGGAAAAACTCGATGATAACGCTTATCCGAATATTGATCGATGGTTGAAGGTGATCGGTGATCGACCACAGGTTAAAAAAGGCTTGAAAGTTTGTTCGAAAGATGGCTAAACGACTCGATTTTTTTATATTAACATTTATTCAGTAAACTTATTTAAACCCTCACTATCGAACGCAATGTTAACCTTGCATTCGTCTAACGTAACCCAACATCCTTTTAGATATGTCACTTCGTATCGGTCAAAAAGGATTCCTTCAGGATGTGTATCGAACGTACAAGGAAGATACAGTAACAAATAGAGATCAAGCTCAATCGGAACGAGAGGTTGAAAAACGCTTTCGTCAGTTTCTCCATTCACAATCCAGTTTAGGATTAGAGTAATCGATTTAAATCATTCATTTATTCAAAGGAAAATCTTCTTTGTTCATAGAGGTCCACTTCTCAATCGAGACAAACATGTTGCTTATCTACTTAAAAGTCTTCGACACCTGCCTGAGTCTCAACAAGTATTGAATATAGACTAATTTATTGTACAGAAAAAGAATACGAAACTTCTCTGAATATCTAGGCACTCGATGCTAGTCGACCATGGCTCATCTATTGGATTACACAAAGTCTTTATTTACTCGATGAACAACTATCAGATTCATTGATCAATGAGTGTGTTGAATTCCAAGGAATGAACTGTAAAATGACTGATTCTATTTAGTATTTGTGGTTTTTTGACCCGCTGTCAACATCCGGCTGGCGGCTTCGGAGGTATGCTATGTTATTTTATTTAATCGATACGAAATAACATTGAGAGAACTTAATTTCTTATCCAAACATTGAGCATTGTTTATTTAAGAGATGATCGAATGTATACATTTGAGTAATTCTTTTCAGGTGGTCCTGGTCAAATAGCTCACTTAGCTCCGACATATGCTGCTGTAAATGCCCTATGTTTACTACGAAGCGAAAAGGCTTATCAAGTGATTGATCGGTAGATGATTATTATTGGATTGTTTTTCTTCCAAATTAGTTGTGCTTTTTTTTAAGGAAAAAACTGTCCGCATGGCTGAAAACAATCCGTGATCCGTTGAATGGCAGTTTTAGTCTTCATCTTGATGGTGAATCAGATATTCGGTAAGTTAACATTGATCTTCGCACTGGTAATTGATAATTTAAACAATTCAGTGCGACTTATTGTGCAGCGAGTGTCGCAACCCTATGTCAATTAGAAGATCGCAATGAACTCTTTAAAAATACTGCTGAATGGGTAGCAAGGTAAAAATAAAAACCGAGAAATTCGTCAGGAAATATATTATTATGTCATTGAAAGTTGTCAAACGTATGAAGGTGGTTTCGGTGCATGTCCTGGCGCTGAAGCACATGGTGGATATTCATTTTGTGGTTATGCGACACTAATCTTACTTGATCGAGAATCCATATGTGATCGTGAAAGTTTGCTTGTAAGACAATATAAACAAACATTCGAAAGATATCGATTGAGATCGAACTGATAATATTTGTTGCAATAGAGATGGACTGTTAATCGACAGATGACATTTGAAGGCGGCTTTCAAGGCCGTACAAATAAACTTGTCGATGGATGCTACTCATTTTGGGTGGGCGCATTGCTTCCACTTATTGAAAATATCGAACGACGAAAACCCATGCGAAATGATCAAAGTAATTCAAATTCGTTTCATCATCATCAACAAAAAGTTATTTTGTTAATTTAGATGTGAATGATAGACATGATGGACAGCTGTTTAACACGAGTAAGATCGAATGCGTTCTTTGATAATTTGCTGTCTTTTTTAATTTAGTTGCGGCGCAAGAATATGTTCTTCTGTGTAGTCAAGGAAACCAAACGGGTGGTTTTAGTGATCGACCAAAGCTTGATGGACGGTAAAGATTTCTCCTCATTAATCTTTCAACGCAGAAAAGGTTAAAAATTCTCTTTTTTTCGTAGTACTGATCTTTATCATACATGTTACTGTCTAAGCGGACTCAGTCTATTTCAAAATAGTGGTTTAGATCAAACGCCAGTCATCTGTGGAGGTGACGTCAATCGACTAGTAAGATATACATGGAGAGAAAGAAAAAGAAAGGATTAATCCACAAATGATAATCTTCTTTTCTTCTAGCGTAATACGCATCCACTGTTCAACATCGGTCCCGAATGTGCACGAGATGCAATGGCTTACTATTCACAAAAGCAACTCTAGAACGACTCTAATCTCCTCATTTTTTTTTCTTTTTTCCGTCCTCTCTTTCATTGTTAAATAAACATGATTTCATTCGTACATTTGGTTTTCTCTCCCTCTCCCTTTTTTCTTCTCGTAACCACACAAAGACTACATGCGCTGCCAACATGTATGCGCATGTTCTCTCGCCCGTTAGCTATGACGTCGTAGACCCTTGTGAGCACGACGAACACATTCGCCATTCGCATGATCCTTACATACATATATAAGAAGAGAGAGAAGACGTATGCACACACACACATACAATAATGACGATCACATGCCTGCCCGTCAGTTTTGCTCTCTCTCCCTCTTTTGCTTGCGTCGTTCTTTCTTCCTTTCTTTTTTTTTCTTCGACACATTTGCCACATCGCCTAGAATAGCAGCAGTAGCAGCAGTTGTCAAAGTGTGTATGTTCGTGTCGAGAAGAAAATGTAGGATTCGGCAGACATTCTTTTTTCTTTCTTGTCTTTGCAATAAGAAAGACGAAGAGAGAGAGAGAGAAATCAGTGTATACTGATCGACCGTCTTGATTGTTAGCGAGAAAATCTGTAAATACGTGCCATTGTCATGGTCACTATCACTTGATTTCTTATATCTTATGTTCATTTCTTTCTTAATCGTCGACATTATAGGTCTGTTTTTTCCTATGTGAGATAAAAAAAGAGACTAGGGTAACGTCCTTGGTTTGCGTCTTCATTTATTCGTTAGGAAAAGAAACCGCTCGGTTTTTTTTCCTCAACGTATAGCAGAGAAAGGAAAAAATGGTTGATTGTCTAAAAAACAAGTTGTTGTTGTTTTGTTATTGTCGATGTCATATGTGCGCGTTGAAAGGGCAAAACGAATCTCGATACATTGACGACAAGAAACAGTAATAGGCAAATAGGGCAATGGGACAAGAGAAGAAGAAAAAACATATGTGTACCTCCTACCACTCTACTGTATTCCATTTTTTGTTTCTAGATTATTACTCTATTTTCTCTCTCTCTCTTACTTATCTTTAATACCTATCAATGGCTGCTGGCAATGTCCCTTTCAAGTCATCGCCGAAACAGATGAGTGATTCATGGATTGTTATTGATGATCAAGATGAATCGGACTTTGTCGTCATCGAAGATGAACACAGCAAACAGCAGTCTCCTGTCCCCGTGATTCCATCTCCAAAAGTGTCACCTCAATCGAAGCGACCATTGGCACAGAATAATCGTAATAATAAGCCAACGAATATGTGTCAACCATCATCTGGTGTTAAACAGAATAAAAAACGTAAATGGAAGGTGCTCTATTCATTACCATCAACAAGTGTTAAAGCAAATGTTGATGATTCGAATCTTGATTCCTTTGTCATGGATCAACATGCGCAATTATTCGACAAACGTGATTTATTCAGTTCTCAACAACGTATTGTCAAAGTCAAATGATTTATTTTTTTTGCTCCTCTTTTTTCATTTATAATCAATGCCAAAGTTAGATTAGATTTTCTTCTCATCTTTTTTCAAGCCCGATTCTTTTCTAATCTAGTGTTGTATATTAGCAAAATCTATCTTTTTCTCGCTAAACTAATACTTCCTCATTTATATATCCATATATATATATATATATAATATTATTATTTTTGGAGCTTTTTTCCTCGTTTGCTATATGTGTATATTTCTATTGTTCTTATATGTGTCTAGTGTCATTTTTCTTTGTATGACGATCAAAACATGCAGATACGCGTGCGTGAGTGAAGTGAGACAGATTTGGAAAATATCAAGTGGAAATCGTCTCCTTTTTTTGGTACAATGTATGATTTGAATTGAATCTGTAACGAAAAAAAGATCAGAGAGAGAGTGTACATCAATGTGTTTGTTTATCCAAACGTTTTCTTTTTTTCCTATCTTTGTATGTCTTATACGTCTGTTGTCATCGTCTAGAATATTTATGTATATAACAGGAAAAAACACGATGAATAGAGTAAAAGACGAACGAAATGTGAGAACAAGTATAATAATAAAATCGTGTGTTTACAAATCATTTCGCAGAGTTCAACTTTGTATCCTAAATAAATTTCACAATTCAATTATCCTGATAGACATTGTTGTTTTTTCTTTCGATGTACTTAATCGATGTATTAATTTTATTTACTATCAATTTCAGCCGCACTTGAATTCTGTATATCGAGATAAGCTTCTCTTGTTATTGTCTAAACAATGAAGTGCAAAGTCCAGTCAAATATTGACAAAAAACAAGCTAATCACGCTGAATTTGCATTGAAAAGGTAATGGAGTATGAACGAAAAACATCATAGACAACTACGCACATATTCGTTCGATGTGAATCATCTCAAAATAAATATTTTTTCATAATTTGATGAAACATTCCGACGATGAATTATTCCGCAGTCGTAATTTTCAGAACTATTCGCGAAAAAGAATTTCTTCGTAAACAACATTTCATATTCAAACTTATGTACTTGAATGTATATGAATATTCGTTTCATGATTTAGCAAAGACGAATGTAGATGATCGACTTTTAAGCAACGCACGAACGGTTCAGTAACGTGGCCTGATGGTCTAGTGGTATGATTCTCGCTTTGGGTGCGAGAGGTTCCGGGTTCGATCCCCGGTCAGGCCCGTCTCTCTTTTTTTGTATCTTCTTGTGTCACCTACGCTCGTATATCAAATGTTTACATAGATTCGCTGTTCATATGATTTGTCTTTTTGGTTGTAATGATGTCCTTTTCGAATGAAACGATGTGACATTTGCTTACTTGCGAACTATGGCGCGTAAAAATTGAGTTAAATTATGTGTCAGTTGACTGTTCTCTAATGGAAAATTTACCATTACTACCAGGATACCGCTTCTCTGATGTTTCGGTATGTGTTGGAAATGATTTCCTTCGAATTTTTTTTTCATGATTTACATCTAGCAAACGAATTTCATCGTTCCACGTACACTTTCGTTCAAAAATGGACATCGGATTGTTCGTTTGCCGAAATTTGGTATCGGTCAAACATATAAACAAGATATTCAACTGACAGAAGATGAACAGCGATTGTTGACTGATTTCCAACCGGAACTGATTTATGGTCGAGTACGTGTACAGGAACCATCGAAATTCGTACCAGCTATCGTATTCTATGATAAAAAAGTATTTGAATTGAATTCGAGGTCAAGCGAAAGTGTGATTGTGTTCGTAATATCAGATACTTCGATTCTATGGATATTTTAAACAGATAATCTATGAAAATTCATTGGAATCATATCGTATACGATCAGTGATTCTCTGTTATTATCTCGAAGATGATACCATATCGATTTATGAAACGCCTTACAAAAACAGTGCACTCGATCAAGTAGAGAAATATCTTATTGAAAGTTTTTTATCAAAATTGTATTTGAAAAAAAGGGTATGCGAGTTCGTCGTCATCGAATAGTCAAAAATGATCAGAATGAATTCTACAATTGGCGTGATTTGAATCTTGGAGAGAATTTGTTCATCTATGGAACGATCTATCGAATATGTGACTGTGATTCGTTTACAAAAGTAGAGCAATTCATTAATTTTCTTCGAAATACGCAATAAAAGTTAGTTTAGGAGTGGTTGGAAAGTGAAGGTATTGAAGTGAAATGTGCAGAGCTCATACCAGCAGATCCTTATATGATGCAATTGATCGAAAACCAGGGTAATACGGAGAATATAACAAGGAATGGAAAGTCTGAGAAGATCACTGACAAAATTTTGAGATTCTATGCAGTATTTGACACTGAACAATACCAGTGTGATACTGCAAGGAGATTCATAATTCTCGTAAGTGATCTCTTTCTCCAAAAGTGCAGATAAGTCTGAAACTTGTATATCTTTGAAGTTCTACTTGGCCGATGACACAATTGAAATACGGGAGATTCATCATACAAATAATGGGTACGACCCATTACCAATCTATCTTCATCGGCAAACAGTTCCTAAAGATTCACGCTATGTCATCAGTAAGCAATTGTTCAAAAAAGGAATCTGATTTCTATGAGAATCGATATGATGCTTGATAGAATCATTTGTGAATATCTTCCTCGATAAACGTCAACAAAATGAAATATGTTATCTAGAGGCGAAAGATTTCATTCTCAACCAAACAATTAACATTTTCAATCGCTCATTTTTCCTGTATGATTGTGATGCATTCACAAAAACATTCTGTCAATTTGATATCAATCCGAGATCATCCATTAGACCAACAACTTCCTTCCCTCTACTAACATCGTCTCACATGACTTCTGCTGAAAAATTGTTACCAAGAAGAGATTCCGGAAACGATACTTGTCTTTTACGATACGAAGCAATTATGGTAAGGAATACATCACGACAGATGGTAATCGATTGAGTCTTCTCAGGAATCTTCGGATACGAATGGTTGCTGTCGACGATTTGTTATTACTTATCGACTTGCCGATGGTCGTATCTCTGTTTATGAAAGACCACTTGTCGGATATTCGCATTCAACGAAAAAGTTTCTCGAACGTCTTCGTATACCTAAACCAGGTTTGGTTCATACTTTCTACTGTTTTCTATTTAATGTATTCACTGTGTAAACAGATAATTGTTCGGTTTACTACGAGCCAAATGACTTTTACATCGGTGCACATGTGGAATTCTTCAAACATCGTTTCGTTATTGTAAATGCTGATCGTTCGGTATGGAAATTTGTTGAAGAAAATCAACAATTATTTACACCAGATGTGATCGGTTCATTTCGAAAAAATACTCATCTATGGAAAGTAGGAAATCTCAATACGCAGAGTCAAAACGAAACACAAATACATATCGCATAATACTGATTCAAATCGTGTCGGTGTGAATATCAACAAATGTTTCAGAACGATTTTCGTTGTTTTCAAAAACATATCAATCATTTATCGACCACACCTATTTCCTACAATCAAACATGAAAAAAGCTGTTCTCAGTCTTGTTCTCATATCAATTTTCATAAATAGCATAGTCTCCTCACCAACATCTAATGCAGATGCATCATGTGCGCCTTACACCTGTATTGTCGACACATCATTCTGTTTTTGTGGTGTAACACAAACTCCTGAGGATCGTTGCTGTAAAGCTACTTGTACGCCGTGTCCGCCTGACTTTAATGTTAAACCATGGCTTACTATCGATTGGAGTTCATTCACTTTACCTCCAATTCAATTTCCATTACTTCGTCGAGGATGAGTCAAAATCTATTTTCTCTCGGATTGTTTTTGTTTTAATCAAATAAAAATGAATAATCGTCTGAGAGCACAAACAGATGGTTCTTTTTCGAAATATATCTGACTTCTTTTCTCTGATACGTTAGCATTGACTGAGAAAACAAAGATGAAGTGCTTCCTATTATTCATCGCATTTGCTATTGCAACTGTATCATCATCACCGACACCAATTCGTCGCAATAGTCAAACTCCATCATGCAATACTAATTTTTGCATCTACGAACCTGCTTTTTGTCTATGCGGGTTCGAAGAGACGCCAAATGATCCATGTTGCAAGCATAAATGTAGCACTTGTCCAGCCGATTTTGTGCTACCATGGATGAATTTTGAACTTGGTTCATTGAATTTTTTTCCTTTGGAACCAATGAATTTTACCGGATTAAATTTCAATTTACTTGGTCGACGTTAATGCTTCTACTTTTGTCGATTTATTTTTCTGTACTGCAGTGAAATGATAGCAAAAACAAAGAAAACACAGATTATTTGAGCACCACTGTTGTTTTTGTTTTTACGAGTGATTTAATAAAAAGAAGATCGTTAACATATTTGCTGTTTCAAATGAAGATACTCAATAACAAATATTTTCATCACATTTCGAAGGTGTGTAATTGACGCAAAGTCTAGATTGGCTTCGTTATCGTCAGCTCGATGCCACGTGGGCGGAAATGGTGAAGAAATTAAATGAAGAATTGGAACATCTAAGAAATTACATGTTTCAAGAATGAATTCGAGCAGTTATTTCGCGAATGAAACATACTATAGTTTAAAAATGGAATGTGATCATCTTCAATATAGCTGTTCTGTACATTAGGTGAAAAGATAGCACGGCTTTGTCCTCGGTTGTTGTATGAACGCATAAGTTGACTTTCTAATTAAATGAGACGGATTGAGAAGATGAGATTGTATGAACAAAAGAACTCACCGATGTTTCGTAATCGTTGATAGTATTTGCCAGTTGTTCGATCAAAGAAGTTGTGGAATTGAACATCTCTATGCCCGATTAGATCGAGCAGAACAAACATATCCTACAAAGAAAATTCATTGAGAAGAAACTTGATCGAAGAGAAATCTTACAATAGCATCTATTTGATTTAAGTTAGGTTGCCCTTCCACATTTGTATTGTACATTTTTTTTGCTAAATGTCTAATAGAAAGAAAAATGCTTGAATCTTACATAATGATCTCCTGCTCATTTACTTCGAGCCGTATATGGAATCTGTTGAAGTCCAATCACGAACTGCTTCTTCGCCATCGAAAAAGATCAACTGCAAACTGGGAATTCCTTTCTAAAAGAGTGTTTGAACCACGAGAATTGAATCACTGTATCGAGTAGTTTTGCTCACATTTTGTTGTAATTCTTTCAGTTGCGGTTGAAGACTAAGCGCTATGTCCAAAAGCATAGCGCAAGGCACAGCACTGTCTGTTGCACCCACGAAATTCGGAAGTTTCTTGGAATCATGATGACATGCAAGTACCAGACGACGAGGTGCTTTCGGATCAAGTGTAGCAATAATATTAGTAAACTCGACTTGTCCATCCTAAAATAAATGACAATTTTTTCGGAATTTTCTCTTTTTCTTTCTTTTCTTACAGGAGTCATAGCATCAAAAGTATCAAACTCGATATTCCACATATTCGTCGAGCGTAGTTTCGACACAATATGCTGTCTAGCTTGAGCGTTACCAGGTGTACCTGATACACGTGGAATCAATAACGGTTGAAGTAATTTCGAATGAAATTCATCCGAGTTGTCCGACAAAGGTGAAAAACATTTATATTGTTTGGATTCAATCTCTTTCACATTGTGTTTGACCTGAAAGAAAGCAAAGATGAAATTGAACGAAAAACAGCCAACTGATGAGAAGAACAAAAATAATCAAAGAATAACATCAATACCCGTGTAAAATGATCGTGCAAGATGATTATTATCGAGCAGACAATGATTATACTGAATATCAAAAGCAGTGGCGCTCGAAATAACGGATGTTCAGCATTAAACCGACAAAGAGACATATTGATGAATCACTCTGTAGACATTTCTGTTTTGTTTCTAGACAGAGAAACTTACACGTCGAGCTTGAAGTAAATGAGTGTTACAGTATAGAGATAATAATAATAAAACTGAGCGACTATTGAATATTGACATCTGAAACAAGCAAAGAGTTGTGAGATTTTCGATAAATATTGTATAATTATTTGCGTTTGCTTCCATCGATATCATCTATCTCTTTTAGAAGCAGAATGCTTTTGTTTTTTTTTTCAACAGAATCTAATCTCTTCAAAGCGAAGGATTAGATTCTTTTCAGTCAAAAATATTGATTCGATTCGTCCTGTTCTACTTGTCTTTTATTGCTGTCAATAAAATTCAGTTGATTTTTTTTATTCACGTGCTTCATGATTGGTTCGATTTACTGACCAATAGAAAATCTTTGTCTCCTCCATACTTTCAGAGCGATGTCGAAGTCATGTGTTGCTAAAGTATGTTTTACATACTTTTCCATTTGCTCTTATTTTGCAATTCCACTCGAATTAAGCATCGATCAGATTTTCGTCATTAGTGTTCTAGATGATCTAGTCAAACTAATGTCAGCAACCTCGGAAAAATTTCATTTCGTTTTTAGCCATGAACTTGAAGAACAAATTCAAATCAAAATGTAAAAGTCGACTTTCGATTTTCGTTTGTCAAATTCATTTTCTGTAGCTCTTCAATCGATGGCGATCGAACGCAACCACAGCAACAGCAGCAACAATCACCAGTACAACCTACAAACGATATCTTTTTTTCCAATAATCCATCATTTATACGAAATTTAAGTGATGTGAAACGTAGTGAACCTTACGTTCTGTGCCAAGTCTTCTCCGATGGGCAATCACTATGCATACCAGTTCAAACCTCCTATAAATCATTCACTGATAAATGGAAGTAGGGAAACTCGCATGATTGATTCGAATAAATCCTTTTTCTTTCTGTTTTCTTTTCTACTCAGTTGGAATGAATGGTTAACATTACCATTGAGATATTGTGATTTACCGCGTCATGCAATACTCGCATTATCAATTCATGAAATTATTTCTCCTACACAAGTTCGCATTATCGGTAGTACAACTATTTCGTTATTTGATTCGGAAGGGTAAATTCGTTTTGTTCGAGAATATTCTGGAATTGAACAGTATATTTGTAGAGTTTTTCGACAAGGAATTTATGATTTAAAAGTGTGGCCGAACGTTCTTCCGGACGTGAGATTAAAATCGTCAACACCTGGTAAAATCGAACAAACATCAAATGATGAACAAATACTCAGCAATCATACAAATCAAACAATAAAGCCAGTCTCATCAGCACCAGTGATAGCCACAGCTAATCTACAATACAATCGAAAACAGATCACATCTAAACCTTTGAATATCACCTGGAATGATGACAGTGCATATCCAATGTTAGACGAATTAAGTCGAATAGCAAAGGTAGATTTGATCTTGAAATAGGTTTGAAGGATGAAATGTTTGTTTAGTTAATTAAAACTCAATGTGATGGCCATACTATCAACCAGGATTGGCTTGATCAATTAGCACTAGCGAAAGCACGAACGTGTCTCGATAAAGAACGTTCAACCTCGAAATCGATGTTGTTATTAATTGAATTTGCACGAACGACAATCGAAGATAATGAATGCATTGCACTTTATTTTGAACCGGTAAATATTTATTCGCCTATTTTGTCATGGAATTTCTGAAACTTGTTTAGAAATGTGACGATGTATTGAATTATCCTATTGGTTACACAGATCTCGCTGTTTATGATCCTGAAATCGATCTCGTATGACGTTGTTTTGCTTAAATTAGAATTCATCAGAGATTTTCTTTATTAGGAGAATATCGTGGAGAGTAAACATTTAAAATTATCTCGAAGTGCTCGAAAAGCATTGGACAAAGACTTAAAACCAAATTTGGAACAACGTGATAAACTTATGCAAATCTTAGCCTATCCTCCGGGATATTATCTGTCCATCGAAGAGCAAGATCTAGTATGGAAATATCGCTTTTTTCTCTCACAATATAAAAAAGCACTCGCTAAATTTCTCCAATGTGTACATTGGGATAAAGGCGAAGAAGTAAAACAAGCACTTGATCTTTTGCAACAATGGGTTACCATGGATACCGAAGATGCACTCGAACTACTGGGACCAACATATCATGATCCAAAAGTTCGTTCCTATGCTGTTGCAAGATTACGACAAGCATCTGATGAAGTAAAACGATCGCTTTAATCTAATGATTTGGAAAATATAATGATTTTCGCCTAGGATCTTCTCTTATACTTGCTGCAATTAGTACAAGCTCTTCGATACGAACGATATGATTTGATTAATGCAAGTGTTATCGATTCGATTCCAGAAGAACAATCGAGGTTAGCTTTTTCTGCGAATCTTCTTTCAGGAGAAAACAGATTGAAATGCATCTTGTAGTGTGTCAAATGGGCTTTATGAAAACTTTGCCTCGGCCATAGGACAATCGGATTCTACCTCTAGTGAATCAAGCAAATCATCATTACCTGAAGTATAGAAACGATCTTTTATTTGAACTTCAAACTGATTCGAAGGATTTTGACTTTTAAAGGTTGATTTGTCGACATTTCTCATTCAACGTGCATGTGAAAAACCTGTCGTAGCAAATTATTTATTTTGGTTCGTTCATTCTCCTCTATTTCTTTTCATTTGATTGTAAACTCGATTGTTTCAGGTATGCATACGTTGAATGTGAAAACAATAGTTCATCAAAAGACAAAACTACCAGTGAAATGTATCAAGCATTTGTTAATCGACTCCTCTTAACCCTGAAAACCGTTAGTTTCATTTTCAAAGAGAATTAAACTTCATATTGACTCCGTCTATTCAGAAAAATGAACAAACCCAACAAGTTCGTCTTTCAATTGAAGCACAAAAGAAATTTGTCGATAAACTCGTGGAATTAACGAACATTGTCAAACGTGTTCAAGGTTCAGCAAAAGTCAAAGTTTGTAAAAACGAAATCTCAATGATCGATACCAATTCAAACAATTCTTTAGGAAGAAAAATTACGTCATTTGTTATTAGCTGGCGATGAATCGCCAGTGAAGTTTAATTTTCTGAATTTTGATCCTATTCCTCTACCACTTGATCCTGAAGTCCAAATTCGTGGAATCAATCCTGATAAAATTAAAATATTCAAAGTATATCTACGATTTCTCTTCAATGTAATTGAAATGTTCACTTTTTTCTGCTCGATTTAGAGTGCGAAATTGCCATTTCTATTCGTATGTAAAACGACAAATGACGAAGAATACCCAATTATTTTCAAAAATGGAGATGACCTTCGACAAGATCAACTAATTCTGCAAATCATCATGTTGATGGATCGAGTAAGTTCAAAACAAGAGGAATCTTTTATCAATTTCTAAAGCAGACTTCGTGTCTAAGAGATATTTTCCGTCATTTATCTCAACTGATTCAAAACTTTTTTTTAGATTCTTCGGAAAGAAAACATTGACTTGAAATTAACACCTTACAAAGTCTTGTCGACAAGTTTGAAATATGGTAAGTAAAGAAAACACATAGCGAATGTTGTTATATTCGTATCAACAATATGACGGTGTAAACTGATAAGCTATCAAAAAGAAAATGATGATGCGATACTAATTTATGTATTCGAAGGTTTCGTGCAATTTATTGATTCTCAATCGTTACGAAGAGTACTCGAACGTAGTCGTACTATTCGTCAATATCTCCAAAGTAAAGCAATAATTGCGAATAGCGAAGATGTAACTCTCAACGATATCGGAATTCCTCACGAAGTTCTCGATGCTTATGTTAAAAGTTGCGGTTAGTCGAAGCTTTCTTCGAGTTATATATGATTTCGATTTGGATTGCTTTTTCTAGCTGGATACTGTGTTGTTATGTACCTGTTAGGTGTCGGTGATCGACATCTTGATAATTTGTTATTACGTGATTCGGGTCAATTGTTTCATATTGATTTTGGTTTTATTATGGGCCGAGATCCGAAACCATTACCCCAAGCGATGCGTGTTTCGAAAGATATGATGGAAATGCTGGATGATAAACGCTTTCTTGATTTTCTACGGCATTGTTTTACTGCATTTATTATTCTTCGAAAGTAAATATTAGTTTGTTTTGTTATAAAAATGATTCATTGAGTTTTGTCGTTCTATTTAGACATGCAAATGTATTTGCAAATTTATTTTCTTTGATGCTCGATGCAAATATTCCTGACATCGCTTTAGAACGTGATAAAACAGTTAAAAAAGTAAGTGAAAATTGAAGATTGCGTTGAAAATCTCGTTCATCATTTGCTTTAGTTACTCGATAAATTTCGTTTGGATCTCGATGATGAAAAAGCAATTAGTTATTTAAAAGATTTGATTGATTCAAGTATTGGCGCTATTGTCCCTCAAGTCTATGACTATTTTCATAATTTGTTACTCGCTTTTCGATGAGTTAAGCTCATGTTTTTCGTGTGCTTCCAAACGTTTTTCATGTAAAATTATCTAAAAGAAAAATCGAACGAACAATTGTACTCTCCTGTTTTTATTTATGATGATTATCACTATGACTATTTTTGTTGATATTAATTTGTTTTACGTGTGATTTGCCACTTCGTTTTCCTTTGCTGCTTTTTCATACGAAAAGCCAGATATTGAGAAAAATTATTTATTATTTTTCAGATAGATTCACGTCGAGTATAGACAATCATATTCATCAACCATGAAACAAAACGATTTTGTTTCGAAATTCGAGAAGAAGAACAGGTGGAATGATGCAAGTACATGAATATTATGCAAAGAAATGTCAATGAATCATTTCTGTCATATGATCTAAGCTTGATGGCATGTGATATAAGGAGTTTTTCATGAGTGCCATTGACATGTCTCATTCCAGCGTTTTTTTTTTCTTTTAATAAGATGATGTAAATCATACGTGGCACTGTAGTTGAATAGGAAAAAGTATGATTAATTAGAGTGTCACGCAAAACGATTCGCGAAATTGAATAAGGATTGAAAAGTTTTGACGGATGGAAATCGTCTCTCTCGATTTATCTTATATCAATCGATCAGTAGTTCCTCGCAATTAGAAATGCTAAGTTCTCGATGTACATATCGCTTTCTTACTATCTCGATAAGTCAATCGTAGTCAAGCATCTGTTTTTTTCTTTATCATATAATCAACTATCATTATCCACTTATCTCTATAGCATAACTTCGTTCTCAGCTGATGATAATGTAATGATATCACATGCTAATCAAATACCATGTGCTTGGAGATTATCATAGCTAATGACTATGTAAACTTTGCGAAAGAATGAGAGCAAGCGGAGTTATCGTTGATTACTATCTCATTCAAATGTTATTTTGAAATATCAAACAACGAACATATTCATGGCTTATGATTCGACTGCCGATAGTTTCTTTGAGAAAATTTTTTTTTTTAGATTTTCCTTTCTAAAAACGTAGTCTTAACAGAAATGGATTCTTCATACCGACGAATGAAAGATAAATTATTATCAGACACGATACCAGTGAGCGATCAAGATTCACATGAACCAACGATTCGCAAAAGAACATTGACTCGTCCACGAGTACGTATCAATTGACTCAAACGAATAAGCACTCAGCGAATATCCCAGCTAGCTGACCTATATAATCAACTGTATTCACGTTTATTTTCTAGAGTGAACCATCACTTTGCATTGATTCACAATCAAATACATACAGTCGAAGTCTATATCGTCTATCTTACAACGATCTTCGTGATCAAACCGATGATCTAATCGATACAGTTTTCGAAGTTCCAACCAAATGTGTTGAACAAGCGAAAGAAGTGGGTAAACTTGTTGTTCAATACGTCGTCGATCATAGTCATCTTCCACATTGGTTGCTCGACAATGAATTTCTCATCTCCGGACATCGTCCACCAATGCCAAGTTTCAAACAATGTTTTGCATCGATCTTTCGTCTTCATACGGAAACAGTGAACATCTGGACACATTTACTCGGAACTCTATTTTTCATCGTCATTGCTATATACTTCACCACTCGCCCATCGACCGAAGTTCATATGGAAAAGAAATTAATTTTTGGTGCATTCTTCCTGGGTGCTATTATTTGTTTACTATGTTCGACATTATATCATACACTTTACTGCCATTCACCGAAGATTTCCAAGTTTTTCAGCAAGTAAGCGTTCTAGAAAATATTGCAATCATTTGTGTTAAATGGATTATTTGTATTTAGGCTGGATTATTGTGGAATCGCGATCTTGATCATAGGATCAATTGTTCCACTACTTTACTATCAGTTCTATTGTGAATTCGGTACAAAAGTGGCGTATCTAACACTGATTGGAATATTGGGAGCCGGATGTATAGTTATATCAATGTGGGACAGATTCTCTTCGTCGGAATATCGAGTCTATAGAGCTTGTAAGTTGTTTGATAAAATAATAACTTTGTTGCTAGACGGAAATATTGTTCATCATTTATAGTGCTATTTATTACATTCGGTGTGTTCGGTTTTATACCTACATGCCACTACATTATACGTTTTGGCATTAAACATGCTTTTACAAGTATGAGCAATCGATATCACTATCATAATGTGAATAATAAATGTATTTAACTTTTTCAGCCGGCGCTACTCAATATTTATTATTAGTAGCTGCACTTTACGTGACTGGTGCTTGCATTTATGCTGGTAAATTTAGAATTAAACGATCGAGTATTTTACTGTTAAACATCTTTGTTTTTGTGTAGCACGAATTCCCGAACGATTAGCACCCGGTGCTTTCGATATCTGGGTAAGTTTATCAACATCATGGAAAGGTTATTTTAGAATGGTCTTTCTTTTGTTCGATTAGTTTCAAAGTCATCAATTATTCCACATTTTCGTTGTCGCTGCAGCCTGTGTTCACTATTATGGTATTTGCGTGCTATCGTATAACCAAACGAATTATTTTGGTGATTGTCGAAATATCCTTAGCCCAAATACAGCACCTATGGCTGCAATGATGGCGTGAGAAATCGAACAGTGATTCAATGTATCAGTTTGACTTATTTTGCAGTTGAAAACTGGGTACATATTGTAGACTTCCTTTGCCTACTTCCTACCACATGTTCTTCGATTTCTTAGTCATTTTTCTTATACGCAAGCTTGTTTTCTACATTTTTAGTTTCATTAAACAACCAATGTTGTAACGACTCTCCTTAATGTGTCGATAGAGCTGTTTCGTGTTTAGACTTATCAATTTGTGTTTCACTGTTCTATATCAAAGAAATATTCTAATTTCTTTGTTGAAAATACATTCCATGTTTGTTTCTTCACACTTTTATTTCAATCATGAATCATCATGAGTCATACCATCTGTTTCAGATAGTCTTTTTAATATACGGTTTTATCGAAAACTATTCATGACGGACGAAATGGAAAATAGCAAACCTGATTCTACTGAAGCAGATGTTCGACGACGAGTACTTGCTCGTACCCTCGTATGTATAGAATTCATGGATTCTCACATATCAAAATAATTCTTTATTTTTTTAGAGTGAACCAACTAGTGATGGGGATAATCAATCAACGTATGCACGAAGTAAATCTTATCCATCCAAACCGGAATCCAATGATGACAACAATGAATTGATGGACGCGGTCTTTGAAATGCCAACCAAATGTGCTGAACAAGCGAGAGAAGTGGGTAAACTTGTTGTTCAATACGTCGTCGATCATAGTCATCTTCCACATTGGTTGCTCGACAATGAATTTCTCATCTCCGGGCATCGTCCACCAATGCCAAGTTTCAAACAATGTTTCGCATCGATCTTTCGTCTTCATACGGAAACAGTGAACATCTGGACACATTTGCTCGGAACTCTATTTTTCATCATCATTGCCATTTACTTTATTACACGTCCATCATCTGAGGTTCATATTGAAAAGAAACTTACGTTCGGGATATTTTTTCTCGGCGCTATTCTCTGTTTATTGTTCTCAACTTTATACCATACAGTGTATTGTCATTCACCAAAAGTTTCGAAACTCTTCAATAAGTAAGATCTCTTTTTATTATAAGTACTTGTATTTATATGTATGATTGATAGGCTCGATTATTGTGGAATATCAATTTTGATCATTGCATCATTTATTCCATGGATCTATTATGGTTTTTATTGTGAATTTGGAACAAAGATAGCATATTTACTGATTACGATAACATTAGGTACCGGCTGTATAATTGTTTCCATGTGGGACAAATTTTCTGCACCGGAATATCGAACATGTCGAGCACGTATGTTTCTTTTCGATTTTCGATAGAGAACAAACTATTCTTTGCGCTTCTCTCATTTTATTTTCTAGTTCTATTCATTGCTTTTGGTCTATTCGGTTTTGTTCCAACTTGCCACTATGTGTTACTTTTTGGTTTTAAGCATGCGTTTACAAGTATGTGACAAATTTCAACTGATCTCCGTAGAAGTTTCGAAATTTTTTAGCTGGTGCAGCTCAATGGCTAGTCGTCATGGCAGTTTTATACATCACAGGTGCTTCTCTCTATGCAGGTAGCTACTATCCATATATTTCCACTCATGTGTATCCTTTTTATAAAATTAGCACGTATACCTGAACGATTAGCTCCTGGTTACTTTGATATTTGGGTAGGAATAGTTGAACTACTTTCATAGAGTTAACTCCACAAGATGTCGTTTGTTATAGTTTCAAAGTCACCAGATCTTTCATGTTTTCGTTGTTGCTGCAGCCTGTGTTCATTACTATGGTATCTGTGTACTTTCGAAACATCAGTCGGACATCGGAGATTGTCGCAAAGGTGTTCTGCCATCGATTCACAATGCGTTCAATTCTCTATATCAGTAAATTTGAGAAGGACGAGAACACTGAGAACAGTTTTGTTTTGTTTTGTTTTGAGTTGACTTTCATTTGATCTGAGCATTTTCCGCGTTTTCATTTTCTATTATGGCTTTATTTTTTTCCTACTATATTTTGCACATGTTTCACAATCCAGTGTCTTCGAATGTTCGAAAACATTTCTTTTTGCACTGTGATACTGAACGATAGAGGGTCTATCAAATCATCTAAAACTAACGAAAAAATCAGATGATCATTCATTTTTCAATACAATAAGAAGGCACCGATATTTACTTGCAACTACTGGGAAAAATCCCAGATTTTTATGAGATCTAGAGCACTACAAATGCTTCCTAACAGAATTGTCATGATTCTTGTTTCATATTTTTTCGAACTTCTCCTCTGACAGACTGATTCATCAGTTTTCTGCAGCAAATTGCAAATACCGATAACATAGAAAATAATAGTATCTATTTACGTACATACATTGTCCTATTTCAACTCAACAAAATTTCTCTCAGTAAGTGTGACAGCATACGGCCTCTTTCGACCACAAATTATAGCTGTAATGCATTTGCTGGATTAGCCTATGAGAAACTTTCAAAAGAAAAAGAATAGAACAAAACCAAAATTCCCAGTCAGAAAAAAATCTCTTCTCTCAAAAGTATATCAATGTGGCTTTTCTCACTGTTTTATCAGAATGACTTACTTCTGAGAAAGACTTATGGCTTCAGCACAGCAACCAAAAGGTAGGGGCCGCGGTCGTGGAACGGCACAGACCATCATCGCCCCACCAGGCCCTGCAATTGCTACCGATGATTTGCCAAACCTTCCTACTGCAGAGAACACTGCACCATCTCCCTCCTCCCTCGCTGACGACACACTTTCAGCGCCTTCTCAAAAAAGCACAACCGAGACAACAACAACCACAGATACTGGATTTGCTTCTACTTCAAGTAATGTGAATCAACCAACAACAACTTCGTCCACTGTACCACGTGGTCGAGGACGTGGAGGAGATTCAAAACGAAACAACCCACCACCGGACCCCTTCTGGACTGTTACCGATCTCACTCAACAACAATTCGGTACCAATGATCGACCGACGAAACCCGATCAACTCGGCACTCTCGGACAACAAATCGACGTTGCTACCAACTACTTTCCCGTCCTCCACTTTCCGCAAAATGGTCTCGTCTACAAATATCACATTCTCATTCGAAACAAGAAAAATCTCGATATTCACAGAGATCGACGACGGTAAACATACTTCATATTCTGCTTCACTCCCTTCACACCCTTCTTCATCTTTTAGCATCTTCTATCACTCTTGGCTTCTGGCATTCTGTCGACAGCATCCACAGGTGAACAAGAACAAGATCGTCTTCGACAACCAGTCAACGATATTCAGCTTCGATCAGCCACTTCCTGACATCACAGAAAATGTAACATGTCTCATTCAATGTACCCTCTCTCACCTCTTCATTTCTAGACTCCTGCACAAATCATCGACGGCCCTAATCGCTCGAATCGACAAGAACCACACCAAGTCATCGTGCAACGAGTGGGAACACCAGTTGATCTTGCACTAATCCGAAATCTGAATGAGCTCTTCGATCCATCATCACTCACCAATGAGAGAATCGAAGATTTACAAGAGGTGAAGCAGGTGCTGTCAGTGGCACTACACGAACACTGCTCATCGCAAGCATCATTTGTGTTCACTCGTTCGTTCTTCACGCCGAGTACCGACGGATATGGGTGTGAATGGGATCTCGGATTAGGTAAAGCGGCATGGCGTGGGTTCTATTCGTGTCTGGTATTTTCCAAGGGCAAACATCAGTTGCTGATGAATCTAGATGGTGAGTATGCAGATGATGAAGGTGGTGATACTAAATGGTTATGTTGATTGTAGTGAAACATTCAGTTTTCATGAAGAAGCAGCCGTTTTTGGATTTTGTGTGTGAAGTGATGGTGCAAAGTCCTAGCGGAAAAGCAAAATATAGTAGACAAAGAGATGTTCGAATGGCAGATAGTCGTGATGTTTTGCAATGGCTTGATGTAAGAAACCGAAGCTATCGAATTGATGCTGAGTTTTTATTCAAGCATTGTAAACGTAAGTACTTTAATACATGAGCAATGAAAAGAGCGTTTTCATGAATATTTTGGACCAGATCTTCGAGTGCGGTCACAGGCTGCAGACAAGCCAATCAGTTATGAAATAGTGAAATTCGGACGCCCTGCGTCGGAGGAAAACTTTTATTGGAAGCAAGAAAAGCGTGATGTGACAATTGAAGAATATTACAACAAACAATATAATGTCGAATTGCAGTGAGTGCAGAAATAAATGTATTTTCTATGGTTGAGCATATGATAATGCTTCAGGCATCCATCGTTACCGACGTTAGAAATGCGCAATCGATCATTTCTCCCGATGGAACTGGTCGATGTCGAACCTGTGAGGGTGAAAAAAGTGACTGACGAGCAGAGAGCCACGATGTGTCGTGTGTCAACGATGAAACCGATTGAATATGAGAGAACAATCAAAAACATACGTGCCGACCCAAAGAAGCAGTGTTTCGAAGCTGATCCATTCGTGGCTGCATGGCAGATGAATTTAGACGTAAAAATGGTGACAGTGCCAGCTCGTGTTTTGCCGATGCCAGAAGTAGTTTACGGGGATCATCATCGAGTAACTTCGAGGGATGTTAGAGATGTAGGAACTTGGGAGCCTAGGGGAGCTCGCTTTCACACACCATCAGCATTTCCACGTGTATGGGCAATGATCAATCTGTCGAGGATTCGTGGCGATGATTGTAAACAATTCTACATTCAATTGAGTGGAGTTGCACGACAACAAGGCATGCAATGTATCGGGCCTGAACTATACGAAGAGTGCGTAGCTACCACAGATAGTTCATATTCGATTGAGAACGTGGTATATAAGATTAAAGAAATGATGAACAAGAATCCGGACTGCAAGTTTTTCATGGTGATCCTACCGTCAAAAAGTTTGTCGAAACAAAACAAAGAAGCTTATAGAGATCTGAAAAAACTGGTAAATGTCTGCAAAACTAATTAAATAATTCGAGTTACACTGATTTGTTTTAGTGTGAGCTAGACGCGGGTGTTGGGATCGTCACTCAAATGATTGAGGAAAAAAATGCTCGCAAAGGAACAAAGAAGAGTCCTGACGCTTGGGACCTTGCGAAGCTGAGCAATATACTGCTGAAAATCAATACAAAACTAGATGGTATTAATAGTATACTTCAAGTCCCGTAAGTTACATTATATCTGTTTCGATGATGCAAGCGTGTACGAAGGTTTGAGAGAAGGATCGAGAAAAACTAACACGGATAAGAATAAAGCCAACTTTCAAGATGGAAAAGATTGCACATATCTAAATATGCGTTCTCGAAAAACTGCCTACCTTTCTCTTTTTGTTCATAACCAAACATTAAAAAAAACACATTACCCGTATTTGCATTTTACCGAGTCAATCTACGCAAAACTAAACTCATCAATCGGTTAATTTTCGAGACAACTTTTGAATACCACTCATTCTCAGTCATATAAACATTTTCATTATTATGAAACTTTGTTATATTTCATCAAATATTTCGACACTTGTTTATTCTTTCTGCTTTAGGCCAGTCATCGAGCGATTCTTCACGCGTGGTCATCGTATTATGTATGTCGGTGCTGATCTTAGTCATCCTGCTCCCGGTGCCACTATGCAGCCTTCTGTAGTTGCCGTCGTTGCGTCTGCTGATGACATACCCAACCGATACTTCAAAGAAGTCTACCAACAGTTTCGACCACCTCAAACACGAGGCGAAAGTCGAGAACATATCGTCAGTCTCAAGCAGATCATGAAGTCACTCATCTCACAATATGCAAAACNGATCTCGGATTAGGTAAAGCGGCATGGCGTGGGTTCTATTCGTGTCTGGTATTTTCCAAGGGCAAACATCAGTTGCTGATGAATCTAGATGGTGAGTATGCAGATGATGAAGGTGGTGATACTAAATGGTTATGTTGATTGTAGTGAAACATTCAGTTTTCATGAAGAAGCAGCCGTTTTTGGATTTTTTGCGTGAAGTGATGGTGCAAAGTCCTAGCGGAAAAGCAAAATATAGTAGACAAAGAGATGTTCGAATGGCAGATAGTCGTGATGTTTTGCAATGGCTTGATGTAAGAAACCGAAACTATCGAAATGATGCTGAGTTTTTATTGAAGCATTGTAAACGTAAGTGACGTGAGGTTTTGTAAATGAATGAACGCAATGAGTTCCGATGAATGTTTCGAAATAGATCTTCGTGTTCAGTCACAGAATGCTAGTAAACCGCATAATTACGAAATATTGAACTTCGGACTATCTGCATGTGAGCAAAAGTTTTATTGGAAAGCGACGAGAATTGAAGTAACAATTGAAGAATACTATAAAGAAGAATATGAGATCGTGCTGAAGTAAGTATCTGTTGACGAAATGAGTATATTCTTCATTCTCAATCAACGTTAGGTATCCATCGTTACCGACGTTAGAAATGCGCAATGGATCATTTCTCCCGATGGAACTGGTCGATGTCGAACCTGTGAGAGTGAAGAAAGTGACCGACGAGCAGAGAGCCACGATGTGTTGTGTGTCAACGATGAAACCGATTGAATATGAGAGAACAATCAAAAACATACGTGCCGACCCAAAGAAGCAGTGTTTCGAAGCTGATCCATTCGTGGCTGCATGGCAGATGAATGTAGACGTAAAAATGGTGACAATGCGAGCTCGTGTTTTGCCAATGCCAGAAGTAGTTTATAGTGGTATTTATCGAGTGAGATCAGAGGCCACGAGAAAGACGGGCGATTGGGATGTAAGGGGTACGACATTTTACAAGCCAGCTGACTTCCCACAATTGTGGGCAATGATTAATTTAGCTGAAATCAGTGAAGAGATATGCAAAGAGTTCTATAATGATCTGAAGGTAGTCTCGCAGGATCGAGGAATCGATTGTAAACCTCCTGAGATCTATGTTGAGGAGCGAATTAATAGGTTTTCGACTGCCAAAATAATTACTCTATTGAGTGATATAATAGCAAAGAATGACGATTGCAAATTTTTTCTTATTATTTTGCCTGATGACAAAAGGCTGAGAACTATTGTTTACAATTCCATCAAGAAGCAGGTAAGAGCAGTTTTAACGATCCGATGTGTAGACATAATTTAGCCTGCATTTTAGTGCGAGCTAGAACGGGGATTTGGAGTAGTATCGCAAATGCTCTGTGCTGTAACAGTAGTCGGTCGTCATGGGCGGAATCCGGGAAAGATCGATTATTCTAAATTCAATAATATCTTACTCAAAATAAATACGAAACTGAATGGAATAAACCATGTCCTTGAAGTTCCGTGAGTATATACTATTTACATTTAAAAACTCAACTCAGCATCCATTATATGTATATATCTGAACTACGCTTTAGGCCAGTCATCGAGCGATTCTTCACGCGTGGTCATCGTATTATGTATGTCGGTGCTGATCTTAGTCATCCTGCTCCCGGTGCCACTATGCAGCCTTCTGTGGTTGCCGTCGTTGCGTCTGCTGATGACATACCCAACCGATACTTCAAAGAAGTCTACCAACAGTTTCGACCACCTCAAACACGAGGCGAAAGTCGAGAACATATCGTCAGTCTCAAGCAGATCATGAAGTCACTCATCTCACAATATGCAAAACATCGAGGATTTCCACCCAGCGCCATCGTCTTCTATCGTGATGGCATCTCAGAAAGTGAATTCGATTCGGTCTTCGACAAAGAGCTCACGAGCATACGAGAAGCTTGTGTCGAACTGTCACCTGCCTATCGTCCGTACCTGACTTACATTGTTGTCAGCAAACGACATCACACAAAACTGTTTCCATCAAAATCCGACAAGAACGTGCCAGCAGGCACTGTTGTCGATTCGCCTGACATCACCAATTCGACTAAATACGACTTCTATCTGTGTAGTCATCATGGTGCACTCGTAAGTGAACTGTCGATCAGATGAGATGGTGCACGATGTTTGTTGTAGGGAACAAGTCGACCGACACACTATTATGTGTTGTATGACGATAACAAGTTGAAGCCGGACGAAGTGCAGATGCTAACCTATGCTTTATGTTATACATTTGCTCGATGCACCCGTTCGGTGTCGATTCCTGCACCAGTGAAGTATGCTGACTTGTTAGCTATTCGTGCGACACTGTATATCAAGAGTGATGATCAGTCCGATACGTATGTTTGTGATAGTTAGATGATTATCGAATGAACTGAATGTTGATTTTGTATTGTAGTGAATCGGTATCATCTGAGGCTCGTTTACCGGTGAATCAAAGTACAAATGTGGAAGGTGGCTTGAGAAGCGAACGTATCGTCCTGAGTTCTAGGATCGCTCCTGAGTGCCCTTTCTTTCTGTAGAACGAATCGTAGTGTCAAATTTTTTTCTACTTCATGTGCCTGTTTTTTTTTGTGAATAAATATCTCGATATACTATGTATAATAACGAAGACAGCGCTTTTATGCTATACATCACCAATGTGCGCCATTTGAGTTTCATTCAATGCTTGTCACAAAATCTCACTTTGCAGAAACCTCAGGAGGAAGACCGGCTCTTATGAGAACAAAATCAGTGAGAAAAGCTGATTGCGTATTTTGGAAAGATTTACTAATTAGTATGTGACAACGTACGGCCTCTTTCGTGTGTAAGAAGAAACTAGTTTCCTTCGATACGTAAAACAGCCTATCAGCATTGAAGAACAAGAGAGAAGAAAGAAGCAGTTCGTTTTCTCTTCATGAATTGCATCGTTCGCTTAACAAAATTCATGAACATTTACGCATTAAGGTTACTTGTGATTAAATCAATCGAAATTGTCAATGACAGTCAACGGTATACATAGATATTTAACAAACAAGATGCTATAACTTTGAAAATAAATATGTATTCTTTGTTCTAGCTAAACAGTCATGTTATTATTGAACTAAATAAGTTTTCAGTTCGGCTACACAACGACCACGGCAGATTGGTGGAATATTCGACGCAGTTGCTTGTATATCCTCGTCATTCTAAACAATTTCAAACGATCGTAAGTAATCCAACGTTAATTACAACTTATACTCAAATACTTTCAAGTATCTTATGCAATGATTCATTTCATGGAATTATTTACAATTGGAAGAAACTTCAAATTAGATGTTAGATTCTAATTGTAGATTTGACAGGCAGTGAGACTGATGAGATTGCTTTTAAGATCAGTAAAAGGATGATATCTGTTTGCGTAGAAGAAATAATCAATATGAGAATGCGTATAAAGAGGTTTTCTTTTAGATAGAAATATTCATGACAAACGTAATTTCAAAATTTGAAAATTTGCCCAATGAACTTCTTCTCGATATCTTTACCTACTGTCGTCCACGAGATTTATTTATATCTCTATTCAACCTAAATCAACGTTTGAATACGTTGATTAATCTGCAACTATTGGGTGTTGATTTAGGCAATGCATTACCTAAATATTTACTTGATATACACTATCAATCAGTATTATCCAATGCTCGAGAACAGATTATCAGTTTACGATTGTCTGATACGTACAATCGTATGAAACGTTTTGTTACTAACGATGAAGATTTAGGAATTGATTTTGAAACACGCAAAGCTATTCTTCAACGCGTAAGATGTTTAATTTTATGGGATCCAACCATGAATAGTCTTTATGACACTTTACAATATGTTAACAATCTCGAATCTTTTCATTTGACATCCATCGGACGAGCACGACACACACCAAATTACTCCGATAGCCTATTAAAGATTCTTTTTCAAATGAAAACACTCAAACGACTTTACCTCGCATTGCATGATTCGATCATATATGACAATAGCATCAGTAAATGATACATACACCTTTTCTTAGAGATCAAACAGATTCTTTCTAGGTATAAACACATCGATAACTCATCTAGTGTTAAATGGATGTCATATGCAACATTTCGGATCATTACTCCGTCACCTACCAAATATCCAAACCTTGAATATAATGTGCTACAATAGACCAAATCTACTTCCATGGGCGCAGGAGAACTTCGATCATACTCTCTATGATGGTCTTTCTGAACGTATTCCACACTTAACTAACCTGACATTACATGTAACTCATACACCTTTTTTCGAAATTGAAATCCTTCTTCATCAATTACCCAAACTAATCAAATTCTCATTCTCATCACTTCTCATCGAAGAATATTCAAACGGAGCAAACTGGGAACGTATTATCACGAGTTCTCTTCCTGTTTTAAAAAAATTCTCCTTATTCATCAATGAGACGCATGTTCCAATGCGTATCCTAATCGATCTAGAAAAAATGGTCCAATCATTTTCGTCTCTCTTCTGGCATCGTTGGCCGGTGGTTATCGAATACTACAATGAAGGATCTTCCAAACGGCATGTCATGTTATACACATTACCTATGCAGAAAGACAGTGTACGAACATATCTATACGGGGTACAAACATATCCAACTCAGAACAGCGACAATACATATGATCTAGTGTAAAATAGATAAGATTTAAGGGTGAATTTGATTGGATTGATTGTTTGCCTTTAGACAAAATGACGAGAAAAAGAACGATTACAAGAAAGTGTATGAACTACATTTTGTTTTACATCCCAGTCCACCAGCGAATGTTCTTCTACCAAATCGTACCTATACCAATCTGAAATCTTTATCATTTACATCGGAACTAACCGACTCTGGATCGTATGATTCTGATGTGATACTAACTGATCTACAGAAATTATTTTCCTCTTCAACACTTGCAAATATTAAACGCATCTATTTGTACAATCAAATCTATCCGATCAATTTCTGTAAATATCTTTCGAGACTTCACACCGAGAACTTTCTATTTTATTCTAGTTTCGAAATTATTGAATATTTTACCCAATGTTCAAAGTGTTCGTATATCTGATACATTACTTCGTATTTACACAGTTGCACCTCGCATTACCAGCTTAACAATCGACTTCACATCGACTGTTGTTTCAAATTCTGCAGATATTCTTCGTCAAATGGGCACTTACCTTCCTAACTTACGTTATCTCTATTTGGAATTAAAAGATGCCCAGAACGTATACATTTTTCTCGCATATTGCTTGAGAAAACTTCAACATTTGTTGGATATTCACCTTACATTTCATGAAACCAATGCATGTATCGACCAACAAACCTTCTTCTCCTGGTTCACAGATTACAAATCATTAAATGCATTAAATAGCAAAGTACAAGTGGAATTTAGTGGTACAAATAATCGTTTACACATTTCCTTGTGATATGTATAGGAAAGCAAAATAATGCTAATTTAATCATGAATGTTCACTTTTTTAAATTGATTCAAAATAAAGCATATTTCAATCTTTTTTTTCCTAGAAAGCAACCTATTTCTTTTTTCAGGATCAGACGCTATATGATGACATCAAGAACACCGGATACCAGTGGAATTCTTTTTTTCATGAGAGAAATGAAGCATGTGCTTTTCACGACTTTGATAACAGTTTTGCGTTTGTCCTAAACTAATGAGACGCTGCATGTATTATTGTCACAATCGAAATCTGACGAAGACATCTCCAGAAGTGCTTTGAGAGTCAAAGCTTGGGGTGAACTATGAAAGGAACAGAATGTCACTACTTCTAATGGAACTATTAGCATCATCATCGTTGAATGTCTGTTCAAAAGGTAATGATCATGAGATGAATGGATTAGAAGTAAGAATTTCAGACATGCTGTCAGAAGAAGTTGAAGTTCACACCCGTCAGCATTCGTACAAAAAAGAGATTATTATTGATATCACTCTAGTTGTGACACCCGTCAAATTCTTATTTACGACATAATATTCTGCTTTCATTTTCCTTCTTCTTCTTCTGAGTAACTGAGGATGATATCAGAATTTAAAATGTCACCGACAGTAGCTGAATCGATTATATTTGTGTCTCAAAAATACACAATTGTCGTACACATCATCATTTTCCTTACCGGAATTGTGGGCAATATCTGTAATATAATTGTTTTTCGTACTTTAAAACCATTTCGACTTAATCAAGGGGCCTTCTATCTTGTTGTTGCAGCTGTGGTAGATTTATTTTTACTAGTAATTGTACTACCATTGCGTATCGCTGATTATGGATATGGTTATGATGCGATGCGCTACTCGCTTGCCTGGTGTAAGATCCGACAAACGATCGTTCCGATATTTTCACTTCTGTCGTTTTCAGCGATATGCCTCGCATCCGTTGATCAATATCTATCAACTCATTATATTCCTTCGTTGAGACAAATGAGTTCCTTGAAATCCGCTCATCGACTGGTGTCTATTGCCATCTGTTTTTGGACTTTACATGGAATTCCGTTTCTAATCTTTTTTGAGATAAAACAATCAGCTGGCTGTGCAGTGTACAACCGAGGGTTTCTAATTTACTATTCATACATTCAGTTTTGTACACTCAGCGGAATACTGCCAATCACAATCTCTGCAACTTCGGCATCACTCGCGTATTTGAACGTTCGTCGCATTGTGCGACGCCAAATCCCAATCATTCGACGACGATTAGATCGTCAACTAACAGCAATGGTTTTAACAAAAGTGGCGTTTTTAGTGGTTACTACTTCACCATTTGTTCTCACTCGTATTATTTTAATGAATAGATACATTGATCCTAATGATTCGATACGATTAGCTATTGAACAATTGATCTCAACTGTTACTTCATCTTTATTCTATATCAATTCAGCGGTAAGTGTTTGTACTTTATTTTGAAGTTCTCTTTATTCATATTGTTATTTACTTTTAGGGCACGTTCTACGTTTTCCTATTTGTATCCAAACGTTTTCGGCAACAATTCAGACATGTGTGGAAAAAAGCGATCGGAAAAACGATGCTCCGTATGCTAATCTGTTCTCGACTATTCCATACAGAGAACCAAGTGACACCTGAACAGTTCGGTTCTCATACAGCAGACGATGAGCTAAGCTAAAAGCCAACTGTTCAACACACATGTTCTTTTCCAGTAAATAACCTTTTCAATAAAAGCAAGAATACTATAGCACGTATTCAGCTTTTGAAATCCTGTTGTGCTTGAAAATGCGCTGATTGGAACACACGTATTGTCTCGAGATGACCTAACAATAGTACCAGAAGATCTGCACATAAACAGACTATGATTAACCCACTGAAAATGATGATATTCATGTACAAAGAATAATAGTTGTTGATGATTTATACTCTCTCCATATTCATAACAACATCATCCAAACTATTCACCCTACGTGTAGTTTTTGTTTCTTCAAAGCCTTTCAACTTTTCTCATGCGAATCCGGAACCGTTTTGAAGAATATATCTATAGCCAGCAAAGGTTAACAACTATCGTTCAGTAGAATATCCTGAAGTTCTATTTATGCCATCTAAACCTTCTTACCGACTATTATATATTATAATTCTGATGAGATTTGTAATTATAAAGTCACCTATACTTAATAAAATATTAGATTTCAAGCTTATAATTTAGAACGAGCAAGTTCTAATGATTTACACGTCTATCTCACGATACCTTACACTGAATACTTTGGCAGGTATCAGTAATGGAATATGACAAACGCACCTGGACTTTTTATGGTTAACTTCAACTATCATTAGTGCCGAAAGCGTACGTAATCCGCGTAATATTTTTTTGAAAGATATTTAAAAAATTGCCATTTTGTGTGATCCTCTTTTGAATATTCTTTTAACTGAGAAAAATAAAAAATTCTATTTTTTGTTTTTTTCACAGAGGGCATTTCTATGCCAATGAATAAAAATCTTGCAACATCATCATCGGCATTGGCATGATATCGCTTTAGACAGAATAGCATCAGCCGGAACTAATTCATAGATAATACAGAATGACAAATTTAGTTTTTAATAAAATTTCTTTGCACATTCAAGTTGACCTGTTAGATTCAAAATCTTGCTTTGAACTCTATATAATGCTTTAGACTTGCATACATGTCATTTACAAAAAGCTTAATCACTAATTCTGTCTATCACAGTTAACTCTTTATTCTCAATTATCTGCATCGAGTTGAGACTCATGGAGAGTGAACCATTTGATTTTCTTTCCTCATTTTCTAATGAATATGATATAAATGAGTTGCTTCTTAGTGACATTATTTTTATAGAAAATAATAAATTAGTAGAAAACATCTAGAGGCATTCAAATGCTATTTCCTAGTTTATAATTGACTTCAAAAGAAAATAAGCGAGAGACAAAGGTGATTTTCATAAATATTCACATTTTGAATTTATTATTATATCTTTAAAGATTTTATTTGAATTGGCTCTAAAATATTCGTTTAGAATGTCATCAACAGACATCGCAACATCAATTTTGTTTGTTTCACAACAATTGGCTATCTACGGATATCTTTCTATTTTAATTACTGGTGTGATTGGAAATATTGTGAATATACTTGTTTTTTCATGTTATAAATTATTTCGACGCAATCATTGTGCGTTTTATCTTCTTGCCCAAACGATCATCGATTGTTGTTTATTAGTTTTCGCTTTATCATTTCGTATTCTGGAATTAGCATTTACAATTGATTACACTCGAACTTCAGTTGTCTGGTGTAAACTAAGACCAATGATTGCTCATACATTAACACTTTTGACATTTTCGGCGATCTGCTTTGCCGCGATTGATCAGTATTTATCAACCAATTATCATGCTTGGCTACGACAAATGAGCACGTTTAGATTGTCTCGTCGTCTCATGTATGTCAGTATTATTGTCTGGATTCTTTATGATTCGATATTCTTATTCTTTTTCGAACTCCGTCCAGGAATAGGCTGTAATATATACAATGCAGATTTTTCGAAATATTACTCATTTTTTCATTATATTGTATTGAATGGATTTATACCTATTTTGGTATCGACAAGTTTTAGTTTATTGGCTTATTTGAATGTTCGTCGGATTGTTCAAATGCGAATGCAAGTAGTTCGCAGGAAACTCGACAAGCAATTGACAGCTATGGTTTTAGCCAAAGTCGCATCTCTTGTCTCTACAGTTCTCCCTTCAATCGCCTTTCGAATTTATATACTAAACGTTACAGTGAATTCCACCGACACCGTTCGTATAGCTATTCATCAATTGGTATCAAATATTGCATATGCTTTATTTTATATCAATCCTGCTGTAAGTGATCGTATGATGTATCGCTTTTTGAGCATTATGCATTTTAGTGTACGTTCTATCTATTCATCTTGGTATCGTCGAGATTCCGTCGACAAATTCGATATACATTTACGTTTTTGAAGGGTTATGGACGGCGATGTTGTCGACTTCCAGTGACGAATCAAATTGTGCCAGCTAACGATGAAAGAAGTGAATTCGAATGATTTTACTCATTGTTTTTGTCGGACATATTGTAACAAAATGACAATTACGTGAGAAGTTCAGAGAAAATGCTTCTTTTTAGTGAACTGTACACAGGATATAATCAAGATGCTCATCCGACCTGCTTTTCTTTCGTATAACGAACTGTGAGTATAATAAAAATATTCAAGCCAAAGTTCAAAGTGCATACGTATAGTTATCATTCTGTATAAGACGCTGAACCTTCTTCATAAAGCCAAATAAATTTCATTCAATTCACGTCATATATCGATTTGTGAAAATTATTACCCATCGGTACATATTTATACGATACATGTTTGTTATATCCTTCAAGGACAATTTCATGATGAGTATAATCATCAAAATGACTTCTCTCTAAAAACATGCTTGCATAAATTAAAAATTCGATATGTGATACTCAGTACAATAATATCTTCATTCACCGATGACGACAATGACATACTAGCTTTCTGCGTAGAAATTCTTTATGAATATTTATAAAACAGTAGAACTAGTGAACATTCAACGTGATGACAGAGGAAGAGATATACGGTGTTTCTCGGTATCTGACCAATTTATTTAGTTTTATCATATTATTCGGCGGGTTGATTGGCCATGTTATCGACATACTTGTTTTCACAAGTTCGAGAAGATTTCGTAATAGACCATCGGCTTTCTTTTTAACTATTGAATCCATCGTTAATTCGGTTCAATTGATCATTTCATTTAGTTCTCGTATCGCAATCAGTGGTTTCGATGATGATCTTACACGAACATCCATCGTCTGGTGCAAATTGCGCTCTGCTATTGCATCCAGTTGTACACTTATCTCGTTTACTATTGTTTGTTTTGCAGCTATAAATCAGTATTTATCCACTAGCTATCAATCCTACTTGAAAACTTTGAGTACACTTAATCTTGCGCATTATCTTACAGGTATTGCGATTATCATTTGGAGTTTACATGGCATCCTATTTTTGATCTTTATGGATAATAAATCAACAGTAAAATGCGTAGTAATAAGTGATGGATTTCTTGCTTATGTTACTTATATATATTATTTAATATTGACGGGATTTTTGCCAATGATAATCATGTCGGTGTTCGCAATCTTAGCTTCTTATAATATTCGTGCAATTGTACGAAGTCATATACCGATCTTTCGTCGACGAATTGATCAACAGTTAACTTCGATGATTATTGCTCGTGTAGCATTTTCGGTGATTATTACATTACCTTATGTTCTTTTTCGTGTGTATTCACTTCAAAGTCAAATGTTGAGAAACGGTTCGGTCTCTCCAACCATCGCAGATCTGATTGGAGCGATTGTTTTCGCATTGTTTTATTTAAATTTTTCTGTATGTAGCATCACTGTACTTTGACATTCTGATATTGGTCTATAACTCGTTTTTTCTTTCTTTCTTCATAGGGCTCGTTTTACTTATTTCTCATGTCTTCGGCACGATTTCGTCGACAAGTGCGATACGTTTTGGTGAAGAAATACTGGCGAATGTTGTGTAACAGAACAGCACATGTAAATCGCATATCTCCAATCTCACATATATCGAGTGTGGAACTGGATTAGAGTTCGAATGTTTTTTTTTTGTTTTTCTATTAATTATTTGTATTCTTCTCCGCATCATTCCAGCAATCTTATAATACATATTCAAGAGATAAAACGAATAACAAAACTTTTGTCTACACTTCTACATACATTTGATACAGTGGAATCATCACAGATGATTTGATTACATTATCAGTAGGTGAAAAACCATACTGAAGATTATTTAACTGATCAATATAATCTTTTTCTAATACAGAAGTCAAGAGCTGTACGCATGACATCTGAAAGAAGTATGAAGTTACTTTCTATGAAGAGGTGAAAAGTATCCTTACATAATAAGAACTAGGATATCAACGCACTCGATGTGCATCTGAGTTTCTGACATTTTCCTCCGAAATGAAATTTTCTAGTATTATTTCATTAAAATGGAATCACTATACTCTACTTTTGTTGATTGGTATGTACAAACAAATCATCCATCTTCTATAAACCACATGAGTACGTTTGAATTATCTTGTTTTGCAACCCTATCAGGAATGATTCTTTCGACATTGCATGGAATATCATAGCCAACTTTTCTGAATTTTCGTTTTATCAGTAGTGCATGCAATTAAGCATTCATATCTTGTCCGTATTCGATTCAGTATATTAAAACGTTAGTTTTACCTATTCGCCCCGAACAAGATGACTAGAATATCTACCTTTTATCTTCTAAGATCTTCTAGGTATCCAGTTTCTTTATATAAATAATTCAACTAGTAATTAGTTATGCACACATACACGTTTGTTTTACCTACTCATTATTTCATTCTATCAACATCGTCATTATGCGAAAGATACCCTTTACCTCGTGTAACCGAATGACGGTAATAAACCGTCGAGTGATTTCAGTTTCCAATAATTCAACTGTAAAGTCGTTGATGATTTCTAAACATATTGATGATGATAGAGAGAGAATATAATTTATTCGCAAAGCTAGCTATAATAAGCGTTTTTCTTTGAAGTATAATCAACAACATTGAATTGAGAAAAAGTGTTTATTTCATATTCTGTTTTAATTTCATTCCACTTTTCGTTTAGCCATATACATACAGAACTACGAATAAACACAATGGAAACGAAAACATTCAGATGTGGAAAATTATTCGCACGAACTTACCTCATCAAATAGAATGTAACCACCTCGATTTGTATCAATGCTATTGAATTCTTTTCGTAAGAACTGTTCATCAGTATCATCTTCACCCAATAGGCTAAAACCTTTCTTGAATTCATGAAAACTAATACGATGATCATCATTGGTATCTAATTCTTCGAAAAGTTTGCTCAACTCATCATAATGATGAAGTAACTCAATAATCTTGCGAAATTCTCGTAATTCAACAAAGCCATTCTGAAAAACAAACAATATTTTTACGTGAGAACAAAATCGATTTTCGCTAATATCTTACTCCGCTAGTATCGGCTTCTTTATAAGCTCGCATGATTGCTTTCTTATTTGTTCCTAATTGCGGGTAACGGTGAGTAATAGCTCGATCAATCTCTGCCAAGGATAAATGTCCATTTCCATTATCGAATTCTTGAAACAACTAAACAAAAGCATATGTGACATGATCAATTGGGGAATTCTCGATATACTTTTTTGACTTCTTCCTTGCTCATTTGGCCCGACATTGTAAAGTAGTTTCGTGAGAAGTTGTTTTTTGTCAAGTAAACCTTTGTTGAGGTCGGCAAGCGAACGTACACAAAATGTTTGTTCAAATAGAAGTGTTTCTTCTTTTCTTTCGACGATCTCTCGAGAGAAAAATAACCATCGTCAAGACTACCTGCTGCGTACATGTATATTCATCACATTACTTTTTTTTTCTTCTATTTTTTGTCAAATTATAACTCAGCAGGAGAAAGAAATTGTCGAAACTTTTTTCTTGTAATGGGTCATGATAAGTATTATATCAACTGTAAAATTAGTTATTCGAATGAGTTTTTTTTTCTCTTCTGCAAAGAAATTATTCATGAGTAAAGAAGTGAGAACGTGTCCTTGAGTTTTACGACAATGTGAAGCAATTTGGAAGATAAGATTTTGAAGTATTCAATGAAGATGTGAACATGTGTGACGCTGCGAAAAGCGTCGGTTTGTTTGTTGTAAAAAAGTTTTATTTGAGATCACTGATTATCATCAGAAGTTGATGATAAATCGAAAAAAACGAACAGAGAATATATAAAGTTTAAAGAAAAACACCCTACCATACGGTGCTAAACTAACAAACAGAAGAATAAAAATCTTAAATCGTTTCATGGGTTTATAATCTCGTGTTTGACTTGACTAGCGAGAACATTTACCAGAACTCTGGATGGTAACGAAGAGCATCGATTAATGCTTTAGGATCCATTCGACGTTCACAGATATCATGAACAGCAGCAAATAATGGAAATCTACATTGAAATAAAGATAAACAAGGAGAATTTGAATTAAACAACTAAAAACGTACTTGTTTGCTTGTCCTTTTTCTTTCAACCATTCTTGTACTTCAGCAGCAGCATCAGGCCCTTGTAATTTCTGCCCATTCAGCATCTCTTCTTCGAGTGTTCTTATATCTTTGCCAGTTTTGACAAATGCTGCGGCAACTTTACGATTACGACCACCATAACAAGTCGTGACGAGATCAGCAACACCACATGATTCTAGAAAGATTTGTGGATGATGTCCTAAAAAGAGTGAAATGCATCATTCGACTGTCTATTACTTATTTTACGAGAACAAACCGGGAAAGAATTCTTCACAAAATTTTACCATTTCTTTTAAACCAAGACGAATAACAGCTGCTTTGGTATTGTCACCATAACCCAATCCATCGGAGAAACCTGCTGCAACAGCGACGATGTTCTTCAACGCACCAAGAACTTCGATAACTTCCGTATCAGGTTTAATAACAATTCGAAATTCATCCGTTTGGATAAGTCCTTTTACCAATTGTCCATGTTCGTAGTTACGTGAGCCAACTGTTGCTTCACAGAACGTACCAGCTGCTACTTCGGTGGCAATATTTGCACCCATTAACACATAGCAAGGTATTTCCAATGATCGGCTGATTACCGAGGATAACAGATCGACATGTTTATCCTTGCCAACATAGAAACCCTGAATACAAAACATAAGAGAGGGTGTGAGGGTGGCCGAGTTTTCATGCAAGACATACTTTAGAAAATGACACGGCAAAGGCAGTACTTTTCACATGTGATTTGATTGCAAGACATGTTCGTTCAACGAATTGATGTGGTAGAATAAACAACAAGATATCAGCGTCTTTGACTGCTTCAACTACATCGGGATATGCGACCTAAACGAATAGTCTTTTTACGATCAAGTTTCTTTTTCACTTCGTTGCTGAAACTCACAACATTTGGTGAAAATTTATGACCAGGCAAGTATTTAACATTCTCATGTTCTTGATTGATAATTTCAGTTAGTTTTCGTCCATCGACCACTTCCTCATATACATACATTCGTACTTCATTTTCGAACGTATTGAATTTTTCAATATTATTACCAACGATCTTCGCAATGGTTGAACCCCTAAGTTATTTAAAATAAAATTCTATGATCAATCATGTCAGCATTCAAGTATGAACATACCAATTACCACTACCAACAATAGCGACACGTTTTAGTGGATCACTCATCTAAAATTAGAATAAAATAATGAAGAGCGAATAGTGCAGCTGTGGCCTATGGACTTTTTTTTTCATCTCCACACGACCGATATGTCTCTTATATTTGGTTGTCTCGAACTGTTATCATTTCGAATGTTTATACTCAACCTATCGGATAAGAAATATAAAAATATTCGATAGAATCACGTGCAAATAAAACGAGAAGATATTTCTTTGTTTTTTATCGTAAGATGGCTTACCTATATAATAGAAATGTGATATATATGAATAGGAGTGGCTATCATGTGAGCGTGAAAAGAATGAAATAATTACGAATAGACCATGATCCAGCAGAAAAAGGCATAGAATCGTTGCGAAATCAATTTCTGTTTCTTCATGACGACTAGATTTCGTGCTCGTGTTGTACGAAGAACAAACGTGTCTGTCGCTACTTGATTTATTGCAGTTAACGTTGAAGAAAGCGACATATGTCTACCCTAAAAACTGCCTGGATGCGAGATGGTATTCTTAGAACAGAATCTAAAGATAAAAATCATGTCTCTTTGTAGAGATGGAGCTGTGTGTATTGAATCCGAAAGCGAAATTATTCTGATCGATTTCGAATGTATCAATCATTCTGTTACAATAGTGTAATAAAAAAAATTAAATGGAAAATAACAAGAATTTGATTTCATTTCCGAAAAATCTTCAACTATGTTTGTAAATAACCCCCACTAAATTCGATATTTTCATTCAAAAAGCTTTTCAATGTCTGAATAGAATGAATCATAAGTTATTAACAGTATGATTCATAGTGCCTTCAGTTAGTATACAATAATTCAGTTGCATGAAAGAACAATAACCAACTTCACACTAGAGTATGTTCATTTGTGTTTCGTGCTAAAGTCGACTGTGTATATAAATACTCGTAGAAAGTCGTTTTGTCAAATGCGATGTATTTTGTTAATTGATGATTCGAATGAGTATAGATATTGAGAGTGTGGTAAGTTGCAATAGATTTGTTTTTATAATGACGTTCTCTCACAATTACCATTCGTTTTTTTTCTTGTCGTCAATATTATAGATCTTCTCTAAATGTGTGTGTACTGAAGTAGGTATTTTCTTCTCACACAATGGTTTTGAATATCTGAAGCAATCCTGTCAACGTATAGAAACACGGTGGTGCTTCACTTTTGTTTCTAAAAACACGAATATTCAGTTAAATGTATAAGAAGTCCTTCTGTGGACACTATTCAGCAAGATATCGATGTTGATTATTTCGCTACGACCAACTAAAAGTATGGAATAAAAGTTTGTAACTGTCAATTGATTGGAAATACTCTACGCTGTCAAATATGTCAACTCCTGTGTTGTGACGGAATGTGAGTTACAATCTTGCAATAAATGAAACAGATAAAATGAATCGATTTGAAAGCGCACGGTTAAGCAGATGAACATCCAAAGACGTTGATAGAATGTACAATTCAATATTCATACACTAACAAGCAGGAATAATCGTACAAAATCTCGAATATAGTACTTTACTACTAGGATTACTAAAAGAGTATAGACAAAAAATAATCAATTGTTTGAAAGAAAATATCTTTTAGAATATGTGTAATTGTATTTCTGTCTCTGTCGTTTTTCAATTATAAAGTTATATTTGATTTACACCCCACACAACTAACATGAAAAGTTATTATCTATGTCTGTTAACATTTTGCAAATATCTACAAAAAGTAAGCTCCTTGTTGGATTTTTCCAATTCAAATTAAGGAGGAAAAATCTCAGCGGGGAAAAAACGTTTGTTCTGAGTCAGGGAATGTGCGTATACTTGCAATAAGCCTGGTGTGTCAAAAAGCATTCTGTTTCTTTAGGGAATTAATCTTCATTGACAATTATTCAGGAACTTGTTTTCACAAAGCATGTTGATCCAGACGATGATTCATCTCTGTACGTATCTATAAAAGCCGCTCCAGTATTCTTAAGCCCGTCTTATATTTCTGTCTGTTTCTATCGAATTGACATATTCTTTCAGGATTTTACGCGGTATAACAGAACTAGATATGATAATTATAGATTCTTGCGTGTCTTTTATCCGAATTGTATGTATACATATACTTAGAGAAAGATTGCAGGCTACTGATGTCTCGAAACTGTATGAATAGGTGCTTGTACCACATTTCGAATGTTGCCTGAGTCGAGGACAGATAAGATTCGTTTTTTTTCTCGTCTTTCTATTTTGAGATAATGATGAATGAAAAGAAAAACTGAATGTTTCTTTTGCGAAGGTCTTCGAGAGAAATTTATTATAAGCTAACTCTTGTAGTAAGTTAACAATAGATGAACAGATATTCACAAGATTAGAAATTTTGTTCGTTGCCCGCCAAAGTAACGTTAAGTTTAGTACGAAATAGATAACAGTATCGTGACATACTCGCGTACGCGTAGATAAAGAAGTTACAAAGCAATTGGCTAAAATGATTCAGACCGGCTAATTAAATTAATACTACGTAGGTAACAATATTCATGATTTTGCTCACTCGATCAAGCGTTTACTAATAAAAGACTTATTTAGTCATCGCGTATGACTTTAGAAAAAAAAGTACAAAGTTAAGCAGACAATTATTCTATGAAATAGTACATGTTTTATCAATAAAAACAGCTTTCGTCAGTATTATATGTGCTGTCTATATATTCTTGTCATTACTTTGTATATTAGTGTATGAGAAATAAGATTTTTCAAGTTGTTTTTTTATCTTATTGCTTGCACGTTTACGACTATCATTTTTCTTCAACGATGCAGTTCTTTGATTGAAGCCTTTTCAAGTATGTTAAAATACAAAGTCATTAATTACGTAGCATTCATTTATCGATTCTTTGTACCTCTCACCGTATGGAAATAGGTGTTAATAGTGTAATTTTCACTCTTGTTATCAATGTGAGTATCATATTTTTGTATAAAACTAGACAGTCAGCTATTTCACAGATTTACCTGCAATCTCAATTTTTCGGAAGTTAATGACTGTTTCTCGTCTGAGAAGAGCGCGTTATTCATTTTTCCCCACCAGTTACTCATTTCTAGTGGAGAAAACAAACAAATTATATCTATGATTCACCCTCACTATTATATAGGGTTGCTCTAAATCAAATTCATAGTTTCATATTTCCGTCCAATCACCAATCTGTTACAATGAATCAGACGATCACGTCGACAGACAAGAATAACGTATCACTAGGTGGAATAGAAGTTCGCAATTATCAACAGATCGAAAGCACCCAAATGTGTCAGATATGTCAACGTGTGCTACTATACCCTTACCAACTCTTGTGTTGTGGTATTCGACTGTGCAGGTGGTGCTCCAAAAACGGACTTTCTAACAAGTACACACCTCTTCATCATCCTCTCACGCTCATATTTTGCGTTCTGATTTTTGATTAGTCAACCATTCGTCTGCCCGTTTTGTCGTGAAGAACAACAGAAGAAACAGGTGAGACCCTCACTGCCTATTTGTTTGCCCGTACAATGCGAAAGCCACGTCATCCAATAGAATCAGGCTGATCGCGGTGCAGCGCGAGAATTGAATACAGTCTTGGTTGACTGTTATGTATGCGACTGGAGTGGAATGTATCGAGACTATCTTGTAAGTAACGAGCAGAGTAGATGAGAGTAGCGAAGTATGGATTTCTGATGTTTTGATAGGAACACTTGGGAAAGGAGCATGCTGTGTTGAAATGTGCAGATTGTGAAGAATGTTTTGTGGCGAAGAACTTATTGGAAGAACATAGAGAAGAACAATGCGAATATCGGAGTGTGCGATGTGATTTGCTTGGATGTGGCGAAATGGTGATTTATAACACTCTGAAAGTCATATAGTCTTCTAAATGATTTGTTTTCGGTGATACGTAGGTTTTATGGTCCAATGTAGAAGCGCATTACTCATCTACGAAACATCAACACCTTCTACTAGAATTTTTAAAGCAATATTTAGGTTATAAACATACGCCAAGCCGCATTAAATATGAACAACAAGTCGAATATCAAGAACTTGTAGATACTCTTGTTCCAGTTATCGAAATATTAGCGGATGATTGGACACGATTAAAATCAGAACTGGATGAATCGAAAAACAAAACCGAGCAACTATGCTCTGAATCAAAGGTAATAGTAAAAATGAGCAATGATGCAGATGAAAGTCTTAGAAGTCTCGTACAGCTGGAAGAGAGCACTTCAAAGAATTTAGCCAATACAAAAAAATCCTCTTCATGCTTTCAAACTGTTCTTTTGGATAACGGTGGAATGGCTATTTTTCCATTTACTTTACAACCAGGTGGTATTAATTCACCATTTTCTCTCACTTCACCGATCTGCAAAACAGCACCGTGTGGTTATTCGTTTGTTCTCAACACGTTTCCAACAATCAATGAAGAAAATCATAATGAACGCTATTTATCGGTTTCCATTGAGCTACTTTGCTCAGAATATGATGCCATTCTATCGTTTCCGTTTCCTTACAAGATATTTTTATGTTTACATGATCAATCTGGACAAGGAAAGCATAAATCGGTAATGATACCATCATCAGATTGTGAAGTGCTGATTCGACCAACCAGTGAGCAGAAGTCTATGATAAATCTGATACAATTTTGCCCATTAAGTTATTTGGCAGAAGTAAATAGTATTTATTTCAGAGAGAACAGATTTTATTTACAGTTTTTTGTGGACTTTCTTAATACGCGATCATTTCCTTTTGAATGATCATTCGCTAACGATGAGGTATTTTGTTAGGCACATGTTTTGGCTAGGAAAACAGATAAAACACCAACGAGAGAGCGAGAGAAAGAGTGCTGTTGTTGTTAACGCTTTTTTTGTTATTGTTTTATATATTTACCTATCATTTTCCAATAACGATCTCCACTATCCAGACAGGCACTAATCTCAAAATTCAGTCTTTTCAGATCTTTGCCGATCGATTCAACAGTTGTTTCATTGATATCATCCGGACGAAATTTAATATCCACGTTCAAAATTCTCAATCGAGGCGTGCAAGTGTCTATCCATTGCAGCCAAGTTTTGCTTTGCAATAAGTCGATGTGATATCGTTGAAAAGGGCACACCGAACAATCCAATTTAAAATAGCGAAGATTAGGTGCGTGTCGAAAGATTCCGTTGAGAATGATTGTTTGTAGACAATCAATTTGCAGATCAAGTTTTCGAATGAAAGGAAAATGAAGTTCAGGAGAAAGATTTTGAATATAACTGAAACTCGAATGAAATTCGAATTGAATTAAACGAGGTAGATACGAGAGAATCGATTGCAGAGTTAACCAATGACAATAAATAGTGATGATTACACGTTCGAGATCTGATGATTGAAATGTTGATGGAAAGGTTAATTCATTGAATAATTCCACCATTCGTAAGCTTGATTTCGATTCGTGTAATTCGAAACGCTTCAATCCACGTAGTTTAAAGGCATGTTCAAGCACTCGTATACCAATATCTGACGACTTGTTTCGCACATCGGGATTTCGAATCGATAAGGATAAATACTCGAGACGATATGGTGGCCAGTCAGAATTTCTTTCAAAGAGTTTCAACGGATTATCCACGTCAGAAAGAACGAGCGAGCGAAGATTGGTAAACTTAAATATCGATGGATTATAAGGTCGAGTCGGGATGCTCAGTGAAACGACTTGTGTTAAACTAATATGTGGTAAAATCCATCGAAAAAAATAAGTATTGTTCGAACGAACATGTAATTGAACACGTCCATCTTTCAATAGACTTGGTAAATTCGGAATTAATAAACAGAATGAATAGAATATTTCATGAATGTTGAAATAAGAAAAAAGTTCGATGATAACGTCGTCGCATAAATGCTTGAACGTGCTTTTCATCGTTTATTTTAACCTGATCGAATCATTGATAAAAGTACGATGTCATGCTCTGTCATTGTTATGTCAAACTCAACGAATGATGCTTTTTATTTTTTCTCCTGTTCTGTTTTCTATAGATGGCTAGAAGTCTTGCGTTCTTCTATTGACAGGCTCGTTACTACCTCGTCATTCATAGTTATGCAAAATGTAGCGACAAAGTGCGTTGAAATTTTACAAAACATTTTCGCGACAAAACAGAACAGAATAGTGATTTATTTCGCTATGGACTACAATGAAAATAGTCCAATTTTGTCTTCTGAATGTCAACTGATGACATATTTCATTCGATAAATGATACCCTCAAAGATACATAGAAAATCTATAACGAACAGCTTTTAGTAAATACAAGTTCGAAGCAAATCGATCATTGATCAATTAGTGATATTAGTTGAGTTTGTTGTCAGCTGAGAAGTTGTTGTCGACAGTGTTGTAAATAATGTCGTGATGCTACTTACAGAAGCTGCAAGGAGTGTTTTCTTCGTGATTGGTCTCGGACGAGTAGTTAATTGTGTTTTTATCGCGTGTGTATTGTTCACTTTTTTAATAATGATTCGTGTTACATTATCTGAAATGGATCGGTGATTTTTGACAAGATTCTTGAAAAATCGAAATCATTACTTTCATTTGTGAGTGTTTTCGGATGCGGCCAGTAGAGTGGTGAAAGTCCAGTAGCTATTGCAATCAACGCCAATATCGTAATGATACTTACTAGAAGAAAAACGGTTTGTTTGAAAGTTAACATTGATTTGTCCAATGTAACATATAAACTGATGACCAAACGAGAAATTCCTTTGTTATTTAATACAATTTAGTATCTAAAGAATGTTCTTTATCTCTCGACAATGATGGTGATGTCTTCTATTCTTTGAATGTAAAAGTATGTTTACTAAAAGATTAAGGAATAAATTAAGTTTGAAACATTCAGCAAAGACCAGAAATAAATCTCTTCTGACCTTTGAATGTACGTCTTTTGTTCATTTGTTTTGATCATCACAATACAGTTCAAGGAACGTATTACATTCAATGTAAATAGTGCATTTACAAAACATTTATCCAACGCCATACTTCGAAGAGTTTCGTCTAAACACGTTTGTCTATTATTCACCGTACGAATCGATTTTTCTTCTTCAGATATCAATGATGAATATTACGCTTAATTTCAATAGTTCGATCAAATTTATCAGTAACAATCACAGCAAATATAGAAGAATTTAGTAGATGTAAAGTAGCGATCACATTCTCCCGTTGTTATATAGTTATCCAAAAACGATGGATGAAATAGTTGATCGTTGAAAATAAGACATACTTTTAATGCATTAGTGAGGGTGTTACTATTGTTCACAATAACTTTGTATTAAACATTCAACATATTGACTCGCATTGAGACAAGCTTGCCGAAAGAAACAGATATGAGCATTGATCGCATTTGACATTCCCGTGGAAAATTAGAACAGAACACATATGTATCATTCAAGTGAACAATCGAGCAGAAAATACGAAGATGAAAAAGGACATGCGAGGACATGTTCGATTAGCAATTATTGTTCCATTCGATATTGATAATGCATTGAAAATAGCATATTTAATATACGAAATCTGTTGAAATAGCTAAAATAATATCAAGCAATGGTGATAAGCATCGTACAAAATTTTCAATCGAAACATTCGGCAAAGGTTAGTTTTAGATACTTCTTGTAAACCGTATCACTCTGTTATTTCATTCTTATTCAATGCATTAAACTAGAAATCGAACGATAATAATACTCAAGTATTAATCAAGTGGTATGTCAGCGAATATTTATGATGACTGACAAGTAATCGATTATTTGTGTTTAATGGAAAATACTTTATAGAAACATCTTCTTTGTACATGTGGATAAGAATTGATGATGTATCAGCCAATGAATATAGACATGAGTGCAGTGATTTTTGTTCAATACGCTATTTTCATGTATTTGATTATTTTATTTCTGTACAATAGAACGCGACAACAAGACAACAAAACCGGCTGAGAAAAATCCGAAAAAGAATGAGTTAATCTTCAAGTAAATCAATATTTTGTTCGCTGTCATCCGACATTTCCTCTTCTTTTCCATACAATTGTTCATCTTCCATTTCGTCATCTTCATCATCGTCGTCGTCAACTTCACCTTCCTCATGATTATTATTATTATTATTATTGTTATTTGAAAATAATCTCACTTCTAAAATCAAATCATTTTATGTAAACAAACTTCATCTCTTTCCAAATAGAACTTACCAGAACTGTGCAGTGCAGCTGTGTGTAGATTAAGCTCAAATTTATGTTGAAAAACATCATGACAATACGCACACTTATAAGAAGCATGGCCATTATTATTGTTATTATTATTATTATGATCATTATTAGACATTGTTGTCATCATTGCCATTGGTTTCATTGTCATCGGTATCATTGATGAATGAGTACGTTGATGTGCGTGTAAATTCGATGCTCGATTGAATGCTTTAGAACAGATGCCACATGCATACGGTTTAGCTGCTGTATGAGTTAATTTGTGTCGCGTTAAGTTTCCTGGTTGACGAAAAGCTCGGTCGCATATGTCACATACAAAAGGCTTTTCACCTGTATGAATACGCTAGAAATCAAAACAGAAATGTTTTTCAAGAGTTGAAATAAGTTGTTCTTCAATCATCATCATCATCATCAATGTTAGTGTTAATCTGTCAAAACGTTTGTTACAAGCCGACACACGTTCACACTAATGTTAGTGGACATATGTCACAATTACATCAAACGTTCTCTTAGAGTATATCGAACGAATCTATGTGCTAAGATATCGGAATATTTGTTAACACAAAATTGAAATGAATACGTGTGGAAGGAAAACAAATTGTCTCTCTGCCATTCTGTTCTTTTTGAGTTTAAACGGAAAACATGAGCGTGTTCTTTGCTAATAGGATCGCTTCTATATCGTATTGGCTGAAATAGAAGGAAACCGATTGGATAAAAGTTTACCTTATGTGTAACTAATGTATTGCTTCTTGAAAATGCTCGTGAACAAATGTCACATTTGTATTTCTTGGCATTTTTCGATTTCGTTGCATTTGCTGTTGAATGTGAATTGTTTGCATCGCCATTGGAAGTTGTTGGTCGACGAATGAAATCGATCAGTGTTGCAGGAGATGGTACTAGAACATTGTTATTTGTGATTGTATATTGATGGTAGTGTGTTGCCGGTGTTGACTTTCGATTGTTAGCGTTCGTTGATGTTGATGCTTTGGGTTGAATTGAGGATGAGGACGATGGAATAGGTGGAATGGGTGGTGGAAGAAGTCCTGCAGGAGGACGAATGTTCGATAGATAGGGATGAAGAAATGGAAATGTGTGCCAGAAAGATGAAGGATTTAGTGGGGGTACAAATGGTAAACTTTGTGAAAGAAGTGGACGTAATAGAGCAAGATGAGAATGAAAATCAGATGATGAAGTAATCAGAGGTGATAGGAATGGATTAGGAATCGCATTTTTATTGAGAGGAAGATCATCCGAAGATATCGATGTGCCATTTTTTGTTACTTTCTCATTGATCTTATCAGTTGGCTCAGATTTAATTGATGCAATGCGACGAAATGCAGATTGATTCGATTCGGAGAAGTGATGTCCATTCGAAGCTTTATCATCTTTAGTAACAGGACTTTTTGAGTCTAAAAAAGGCAATGGAGAAAAGCAAAGTCAAGAGACATTTTCCAAACGCTGTTCACATACTATTCATATCGGCGTCTTAGCTAAAATTTGATTGAAATTGATTGATACACAACTAATTTCTTTTTACTTTCCCTTGCCACCTCCTTTCTTTCTCTCTCTCTCTCTTTCTCCTTCTCGCTTTTTATCCTAAGTCGTCTACCTGTTGGCTAAAAATGTTTCTCTTTTTTTCCTTTCCCGGAAAATATACGTATTACGTGTCGCCTGCACGCCTGCCACCCTATCACGTACATATATCATATACATGTTCATCAAAGAAAAGCGCGACCGACTGTTACAATATTGAAAAACACGTCGTCATTCACAATTGTAATTAACAGACTAGAGAGAGAGGGGGAAGGGACGACAAATCAGAGAGATGAAAGAAAGGATTTTAGGTTTATATATGTATGACTCTTGGGATCACCCAGTAGGACATCGTCGTTGTTAGATATTGGCCCTGATCATGGTCAATTGAATGAAGAAGATTGTTGACATGGTATAAAGCCGCTTAATCTACTTGTTCGTGTTCAAACGGGAGATGACGACTTGTTGACTTCGCCAGTAATAGTGTGTGTCGGGCTAATCAGGCGAAATAAGTTAGAAAAACTTCGTTTTATCTTTCTATGATGTTGTCTAGAAGAAATATTTCAAAATGAGAATATTAGATAATCTTTCTCTCTCATTCAATCACAGATTAACGAAGACAATTCTCGCGTGTTTATTAATTCTGAATCTGGAAACTTTTTCAAAGTAATCAATCAGTTCTGCTCGACATATATATCCAGTTTGTCGATCAACATACTCATATCATACATCGATAAGTTTTCCTGTTTTCAATCGAGTTATTAACAAAATTCTCCCTTGTATATAGTTATTCAATCACAGTCACCTTTCGAATTTCATTTCTTGAGATGATAGTAGAGCAAATATCGTATCATAATCGAAATTGCCAAGGTTAAACATGAAAGAGGAGAAAAATCAATCAAGACTGTTATTTTCAATAGCCAATTCAATGGATAATCTGCCTCTTATATGTCATTGACCAATCGGCGCGTATCCGGAGAGAAAAAAACAATCATTACACAAACTAAGAGTTTAGTCTACTGTCTTGACTTGCTCATCAATATGGTTCTATGTTAAACGCAAATAGATATTTGCTTTTTAATTAACATTTTGTACCCGGAGAAAATCAGTAAAATGTGATTAACAATTAAATTGACATCTGATTAAATAATCTGTTGACTATATGGTTTATTATTATGAAAATCATAGAAAAAATGTCAAAATCTGCGCGTTTCCGTTTAACTGAGTATATATATGTAAAGTGAGAAGAACATTTTTTTAATATTTGCTCATTCAAGGCATGGCATATTACATGCTTTTCATTACATTTGCTGCGATTGTGCTTTTGACTAATGCACGAACGTTTTATAGAGTGCGTCCTGAAATCGAACCTTATGATAATATACTGGATTATTTGACAATGGAAAATCATGCTCTCTACGACGATCTTGAACGAGACAACGACGACATTTTCTCGTCGTTCATGGAGCCATCGTCAGAATTATTCTTAGAAACGTATTCCCCGATATATCTTTCAAAGTAAGTGACTAAATGAACTCCGATAAAGACGATTCTTTGAGTTTTTTTGTAGTGACAATGGTATTATAAAGTTATTCAGAAAGCCAATGATTTCGCTGGATGAATATTACGAACCAGAATATGCCGTTGAAAAAGACGGACTAATGTGAATACTCACTATAAACGATTGTTTTCTTTTTGTATTCAACAATAGATTTTATTAGCATTTGAAGTGTATTTGCTGATTATGTATAAAAAGAGAAATATGTTCGAAAAAGAGAATAATTAAGTTCATTGTTTAATCTCGTTGTTCAAGCAGACTTGCTGGCGAAACACTGATTTTTACTGATTTCTTCAGACACCAATCTGCTAACCAAGCAGGAAGCATTGAAAGTGGAAAGAAGAGTAATTTAGCTTGCCAACCAGGTCGATATCGGATACGTGGAACAGTATTTGTGACTGCATGACGAAGCGATTTGATGACTTTCGCGGGATTTTCAGCATTCAAAATAAGTGGATTTTTCGGAACAGACTCAACGAAACTATTGAAAAATTCATCACCCCATCGACTTTTGGTTTCACTATCAACTTCTGCCCATAATTCACGACAATGATGCTCATGTCCTTCAATGATCGGCGTTCGCATGTAACCAGGTTCGATAATTGAGACGTGAAGACCCCATGCATACATTTCCCGACGAAGACAATCCGAAAATGCTTCGAGTGCGAACTTTGACGCACTGTAAGCAGACATACCAGGTCCAGCAAGAAAACCAGCAGCAGAACAGATACTAACGACACGCGAACCACGTCGAGATATCAGTAACGGTAAAAATTTCTTTGTCATCTTGACATGACCAAAAAAATTCACTTCCATCATCTTTCTCATGAAATCAACACTTGTCCAATCGATAAGACCACCCTTTCCAATACCAGCATTATTAACTAATGCATGGAGCGAACTTGTTTTCGATTTAACCATCTGATATGCTGCTTCGATTTCATCATCTTGTGTTATATCAAGACAAAATACTGTTGCACGAGGTGACAGTTGCTGAGTGACATGTTCTTCATTATCTGGATTGTAAACACCGGCTAAGACGTGAAAACCTTGCTTGTCAAGTTCAATCGCCAGCGCATGACCAAAACCTGTATCACATCCACTGATTAGCACATATTTACCATTGGGACTAACATCCGGCGGTGGAAATAAATGTTGATACAAACGATATCCAACATATACAATTATCGCGACTGCGATTGCGATCGATGCAGTTACCATTTTAGCTAATGTAGACTAAATGTATTTTTCTATTCGTATGACTTCGAGACTAATGAGTCGAAAGTGCAATATGACTCATCACTGACGAAAGTCGTAATACAGTCGCATATGCGATGATGGAAATTATTTCTTTTCTTTCTCTCGCGTTGTTTTCTCTCTCTTCAACATCAACGCATTTTATCTATGACGTTCACTCGATACAGCCTTGAGATACCCAACGCACATAGCCAATTAAACCACATATGTTTTTTTTTCGGATATGCTTGATTGACTTTCACCGTATGATCATTCGAAATCTACTGTTTACGGCGAAATGCGAACAACTTAAAATAATCTGTTAGAAGGTGATTCACTCATCTCAAATAACAGAAATGTATATTTTTATTGATTTGTTTTTCAAACAAGCATAATCTAGATTACAAAAGAGATTTTTGACATTATATAACAATACAGAACAAAAAGAAAAGAAATCCAGTAAGACATCTAGTCAAGATCAACTGAATTGCCTTCATTTTCATCTTCCGTGTAAATATTTTCTGCCTAAAGAAAACATAGAAGAGAACGAATTCGATTGGATTTTTCAAAATGTAGCGATCGTTCTTACCATTTGCCAAACTTGCATGATGTTGTCTTCTGAAACTGAACAGATTACCCACGGCTCAGTTGGATTCCATGAAAAGTCTGAAATCTTAGCTGTATGACCACCGTGAATAAACTAGAAGGAGTCAATTATGCATATCAACTTCGTTTTATTGCAATTTTACATACTAATAGTTCGGGTGGACCATCTTCTGCATCATCACTGGTTTGTTCTTCACCAATTTTACTTGATAAAGACGAAAGATTGATTAAAAACGTAAAATATCGAGCAACTCATTTACCTCAAATCCCAAACATGTAATCGCCGATCTGTTCCACTTGATGCCAGAATTGTCTCATTGTGATGGGACCATTGAACTTGAAAGATTTCATCTTTGTGTGATTCAAATGTATGTAATTTTAATTTCAGATTGCGAAGATCCCAAAGAGCAACAGTCTAAGAACACGTTTCAAGTTTACTTTTCAATTCAAATGTCATTTCAATCATACTTTATCAGCTGAACCAGTTGCGAGAATATATTCGGAAAATGGATTGAATGATAAACAATTGACTTCCGCATTATGTGCATCTACAACATGTGATGGTTTGGTAAAGTTTGATGATCGTGTATCCCAACTAAAAGCAACCGAACTCATATAAAATTAATCTTTTCAGAGTTCATGATAACATACATCATCAATTTACAGTCATCACCGACGGATCCGAAAAGTGGTTCATGAAATAAATGCCAAGCAACATCTTCAACTACAGCTTGATGTCCGGAGAAGATAGCCAATGGATCGACGAATTTGCCATCCTTTGGTGATTTCTCAATATTCCATAAACAAATTGTGTGATCATCCGATGCAGATAAAATTTGTCCTGCAGTATTGGGATTCCATGAGAGACCATAACCTTCTTTCGTATGTCCGCGAAGACGTAATTCTGGACATGCTTCGGCACTCATCATAGACAATTGATCTTTTGGTATACTTGCCAATTTCGCATAATTGAATATGAGAACTTCTGCTGATGGAGATTTTGTTGCAATCAATGAAGGATTTTGTGGCATGTACCGAGCACGATTAACTTCTCCATCGTGATTGATTTTTAATTCGATTTCAATCTTAGCATTAAATAAACCGAAACCACCGAATTCTATTTCAAATGACGAAGAATCGATATCGAGTTTCAGCTCTATGCGATTTTAATTACCTCCTCGTTCCGACTCGTATTGAGTCGAATCATTGCCTGCACCATCTTTAGGAATTTGTACGCAAGCAATTACCAAATGATTTTGTTCGTCAGACGTATGAGTACCAAGAATAAGACGATGTGTGGTATAATCTTTACCATCTTCTGGTCTAAATGATAAGTTATTGTGAAATCTTTCAATTGTTTGATCAAATCTTACTTTGCTGTGTACGGTAGCCATTGAACAGTGAGTGATGGCCATTCTAGAGCGTGTGTCATGATTAGATCATAGAGAAAGGCAGAGTTTTTCTTCCAAATTTTATAATCTTCATTGATTTGACGTTCTTCATTCAAAACATCATCACCTGAATATAAAAACAACAGTGAATATTCATACAGAATAATTTTCACTCGATTTACCGTCAGCCATTGTCAATTAACCGGGAATAGTAATGAAAATGAATTAAATCTAAAACCAAAAAAGATAATTATAAATTCACTGATCGCATGTTTGCAAAAAATTTCGAACGCTAGCGAAAGTACTTAATACTAAAGAAGACTTACGTATATAAACAAAATTCTGATGTTAGAAAATAGCGATACACTTGATAAATCTGTAGCTATTGTCGTAGCGTGTCCTGTCGTACAGAATAGAGTTGGACAATGTAACACTATGAATCTACCTTTGATTGAAAACACCTACGCTCTTAAATGTACCTAGTTTATCACAATGACCTGAAAATTTTGTAACAAAACCTCACTATTCTAAATGAAACTTCGATTGAATAAAGGAAAGCATTTCTAAAAATTGAACAAAGAATAAATAGAACATAGCACAATTGCTAGTTTCTCTCATCCAATCTGTTAACAGCTAATAGATGACGTTCGAGTACCGTCATTCACTTCATCCCGAACAAATGCTTCATAAAATCTGTTGATTGTATGATAGATCAATGTCATATAGTTTATTGCTTTTTTTTGGGTTGGTAAAAAAGAAACATAAATGTTCAATCACTACAATCTTTATATACATAAAGCAGTTGAAAGATTATCGCGGAAAAAAAGTGATCCCTGATGTTAAAGTAGACTTATCGGATGTTCATCTTGAGTCTTATTAAAATATCTGAATAAAAAGAACGTAACGATTTTTAATCTTGATCTTTGCGGCCATATTTAAGAATTTTTACAAATTCGAGATAATCAAATAAGCCATTTTTAATCGGTGCTTCTTTGAACAACTCGTCAACTTCTTCATCCGTATATCGATCACCAATCGTCATCAAGAGTTCGCGTAAACGTTCGTCTGATATTTTACCAGATCCGTCTTCATCCAATGACATAAATGCATTTTTAATTACATCCTCGGGATCGGTTCCTGTAAGTTTCTCTCCGAATAACGTTAAAAACATGGTAAAATTGATGTCACCTGGTGCTTCGCGAATCATCGCATCGATTTCCATATCATTGACAACTTTACCTATACAAAAATAAACAATCACACATCTTCTCTTACAAATATTCTCCAACCTAACGAAGCAAACATGTCCTTCAAATCATCACCGCTGATAAAACCATCCTAAACAATCGTGAATGTGAACCAAATAGATGAGCAAAATGAATACTATACTCGATCGTGATCGATTATATTGAACGCTTCTTTATATTCTTGAATTTGAGATTGATCAAACATCGCAAAGATATTCGAAGTAGCGCGTTGTTGACGCTTCTTTGGTGGTTTAGCTTTAGCACGTGACGCCATGGAAAACTTGATCTGAAAAAGTCAAACACAGCGTTCATGTCTTGTTTCGTATAGTCAACTGTACATCGTTTGCATNAATGAATACTATACTCGATCGTGATCGATTATATTGAACGCTTCTTTATATTCTTGAATTTGAGATTGATCAAACATCGCAAAGATATTCGAAGTAGCGCGTTGTTGACGCTTCTTTGGTGGTTTAGCTTTAGCACGTGACGCCATGGAAAACTTGATCTGAAAAAGTCAAACACAGCGTTCATGTCTTGTTTCGTATAGTCAACTGTACATCGTTTGCATTTCTTTTTTCTTCTGCTCTTTTCAATCCATATTCTATTGCTTCTCTATAGGTCATATATCTGACCTACCATCATCGATCGACATCGCTCGCTCCCTCATTCATTATTCATTTCGTTGTACGAAACATGTAAGAGAGAGGAGAAAAGAAGAAACTGTTCAATACATAACCCATATGCTTGCGTGCGTTTGTTATATTCCGAAAAGAGAACGAAAATGAACGTATGCAATGACAGCAAGTAGCTGTTGTTGTGAACGAAAGAAAAAAAGACATGTATTTCTAAATATAACATAGAGAAGAGAGCAAATTCAGGGTTTATATTATCAAAAGAAAAAGACAATGCGAAAAACTATCATGTAAAGAAAAGACTCAACACATGAGACAAATTATTTATATCGAAAGAGAATCAATAGGAAGGGAATTCTATGATTAATACATATTTTTCTTTAGTCCACAAAAAGAAACAACCATCACCGTTGGGCGAATAGATAAAATGAAGTATTTGTCTATTTATCTTCCAATTCGTTTAATTCACTATTTCTTGGTGAAACTAAAATGAAATCAAATGTGATGATTAGTTATATATACGATAAGATGAACATTCCGTGTGTCTTTGTCTCATGCAACAAGCAAACTAAAAAGGCAAGTGTATTTTTTTATTCAAATACAACCAAACAGAACAAAGGGAGAAGAGAAAACACAAGAAAATAAATAACGTGTTGTTTTTCAATGAAAGAAGAAAAAGAATTTTGTATTAGTAAGATTTGGAATGTCGCTTTAAATAATCGAATTTTAAAAAGACCGAATGAAAAGATCAAACAAGAGACGAATTATTATTAGACTAATAAAAGATTTGAGTAGAAAAAAAAAGACGAGTAGACAATCACAAGTCGAGATTTCGATGCTGAGTAGATGTATATGTTGTCATATTGCCAACAGGATGATGCGTGAAACCTTCCCATGTGTGGAAGATGGGTGAATACATGATGATAGCAATGTAAACACTCCATAACACAAACAAATATGAGACGCCATGCAGTGCGCTACCTTCTTCAGTTTCTGGAAGGAAAAACACGGCACACATTAGGTAAGGATAAACATCAACTTGGAAGATCATGCGTAGGATGGAACTTACTATCGACATATCGTCGAGCGACGAATTTCAATGTTTCATCAAGTAAGATGACAGGAAAAGAGATTTTCAGCACCGCAAACCATTCTTCCAATGTCAAAGGACAGATTTGAAATACGGTCTACGAAGAGTAAGAAGAATTGTTCNTTTTCGCATTGGTTCATCAATTGTACCAAGTGCCAAGCATCGAAGAGTATCGCCACCTGTTCCATACTGATGAACTAGTTTCATGGCTTCTTGTTTGAGCCGTGGAGTCATGGGCACCTTTTGTGTTCCACATCGAATATGGGTACATCGATCGATCACTGACTCAGGTGCACCTTTCACAAACATTTTTCCCGATGATCCTGTTGCTCCGCTATCACCACCTTTCGTCGCATTTGTCACAAATACTGACATCGACTTACGATCACGAGAAAACTCGAGAGTGAACTCTTTCCGATACTTCTGGCGAATGATCGTGTTCGATGCCATTGCTAGTTCATGTGGTGTGAGTTTGGACTTGTCAGTATTGAACACATTCATCTTTTCCACAAGAACTATCAATGCTGTTTCTGTTGCTTCACCAACTTTCTCGAATGCTTTCTTCGTCTAAACGACAACAAAGTGAAAGTGAAAGTGAAAGTGACGAGATGAAGATGATACTCACTTCGTTGTAATCAAGTGAAGAGTCGTTGCATAGTGCTGCACACTCGGCAAGTTCCACTAGTCCACTTCGGTCAGCACAATTGATCTTTTCTCCATCGAGCAAGATATCACCCTTTGGCTCGTAGGTTGAGCCGGTGATTTCAAACTGATCAATCTGAAAGTCGTTTGCGTCAGCCTTGCTGAAGGTGAACATCTACACAAAATGATGATGATGAGAGAGGGAGAGTGAGTGCGTGAGAAGAAGAGATGGACATACTCGACAAACAGACATTTGGTTGGTTGTCAATGTGCCTGTTTTGTCAGAACAAATGACGGATGTACAACCGAGTGTTTCGACAGATGGTAGTGAACGAACGATGGCATTCTTCTTTGCCATTCTTCTTGTTCCGAGTGCGAGACAGGTTGTGATGACAGCAGGTAGACCTTCAGGAATGGCAGCGACAGCGAGAGCAACAGCAATTTTGAAATAATAGATAGCACCGCGAAGCCATGAGCCACCATGAACGGGATCATTGAAATGGCCAATATTAATAGCCCATACGGCCACACAAATGATTGTGATAACCTAAAGAAATGAATCAAAGCATTATTCTTCAATGAAGTACGGATCGATGATAGATTTACTTTTGATAATTGTTCACCAAATTCATCAAGTTTCTGTTGTAATGGTGTTTTCTCTTCTTCAGCATCGGCCATTTCCGATCGAATTTTACCTGAAATAACAAATCATACATCATGGTATTTATTTAGCTGTTTCTCACCAATTTCCGTGTTCAAACCAGTGCCAATTACAACACCACGACATCGTCCTGCTGCAATATTTGTACCCTACACAAATATTTTCACTTATGAATAACATTACATCCTCACACGTCAGACATCTTACTGAGAATAGGATGTTCTTCTTGTCTTGATTCACAGCTCGAGGATCTGGGATTGGATCAGTATGTTTGATAACCGACACACTTTCACCAGTCAGCAACGATTGATCAATACGAAGTGTTGTCGAATAGATTGTAGTGATTCGAATATCTGCTGGTACTTTGTCTCCAACAGCAACTTCAACGATGTCACCAGGTACAAGTTCTCTTGCTTTGATCCGTTGGATTTGACCAGGTCGATTCTGTCGAACAACTTTTGCTATTTCTGGTTCGTACTCTTTCAACGCTTCGATGGCACTCTCAGCGTTTCGTTCCTATTCGTACGGAAGTGATTGGATGGNTGTTGTCGAATAGATTGTAGTGATTCGAATATCTGCTGGTACTTTGTCTCCAACAGCAACTTCAACGATGTCACCAGGTACAAGTTCTCTTGCTTTGATCCGTTGGATTTGACCAGGTCGATTCTGTCGAACAACTTTTGCTATTTCTGGTTCGTACTCTTTCAACGCTTCGATGGCACTCTCAGCGTTTCGTTCCTATTCGTACGGAAGTGATTGGATGGAAGAAAAGGAAATGACGAGGGAAGAGTAGTTCTTACTTGCCAGACACCAACAGCTGCATTGGCAATAAGAATAAGAAGAATGACTAACGGTTCGACAAAGGCAGCCATCATACTCTCTTCTTCTTTGTGTTCTTCGAATAAGGCTAGTACCTAGATGAAACAAGAGAAAAACAACAGTACAGTTAGACGAATCTGATCAGATTTGAACTGACAAATGAAATGCAAGCAGCGGCAAGTAAAATTTTGACTAGAAGATCGTCGAATTGTTCTAAGATAAGTTTCCATAGTGGTTTTCCCTCTTCCGCTGGTAATTCTATAACGAAGATCAGAGATAAAATATATCATTCGTATTTGATTATCTGTAAATTTCTTCTACATACCATTTGGTCCGTATCGTTCTAGATCGCGTTTGACACGTTCGTCGGAGAGACCTTTTGCCTCATCTACAGTATAGAACGCGGCCACATCTTCTTTAGTCTTTGCCCAAGGATATTCGATGACTAGAAGAGTATTGGACATGCGACGATTCACATTCGACCGATGCATGGCGATCTGAAACGGTGAAGAAAAGCCGAGATGAACAGTATTGGGTCACACTCGATGATTAAACTGAAGCGTGAAGATGCATTCTCACTGTAAAATAAATTAGTCTATATTGATCGGTCGTTTATACACGTCGACATACGCGCATGAATGTGGGCTGTGTGTCTATTGATGCAGTTTTTTGTTTTCGTTACCTTGCTGCATTTTCAGTATCATATATTACTGGCCGGCCCGGTTTTTTTAATCGAAATATGATCGATGATTCGATTTTCTGATGTTCGCCAATCACGGTTGTTAGTCAATAGGAAAAAGTGCAGAGAGAAAAAATTCACAAATATGTTCAAATCTTCTAAAGCGCAAAAACTGAGTCGATTTTTACATAAATCTCACTCAATATAGAGGTCGCCAGGTAATAGTGGACTTTACCTTGATTTGAAATTGATTGATACGCTCGATTGAGCTTTGCTGTGGTTTTCGATGTATAAAATGAGTTATACATTCACCGAAAACAAGAAAAATGTTGTTTTACACATATTACAATCTTTTGATTTTCTACGCTATCTATACTATTTTCGTCAGTAACTATTCAATGAATATGATAGACGTAAAATAACTACTTCTCTCTAATTAAACATGATGGTAACGAATCTTATTTAACAGTGTTTTCATTTTACGTGTTAAGAGAAGAAAACGAGACCTCGCTGAACTCTCTTCTGTTTAGTTTCTATGCTCAATCGTCCTCATCATCAATTAGACTATACCATTTATTCAATACGAAAGAACTTATCTTTATCGTTCATTTGCATGAATAGCATGTATAGATGCTTATCTGTCGTGCTCTAGTCGAATAAAATCATGTGCAATGCATATTGATATCGAAAAACAATTAATCATAGAGGTATTTTGTGACACTCACCGATTAGAGCTATGCGCGCAAAAGTTTACGGCTGAATATATAACCTAAATGAGGGAGGTCTATTCGGTTCGATCAACTAAATATTGGAGAACGTGTGATACGGCGGAAGATAGGGTACATTTGTGTACAAGCGAAGCGAACGGACAATAGTAACAATGATAACAAGGTATCGATGTTGCCTTTGTCGTAGTGTGAAGAAGGGGAAAAAGAGAAAAACATCCAGATAGATAGTGTAGCATTTAACAGTTGCTTTTGCAAAGATATGATATAGCGGAAAATCTTAGCACAAGTGAAATGCACAAGTATGCGATAAAGATTCTTCTCATTCTATTCTATGATGTTTCGATACTGCGATAAATCTATGTGCACATCTTGGACTTGTTAGTGATATTTTTCTGATTCTCTCTCTTTCTCTCGCTCTGATCTCCTATGATTCTATGTATACATAATTCTCCAACAGTTTCTCGATTATCATACATCACCTTTCTCCAGTCTTTTCCTTCGTTCTTTCTGCACTGAAGACAACTATAATTCACACAGTTGCTACCTTCTTGCAATGTGATATTATCGATACTAATATACATAGAGAGGAAAAAGCGATTTGCGTCATCAATTATTGCACATAGATCGAATGATGATTATGATATGCACAAATGAGATGAAAAGGAAAAGAAGTGCTGTCGTCATTTTGTTGTTGTTGTTGTTGTTTTTGAATATTACCGTGGTGAGAATAAGGTTGGCTTTTTAGAGCCATACTTCGATAATGAAAATCAGGGTAAACATCTATTCTCCATATAAGTGATGTAGGCGTTTCTATCTGTATGGTAACCATCAACTTAATTCTCACTATTGACATAAAAATATCACAATATAACAAAGTGTTACATTCGATTTCGTCAATGATTAGTTATCGAACTATCTCATCATTATCTTAATTTGATCAGAAAGTCATGAGAGTAAGAGGAAATGATCTTCATGTCCTTTTGTCCTTGTCATCAACTACGCATTGACAGAATTCCCTTTTTCTCCAAACAGCTATTCTATTACGTTTTACTCGGAATGAATTCTACGTAAATATTTATTTGCTATCTGTGGACACGTTGTGTTCAAGGCTAGGCACGAGAAATAACACTTGTCAATCCTTTGTTTGCTCATCTAACTGAGAATTTTCTCAACATGTGCTTGAGAGTATTTATCGTTTAATATTGAAATAGAGAAAGAGAGAGAGGGAGTTGTTCGCACATGATCTTTCAATAGCCTTGGACGTAAGAGAAAAGAAAACATAGTCATCATGAAATGTACATGAAAAAGACATTGTATGACTGCAAGATTTCTATAATTTGATTGTGTATGCTTAATCTACGATTAGCCACGAAAGATAATTTTTGTTGTCAACACAGAAAAGTACGTAAATAGACAAGAAAAACGATAACACATCAGTGATATGCTATCACAAATCGAATCATCACTGCCTGAGGCGAAATCTAGAAAACTGAAATGATGATTATTAATGAGAATCGTTAAATAACAATTTACAAACTAATAAATACATCATCGATATACACAAACGAAAAGGAGTTAGAAAATAATCATTTTAGTACGTCGTACGCACAGAACTGTTTGCAAAAAGTATTTGAAATAATTAGTAAAAACGGGAAGAAGAACTGTATTAGACGTACATATCACTATCTCGACGTTCTGTATTAAAGTGACGAACAAATGACAATAATATCAACATCAACAAAATCGTTCTTTCGCTTCGTTTGTCTATTTTTCCTCTTTTTCTCCATACCGATCATCATCATCAATCACTTGCGGACTTTGGCAGCCGAAGACGATCGTTCCTATCCCATCGTCATCATCACCTCCCACCGCTTGATTTCCTCTTTTCCTCTAGATTCTCTTGTCTGTTTTCATATCACCATACCAAATACACGATTCACCAACGTTAAAGATCGACAACGATCATATGTCTATGATCTATGAGGACAAATATTGCATTACTCACACAAAGAGCATATATCAAGAAATTCTCAACTAACGGCATGCAGATGATGGCAAAAACATTCGTACACACAATGGCATAAGAAATTAACCGATGACATGCTTATTTCATTCATTTATGAACATAACGTAATAGTAATCAAATTGGTCTCGTTCGCAGAACATTATTCGTGTCATCAGACCAATCGACCTATTTATAAAAACAATAATTATACGAGCAGGTGTTATTTACATATTGATATATTCTCGTAGGAAAGACAACACAACGAAGAGAGTGAATTAACAATCAATATCTACATACTAATTGAGTATTACATTGTCCAAAAAGCATTCATACTATTTCCTAATGGATTCTTCAAACTGATTCATTATTTAGTTACTAAAACATAACGAAATAACAATAGCAAAAAAATAGAGATGATGATTGGTCTCGATAGTTACCAAACCTAGTGTTGTCCTTGATTGAATTTTTTCGTTTTATAACACTTCGAACCATTATCATACGTCGTCATTCTAGTTGATGTCTGACAATTTTTATGAACCATTTTCACTGCATATTTATAAGTTCATCGATTATCATATTCAAATACGAGTGTATATAGCACAACAAATATTACTGTCGACAGTTGCATGCAAAGATGACATCAAACAATCTTTTGATAAAAAGCTTTAGGAAATCGTTAAAGTTCTCATGCAATGAGAATTGTTTATAGACATTCATAAATTTTGATAAGATTCTATTTGACATTTTTAACAATATTATCGTACAGAACATAACAATCAAATCCTTAAAGAGATGTTTCGAATCTAGCAAGCAAAATTGAACATTTTTCATGTCGTCGTTTACTTTCCATTCGAGAAAATTGCTTTCAACACGATTGCACTACGGATATTAATAAATGTGTCATCCACAGAACGGAAACTGCATGAATGGGCAATCACTAAAATAATAAATAATGAAACAAAACAGAATGATGCAATGTTAGAATTCATATTCATCTTTTCCTAACATGCGATGATGAATATTCTAATAACAACAAATAATGCTGTTCACTTTTGATTGATCAACATAGATTCCGATGCGTAGAAGTGTTTTCTTTTTATATTTAAATAAGAAAAAAACTCAACCGTTTATCAGATGAATTTCTTTTTTCTGCGTTTTTAATAAGAGAAGCTTTATCGATTGTTCACACACACACACACACAAAATAGAAAAAAGAGATTTTAATGTTCTTTTGACAAGCCTATCGTATTTGTTCTATTCGATATGGGATGTTTGATGCTTTGATATTTTATTGATTGAAGTCACATGTTTTGATTTGTTACCACCTAGAAAAGAAAAATGAGCGTTTGCTGTCATATACTCTGATTTCATCTTACGATCGAGATACTGTCGTGCGATGAATTTCAGTAGTTCGTCTAGTAGCACAACTGGTAAAGAGATTTTTATAACAGCGAGCCATTCTTCACATGACAACGGACAAATTTGAAACACAGTCTAAGAGAGAAACGTGATGAAATCGAAGAACGAGAGAAAGAGATGTGAAAAGCGACTTACATTGAACATTGGAATGTAGAGGATCATCATGTGTAACGACATGGATAGAGCAATAGCGCCCAGTAGATACTTATTTGTCCATGGAGGCATTTTCAAAAGAGATTGATTTTCTGATAAACTATAAAACAAGAAAAGAATGTCTTTCTCCTTGAGAATAGATTATCATTGATAATAGACCTATTGAGGGCATTTAACATTTCAATTGTGACGAGCACTGATAATGCCATTGTCATTGGATGTGGATCATCGAACACTGAGCAATTTACGCCTTCCCATTCTTTTCCACCAGCTCGACATTTAAAATGATTTTTCTAAACAACAATAAATGTGTACTTTTCGACTCGTCATACAAATCATAAAATGCATGCTTTTTCGATGAGAAAATAGACACATGTTGTCTTTCAATTATATCGCGAAGTTTTCATAATAAGAAAAAACAACATATCAATGCACACGCATACATCAAATCATTACATGCTCATTTGCTTCGTTTTTCACTTTTCTTACCAATAGTACTGATTGCAACGTTGTCAATAGATTCATCCTTAAGATATTTCGTGTACATATCACTTCGAAATTCATGTGTTCTTTTATATTTGAAGAAATAGGGATTCATGAGACTTATACATACCAAATGCCAGTATGACAACTTAGGACCATTTGTAGCGCTCATAGACCACCACGAAGCACTCCATACTACAGCAAAACCAACATAACCTAAAACAAAACAATCCACATATTAAGAGAAAGAGAAACTAAATAAAGACAAAATACTGACATCCGATAGCCATGTAACGAAAGAATAACCATGGTGTGATCAGCGATTCTTTTGGATTACGTGGTGGACGTTCCATTATATCCAAATCGGGTGGATTGAAACCAAGAGCTGTTGCTGGCAAACCATCTGTCACCAAATTCACCCACAACAGTTGCACTGGAATCAACGATTCAGGCAAGCCAAGTGCAGCAGTCAAAAAGATACACACGACCTGTACAATCATGAAATCTACTCATGCATTCACTCCCTCGTCTAAGGACTTACCTCGCCGATGTTTGATGAGATCAAATAACGAATAAACTGTTTCATGTTGTTGTAGATAGCTCGACCTTCTTCGACAGCAGCAACGATCGACGAGAAGTTGTCATCAGCTAGGACCATCTCGGAAGCTGTTTTGGCGACAGCAGTACCCGAACCCATGGCAATACCGATCTCGGCTTTTTTCAATGCAGGTGCATCATTGACACCGTCACCAGTCATAGCTGTGATTTCACCATGTGACTGTAGATATTCGACAATTTTAGATTTGTGTGCAGGATCGACACGAGCGAACATTTTTGCGTAATAAGTAGCCTCTGACTGTTCAGTTGTTGTGAGATCATCGAATTCACGACCGCTGAATGCTTTGCCTGGACAAGAAGAGAAACCAGTGAAACTAACAATGATTAGCACGAAATCTTATATACCTCGTGTATCTTCTGTCTCGCTGAAAAGGCCAATTCGGCGGCAGATAGCTTCAGCGGTATTTTTGTTATCACCTGTAATCATAATGACACGGATTCCCGCATTATGACACCGAGCAATAGCTTCATGAACTTCTTCACGTGGTGGATCAAGCATACCCACAACACCAACAAACGTGATGTTCGTCTACGAAACACAAGCATGATATTATCAAATCATCAACATTAACAATACTCAACGAACCTCATATTTTGCAAATTGTGATGAGTCTTCCAAAGCCATATCTTGTTTTTGCATTGGTTCATCAATTGTACCAAGTGCCAAGCATCGAAGAGTATCGCCACCTGTTCCATATTGATGAACTAAATGTAGTATCTCTTGCTTGAGTCGTGGAGTCATGGGCACCTTTTGTGTTCCACATCGAATATGGGTACATCGATCGATCACTGACTCAGGTGCACCTTTCACAAACATTTTTCCCGATGATCCTGTTGCTCCGCTATCACCACNTTCTGGAAGGAAAAACACGGCACACATTAGGTAAGGATAAACATCAACTTGGAAGATCATGCGTAGGATGGAACTTACTATCGACATATCGTCGAGCGACGAATTTCAATGTTTCATCAAGTAAGATGACAGGAAAAGAGATTTTCAGCACCGCAAACCATTCTTCCAATGTCAAAGGACAGATTTGAAATACGGTCTACGAAGAGTAAGAAGAATTGTTCAATAGTGGGAACTTCTATGTTTTCAGTATATTTACATTAAACATTGGAACGTAGAGAATCATCATGTGTAATGACATGGATAGAGCAATAGCATAGAGAAGGTATTGATTGATCCATGGAGGCATTCTCACAAGAGATTGATTTTCGGATAAACTGCAAACGACAAAGGAATATGTCTTAAGAAGATACTATGCGGTTAACGATAGCTCACCTGTTCAGTGCGTTTAACATTTCAATTGTGACGAGTACTGATAGGGCCATTGTCATGGGATGTGGATCGTCGAAAACGTCACAATCAATATCTTCCCATTCTTTACCACCACCGCGACATTTGAAATGATGTGTCTAAATGATCGAAAACACACTGTTAGACAAATGAATTTCATCGTGAAAACAAAACCAAAACTAAACAAACACTCATCCAAACAAATATTCATGCCTATATGAGAAGCACTAGACAATTGAAATCTAAGGGTTAATTTACACAAACTATAAGAAGACAAGCATCCAAATTTAGGAGATAGGATCTATGAGGACTTCGTTCAACAAAAATGCTTTCCGCTATATATCTCACCAGCTGCGTCCATGACAACAGTGGTCCATCGTGATACGACACGTACCACCTGAAATCAAGTAAGAAGAATGTGTTCAAATCATGCACTACACTCAAGGGATGGAAGATCTTACCAGCAGGAGGCACCCACTGTGCCAGCTCCTACGTATACTAGAAAAAAAAGAGAAAAAGTAGTGAAATCAAGTACACACCAAGTGCCAATAAGAAAGTTTAGGGCCATTGGCTGCGTCCATTGACCACCATGTCGCACTGCAGACCACAGAAAAGCCGACGTATGCTAACATGACAGATAAAAATTTATAGACATGGTTTCATTTATAGTCTTAAAAATGATCGCAGCCAAATAGCCATTATAGGACTGAAATAAAAGATAAATCTCATCAAATATCTTATGCTTACTTCCGACAGCCATGTAACGAAAGAATAACCATGGTGTGATCAGCGATTCTTTTGGATTACGTGGTGGACGTTCCATTATATCCAAATCAGGTGGATTGAAACCAAGAGCTGTTGCTGGCAAACCATCTGTCACCAAGTTCACCCACAACAGTTGCACTGGAATCAACGATTCAGGCAAGCCAAGTGCAGCAGTCAAAAAGATACACACGACCTGTACAATCATGAAATTTACTCATGCATTCACTCGCTCGTCTAAGGACTTACCTCGCCGATGTTTGATGAGATCAAATAACGAATAAACTGTTTCATGTTGTTGTAGATAGCTCGACCTTCTTCGACAGCAGCAACGATCGACGAGAAGTTGTCATCAGCTAGGACCATCTCGGAAGCTGTTTTGGCGACAGCAGTACCCGAACCCATGGCAATACCGATCTCGGCTTTTTTCAATGCAGGTGCATCATTGACACCGTCACCAGTCATAGCTGTGATTTCACCATGTGACTGTAGATATTCGACAATTTTAGATTTGTGTGCAGGATCGACACGAGCGAACATTTTTGCGTGACGGCATGCGTCTGATTGATCTTCTGTCGATAGGTCATCAAATTCCCGACCACTGAATGCTTTGCCTGATTTATATAATAAAATAGAACTCGCAGTCTACAAGACGTCAATCTTACCTCGCGTATTCTGTCCTTCTTGAAAGATACCAATTCGGCGGCAGATAGCTTCAGCGGTATTTTTGTTATCACCTGTAATCATAATGACGCGAATGCCAGCATCACGACATCGGGCAATGGCGTCAACGACTTCCGAACGTGGTGGATCAAGCATACCCACAACACCAACAAATGTGATGTTCGTCTAAAACAATGGACATATGTTTCCTACATTTAGTATCTCTATGTTGAGAATGCTCACTTCATAAGTGATGAATTTTCTCGAATCATCCAAATCCATCTCTTGTTTTCGCATTGGTTCATCAATTGTACCAAGTGCCAAGCATCGAAGAGTATCGCCACCTGTTCCATACTGATGAACTAGTTTCATGGCTTCTTGTTTGAGCCGTGGAGTCATGGGCACCTTTTGTGTTCCACATCGAATATGGGTACATCGATCGATCACTGACTCAGGTGCACCTTTCACAAACATTTTTCCCGATGATCCTGTTGCTCCGCTATCACCACCTTTCGTCGCATTTGTCACAAATACTGACATCGACTTACGATCACGAGAAAACNTTTCTAGGCAAACTAGGCGTTTTCTACTTCTTCTTCTACATTGGTTTGGCTGGTTTCTTCTGTGCAATGTTAGCAGTATTTATGGCTTTTACACCCCGTGATCATCCGTACTATACGAATCACGATTCACGTATGGAAACACGATCGAATCCACTCTCACCTGGTATGCTAGTTGCTTTATCGACATTGTTTGCGATTTCGAAACGTTCTCTTCGTAGGCCTTGGCTTTCGACCACAACCAGATGTTGATAGAAACATCATTGAAGCTGAGAAGAACAAAGTTACCAACACTACAAGACGTTATACTACTAGTCTCGATCAATACCTTCGAGTTTGTAAGCACATTTGACACATATGTAACACATAGAATGAGGTGGGCTTGTATTTAGATTACTGGACACCACAAGTCAAACAAGGAAGTTCAAGAAATGTTAACAATGAAGAAAACGTTCGAACTTTTCGTATCAATAATCCAGGAGAATGCACCGTTAATAGAAATTTTGGCTATACAACTGGCCAACCCTGTGTTTTGATTAAAATGAACAAGGTAAGACGAAACAAAGAACATCTGAAATGTTTGTTCATCAAATCAAAATTTAGATTGTAGAATTCGTACCCGAACCACTTGATGCTAAAGCTGACAAAAGCGAATTGCCAGATAGATGTCAACAACGAAATGATGCTGTTGCTATTGCATGCCAAGGCGAAGTAATTAATCGAAAGCTTGACTTCTAAAACTTCAAACTGACACACTCATTTCGAATGTTCTAGTACCCTGCTGATATCGATAATATCGGGCAAATAAGATATTATTCCGAAGATAATGTTCTTGACACTTGCGGATCACTTAAAAAATCTTGGTTTCCTTACAAGTACGGAAGAAATTGAATTGATTTTGTTACTAAACAGAAGTGCATTGTCTTCTCTATTTGTAGTGGCAAACAAAATCGTAAAGATATTTATCAAGCTCCGTATGTTTGGGCTCAATTTCTCAATCCAAAACCAAATATTTTGATCAACGTAATTTGCCGTGTTTATGCTGAAAACATCGATTTCGATAAGAAAACAAATCGCGGTTTGACACGTTTTCAAATTTACGTCAACGATGAAAAACGTCGTTCATCGCAGAATGCTGGAGAGATTTAAATGAATTCCTCCGTGTGTCAAATACTATTTAGAGAAAAAAAAGAATATTCTGTAGTCGAATAACAAACAGTACTGTTGTCTTAGTGTGTTTTCTGTACTCATGCGTTTTTCTCTCTTCTAGTGACCATTATCCTGCTTTTTTCAATTTTTTTGTGCAACAATTTTAACAATTCTCGTCTTTATTCATTTTAAAACAATGTTGCTTGAATGAGTTTCAATCTTACACTTTATTTTTCTCCCTTCTCTTCTTTTAATCTTCACCGTGTTGTCTTTGTGGAAAAAAAGAGAATGTAGTTTGAAATCAAATAAAATTTAGTAGATGTTGATGAAAATAAATAACCAAGTCAACCTTTTCTCCTTCTTCTTCTCATCGACGAATACAGCATTAACTCCAAATTCCATTTGCTACATTAAGTACCACCATCACTTGGTGTATCCAATATTTACCAATCGAACAGAAAAAAACACCGATTAATCGCGTATGATGCCAAGGAAAGTACAGAATGATCTCTTCCGAAGTATTTATCTGCATTTGTATGTCTACATTGTTAAAGTCTAAAGTCAACATCTATCGTCTTTTTTTTCGTAAAACAGACTACAATAATTGGGTACATTTTTGTCCTCACACAAGAGTTATTTTAAATAATGCTTTTGTAGAATTTTTATTTGTGATTTTTCACGAGAAATGGTTGGATGTATGTATGGTGACATGCTAATGCGTACTGCTCTAGGGGTAAATGGCAAAGAATAGTTTTTCTACTCGAAGTGACACGTTCAATCAAGATCAACTAACACCATCAGGATGATAATTGTATTAGTACTAAATACTGATAAAATCAAACGAGTTTTCCGTAGCAATAAGAGCATCATACCGACAGGTTCATGGTATTTGTATCGATGTTTTCCGACTTTTGTCTTTTAAATTGTCTTTGAACGCCAAGAGATAGTTAACCTAAGTAGTGCGCTTGTTAGAAGCATCAAGAACCGTAAGTGTTGTAGCTCGAAGTGCCCGCGTAAGGATTAAACATTGTTTGATGAAAAACAATTAGCAAGTCTGATAGGTCATGTTAACTTTATCTCTTTCGTCTGAATTAATCGAAATCGAACTTGTAGTGAAATGACATATATGTATGTACTTGATCGAAAATTAAAAGTACGCTTCGTATTTGATGATTAATGCATCAATCAATCCCAATGACGTGAATAAAAACCGAATTTCCGTTGTTTTTCTTTTCTTATCTTGGTAAACAAGTGTATATTTAGGACTAAATACACATACGCACCAGGCTAATATATGAAGAAAAAAATTAATAACTAATATGATGTAAAATACATGAGCATTTCATTTGATCGAAAGCACAGGTAAATTTCATAGTTTCTTTCTTGCAAGAGAAACCAAAGAACATCATATCTGCCAAAACGAGTAATCTAAAAGAAACGATTCTTCGGGATGTCATTTTATATATGGGTACAGGTGAACTTTTTTACTTTCAGTGCAATAGTTAAAATATAACGACCCATTTCGAACTTCTTATGTTTTCTCCGATAAATATTATATTTATAAGAAATGGAAAAGAAAGTGTTCGTTTGAACTGAAGTAAGCTGTGATAACCAATGGAGAGTGAAAGAAGCGAGAATTCAATATTCTTATTGCTGATGAGAGAAAAGAAAAGTGAAAAGAGACTGCTTTGTAGACATACCCGATTATTATACGTTCAACAGAACGGAAAAAATCTTCTTTTATATATTTTGCTTTCATTATATATCTAGAGCATTTAAACGTATAATCCAAAGTGCAAATCAAAACAAAGAAAATAAAAACTGACACACCCGCGTCTATTAACGAATGTAAGCCAAATGAAATTGACTCCAGACAATGATTTTCTAGCTACAGTGCACTTGACTTTGTCTTTTGTTTTCTATTATAGCCATTTGGTGTTATATCGAACAAAATAAAATGTCGCTCAACCGACCAGTACGACCGCCTAAGCTTTGTTTGGTATGCGATGATTTCGCGCGCGGAATGAATTTCGATGTACTCACATGTATGTCTTGCAAAGCTTTCTTTCGGCGACATGCAGCTCAAGCAGGTGTAAGTCCCCATGTCAACGATGCACACGAACGAATTTTATTGTATTTCTTAGAAAGAACTTCGATGTTTACTTAACAGTGACTGTATTATAACACAGCAGACTCGCGGTGCCTGTTCTGCATGTCGATTGAAGAAATGCTTAGCGCTTGGTATGAATCCAGCTTTGATTCGTTCTTCACCTAAGAAATTAAAGAATACTACGCAAAGTCAACTATGTGATGCATCGATTGAAGAAAAGCAAATTGTCAGTCTACCTCAGGTTACTTTTCAATTCACCTTCGCGAAAGCAACTACAAATTTTCTCTTCCTTAGCCAACAACACTTAGTCTACTCGCCAAAGATAAGTCAACCTTAACATTCGATGAATGGAATCTTCTCTCAAATGTTATTCATGCATATGATGAAAAAAATGTGATTACAGCAGCCCAAAAGCTACTTCGGGAACAAGCATCATTACCAGTAAAAATCCGTGCGAAGAAAATGATGGTATTCGAGTTAATCGGCACATTTTTTTCAGCCGTTAAACCATTTCTTTACTATTTGCCTCACTTCCATAGCTTATCATTCGATGTCCGTCGTGTACTTATCGAAAACAATTTAAACGGAATGGGTGCACTAAATGCCATGTTTGGTGCTTATGAATTGAAACTATTCGGCAATGATTCACATGTTCGCACTTGTTATGAAATCTATGGTGAAGAATATGTTAAAGAAAGCGAACGTCTAGCGAACCGAAGTGAACAAAATGGAACACTTGTCAAAATGTTTTTGACCACCTTAGCATTTTCGACTAATTGTTCAGTTGTTGAGGAAAGCCAGATAACTACTTCCACAAATACATCGGTAACAAGTTCAATTGCTCTTACTCGCATTCAAGATGTATTTATCATTATGCTATGGAAATACTTAGTTTATCAATATGGATACCTTGGTGCTGTACGACATTTAGATCATCTAGTCAAGTTTTATTTAGATATTCTTAATCGATTAAATGAACTTAATAGTAAAGAACACAAAGATATGATTAATGTGATAATCGATCAAACAATTCATTCTTTAACGTTGGATGATTAAATTATTCGTTAATGGAAGTCGAAAAATTGCGTCATTATTTTTATTTTATTACTTTTTTTTCATAGAAGATGAATGATAAAAAATAAAACTGATGTATATAGAGTAACGATTCAATTGTCGACAAATAATCACAATTCAAATGTTTATTTGGGATCTGCGATCTTATTTGTTCGATCTATTTACCATACATACTGCTCAGAAAAGTATCTGGATATATTTACATGCTATATATAGAAGAAAAACAACCACTCTAGATGACCCGTGGCTTTTATCATTAGCCTAATTTGTAATGAAAACGAAATGGTCTCAGATTATTATGACCGCTCAGTTGCTGTTCGGCATCATCTTAATGATACATTCATGAATCATTGCAAACACATTTATTCTTGAGGCACAAACGCATAAAAAGAATGAATATATTTTCAAGTACTACTTCCGATGCGTATATAACCATCGTTAGTTTTTCTTTGACTTTTGTACAAAAAATATCGATGAAATTCAGTTTGGTTGTTTTTCTTCTCGCCAGCGCATCTTTGCTCGCTGTTAAGTCGTTATCTCCAATACGGCAATACGTTATTCGTCGTGATTTCTTCTCGAACTTCAAAGCTGGTGAATTTTCCGTGTACGACACTGACGAAAAACATCTTTATTATCGTATCGAATCGAAATATTTTCCCTTACAGAAGATCGAACTCATTGCTTACCCATCTAAACAAACCGTTGGCAAGCTGCAAGCAAAACTTAATCTGCTTCTCTACAAAGGCGAGTTTTCGTTTCAAAATCCTCTTTCAAACCAATGGATCAATGGGATTATCGAACAAAAATTTGTTTTAGCCCGTGATGTATTTGCTATCACGTGGAATGGACATCAAATAACAGTGCAGAAAGAACTAGGTTCATTGACGAATCATTTCTATGATGGGAATACTTTGTTGGCACAATTTCGACTTCGACCTGCATCGGTTCTCTGGGCACGAAAATATGATATGCAGATCTTTTCAGATAAATATCCTGAAAATATCTATTTACTAGCATTAGCTGCTCGTGACCATACAATTTCATCAAAGAAATTCAAGTTGTAATAATTACCATGTGGAGATCAATGGACTCTTGATGCGATTGAAACTTGTGTCGATTGTCATCAGCTTTTTTTCGATTTTCTGTCCTTCTCTTCTCGATTTAAATGTACACGAACGAAATCTGAAAATCATTCGTTGTTTTTTCATATGTACCCATTGCTTTTCCAAACGGTCTTTGATGGTTCAAATCGGCCTATAATCACTAGTCTTTATGATGATAAATAAACGATGCACTCGAAACTAAGACTAACTTACATGCATAGACATCGTTTGAAACAGTCGTTTCTCTTATCCAGCTGATTTTCTTTTCATTCTCTGTCATCTGATGATGCAAATAAAGCGAAGCTTTCTGAACCCTCGATCGAACATTTCACATGTGTCTGTATATATTTAAACTCGAAGAGAAGAAGAAAAACTTTTCACATATTCGCAATTGCTTACATACACCGGATCACACTCGAGTTTAAAATGCCTTCAAAGAAAGAAAAACAACAACAACAACTTTTGAACAATCTGAAATCACAGACAACACCTCTTGCTAATAGTACCAATACAGCACCAACATCCGATGTTACACCACTCGCGAATTCGTACCATAGTGTGACGACGAATCGTTATACAACAACGACGATGAAGACAATGAATTTAAATAATGATTCGATGAATGGCGTCGATCATTTGTCATTGATTCGCGATCAGAAAAGTGAATTGGATGAATTGAATAATCGCTTTTCGAATTATGTCCTTACTTTACAACAAAAAAGTAAAGCAAATGATGATCTACAGAAGAAAGTTGACGCGGAAAAGCACAAAAAAAGTAAAATACGTCGTTTTTCTCTTTTCTCACATAAACTAACATTCACAATCGATTTAGAAAGTTCAGATAAACGAGATACAAATGACCTCGAAACCCAAATGGATGAACTCCGCACTGATATTGACGAATCAGCCGTGTTAACCGAACATTTCATTCGTAAACGTAACCGTGCATTGAAAGAATTAGCTTTATTGAAAGACAAAATTCGCACTGAAGAAGATCAATCCTATGCTAACCGTCGGCAAGCTTTAGAAAATGAATATAAGCAGACGTTGATGCAATTGAAAGATTTAAGTCGTCGTTTTGAAGATTTAGAGAAAATTGCTCAAACGAATAAAATCGAAATGAATCAAATGGAAGATTTATATAAAAAACTCGAAGATGAATTGCACGATCTTGTTTTGAATAACATTCGTTTGGAATGTAATCTTCGAACAATTGAAGAGCAAATTTTGTTAAAAAAAGCCGTTTATGAAACCGAAAAGAACGATCTCGGTAAGTAGAAAAGTCTTTTCCTTGTTCAATTCACCGATCGGACGAAACTCTTCTAGCTAATGAACAAATCAAACAACAACAATTCTATACCAATGAATTGGACAATGCCATCGATGATATCAAACGTGATTTTCAAGCTTTATTGAAAAACAATAAAGTTATTCTCGAGAATGCTTATACCGAGCGCATTGAACAAGTTAAAACCCAAATATCGACGTATCAAGAAAATAAACCTCAAGAATCGTTAACGACATCACGTGTGTCCATCGAAACTATACACGATGAATTGAAACAAGCGGAAAAAACACGTGAAGATATCGAAAACGAGTATCGTCCGTTGATTGATCTTTACATTTCGAAACAAAAGGAGAAAAATCAGATTGACGAAGAACGCATTCGTTTGGATAACGAATACAGTCGATTGTTGAACGAAATCAATCAGATAACAGAAGCCATTGAAGTTGGAAAACAATATTGGTTTTCTGTACATTTCGAATTAGAAACATACAGACGATTATTAGATTTAGAATCAACAAAAACATCCGTTCCAACGACGACTCTTACCAACGCGAATATCACGAATAATACATCGTTGGTGAACGGAAAAGATGAAAGCAGTATAGTCGAAGAACCGAAATCGATAATAACTGTGAAAAAAAACGAATCTCAACGTGCCATATCGAAAACGGGTGAGATAAAACGATCGAGGAAGACAGATGCTTTTCGTGAAGGTTCAATCTTAATCTGTAACATTATTTTAGGTAAATTTGATATCGATCAAGTCCAAGCGGGTTTTATTTCCATAAATAATGCCGCAACAAATTGCGTAGATCAGCCGCTAAAAGGCTGGACACTTGTTCGAAGTGTAAACGATGCTGATGAATGTACCTTTCAATTTCCTGATAGTTACGTCCTCAAAGCGCGAACACGCGTCCGTGTGTATTCGAACAAAGTTGACAACAACGGCAATAGTACTAGCCGACTTGTCGCTAGTGCCATTCCAGCATGGGCAAGTACGGGTCAAGGTGAAAATGTGAAGATTATTCTGCGTGATGAAAAAGATATTAATAGAGCTCAGTATACAGAAATATGGCAATAGACGAACACTGGATAGGAAAAAGAAAAACTTTGATTGTGGTAGTTTTTAGATTTGTTTTGTTTGTTAGAGTTTGTTTTTCTTCTTTCGGTTGATTTTCGTGACGTTTTTTGTCTCACGTTGTCCTTCTTTCGTGAAAGTTTAGCAAAAAAGCAGGAACTCTAGAAAGAAGAAAAGGAAGTTTATAGTTTGGTTTTCATTGTTATACGTTTTTTCTTTGTTTTGCTTAATAAAAAAAAAGAAATATGTTGAACAAGAGCGATTACGCATTTCTCATTTGTGACATTGCGAAATTTTTATTCATTTCCTCTGTCACATTTCGTTATTTCATAATTCGCGACTTATACTGACGAAATTACGTTTTATCTTGTTATAAAAACAGAAATGCTAAAAGCGACTATCATTCGGACCACTCACGATCATGACTGAACTGATCAGCGAGGAAAACTATAGTTTAGATAAAAATCAAGTTCGTATTGATTATACGACATTGACATCGCGTTTTTCAGTGATGCATACGAACAGTCTCAATGAGGGTGTTGCTCATTTGAATGAACATGGTTATGCAATATTCAGTGATATTATGTTACAAGATGAAATTAATACCAATAAAGATTTATTATGGAAGTTCCTGGAAAACATTCCTGGACGTCAGATTCGTCGTAATGATCCCATGACATGGTCAGATAATTGGTAAGGAAAGAAAATGATTATACAATGCATTGTTGTTTCTATCTCCGTAGGCCGGGAAATCCTAGATTCGGTCTAATCGCCGAATGTGGTGTTGGCCAATCAGACTTCATGTGGAATGTCCGTTCGAATCGAAATACCAAACGTGTTTATTCTCAAATATGGAATACAAACGAACTGCTAGTTTCACTTGATGGTTGTGGTATCTACCGAAATTGGCGGTATGAACCACAATGGAAAACAGTAACAGGGTGGTATCATGTTGATCAAAATCCGGTATCTAAACCTGATCGATGCGCCATTCAAGGATTTGTTTCGCTTACCGATCAGAATGAAACCACCGGTGGTCTTATACTTTTTCCAGGCACACATTTACGTTTCAATGAATTAGTTGATGTCGTTCGTCGTGAAAAAGATTTTATTCCTATTCCGAGTGACCATCCAGTTCTTAATCGTGGCCGTGCGATTGGTAAATTTATTCATTGCCGAGCAGGTGATCTTGTCGTATGGGACAGCCGTGTGATCCATTGCAACTCGCCGGCTTTTGTCGATCGAGAACAATTAAGTGACCAACCTAACGAGCTAATACGAATCGTTGCTTATGTTAGTATGGGTCCGACAACATTCGTACGAGATTATACATTAGGTCAATTCCAAAAACAAAGAAAATTAATGGTACAAAATAACTGTACGTTGACTCATTGGACTTTTGAGTTAACGAAAGAAAGTAAGGTTCTTCCAGAAAGAAATATCCAAGTGTGAAAAGTTATTTTGATTTTATCTAGGTACTGGTTTCACTTTGCCCCGAGTGTCTCTAGAAAAACTCGACGCTTATCAACGTTCATTAATTATTGGAACAAATATTGACGATGAATAGTAATTATGCATGGTGCGCCTTATCACTAACGTTTTCTTTTCGATATTCTGTAACATAAATGTCATATGAACTATCTAATTGATATTATCATGAAAGGAAAAGGATATTAATCAACTATTTGACTTGACCAGTTCGAAGAATGAAACACGAGAATAAAACTCAATGTAACCTATTAGATCAGATTACGCTCGATGATTATCTCATGAAAAACACATCGAACGTTTATTTGATTCGCATCTGAAAATAGAAGATCAATGAATCTGATCGGCATACATGGATACTTAGAATATCATATAAACAACAACAAATCAAACTGACCATGAGTCTCGTTTAATGATGATTTTCTTTGACATCGAATACTAGTCGTTTCTTCAATATGAATATCACTTAAAAGAAGAACAATAAATGATCAACATCGATAGACACATAAATCATAAACACTGTCTTGTTCATCTTCAAACGCGTACGTGAGTCGATGGAATATTTATTTAGCTATGTATTCCGACGGAGAGAGAAAATCAATCTTGTTAGAAGTGATCGTTCACATATATTATACCAACGTACATTTTGTTGCTCTTCCGTTACATCACTCGTGCCATCGTAGTGGAGCGAGTGACTTGAGGCGATACATTTATAGGAGAAAAGTGTATGATGTGATATGTCGACATTAGCAAAACATCAACAACACCCTATATTTATCCAATGAATTATGTCGTCATATAATGTTATAACTGTCAATGATGATAATCTTTTCCGCAGAAAAAAAATGTATTGTTCATTGGAGTTTTATGATTGCTAGTGGCATCGAGAACAGATGTTTGAGTACCCTATTTTCATTACAGGTAAAACATTTCCTCATGAGAATAAGTCATCGATAGACAGGAAAACGGATAGATTCAGTAATTAGCATCGTTTACTAGGGCATACCAAAGAGGCTAGAGGAAGAAAGAAAGAAAAACGTAACTCTCTGTACAGTGTGCGTGTGTGTATCACAAAGTGATTATCTTTCATGTGATTTGTACAAATAACGTTTAAGCATTAGAGAGAGAGAGAGAGAAAGAGAAAAAGGAAGACTATGTTTCTGGCTTTTCATATGCGTCTGTATGATGTAAAGAAAGAAGAAGAGCAACGCGGAAATTTAAGACGATTATCCGCAATCATCACTGTACTACTACCATCTAACGAGTTGCACAGACAGCGGCCTATTAGCACTCATAAGTGAATGAATCGTTCATTTGCTGCGTAGTGTGTACAAACAACATCATCCATCCGTTTTCAACTGTGCTTCTTTGATACATCAAGTATTTAATTCAAATTGACAAGTCATCCATTAGCAAAACGTGTGCTTTGTGTACACACGATATTCAACAATTTAGTAACTTAGCTTTTTTCCATCGAAATCTTCATTGTTATCTTGAAGAGCAAAGAAAATTTCTCGACTAGATCGATTCAACGAGAATGGTAGTGTTAGTCAAGTGAGTATAATCTTGAACAAAATAAACAGTTAGTCTGTCTTCGACGATGGAAAGAACAGTAGGAAAGAGAAAACAAATGAGAATCAAACGACATCATTCGCATGAAATGTGCTCGTGATGGTGATGAGAAACATTCGGTACGTCGATAGATTGTTAATTGCACTAGAATAATGATGATGAGAGGAGGAGATTATTGTATGACTGGTTGCCACCCATACTGTTCTAATCGCATTCTTCTTTATTAAAATATCTTATACGTGTGTGGATGTGGGTGTATGTGGGGCAGTAAGTCATCTATTTATATGTCAAAGCGATTGGCAATGGCCACCAACTGAGTGATTTATAGAATAAGATGAATATTAATCGATTATTTCGTTTCCATTTTGTTTTAGATCATCATGTAAATAACACACACGCCATGCGATGTTCAGTCGATTGTTCCTTGTTTGTCTTCTTTTTGTTATAAGCCAAATATGGGCTTCATGCCCATATATTCGTACATCGGTTATTCTATCTGAATGTGTTTTCGATTCCGATCTTTATATATCGCTTGGTGCCAATATTCTCAACTCCAATTCGATTAATTTCATCGGATATTATTCATTAGGTCAAAACAGTAATCTTAGTAACACACTCATCTACAATTTAGGTAATCGCTGGATGTTATTGGTACCTTTATTGATAAAGTGTGCTCATCAGCCTGTTAATTTGACATTTACGGAATGTCAGTACACAATGAGACAGAATAAGAATAGCAATCGAGTCATATCAACAGCTGAATACATGACAACACAATCGAGTGTTTTGAATATAACTGATCTTGGTTTACAATCAGTTCTATTTCTTCAACCAGGTTCGTTTTCCAGTTCTCTGTTTTCTTCTACAAAAGTACATTTTTCTATTTAGGAGAGATTTCCCTTCGTTCCTGTAAAGCATATGATTGTGATCAGGAATTAGTCTACTTAACAGCATCCAATGAAACATTCAACGTCAAAATCAACTATGAAAAGCCGATTAATACAAAATGTGAATACGACGAAGATTGTCAACGATCATATTCAGTTAAAAATCTTGTTCGTTGCGATAAACTAACTCAAACATGTCAATGTTACCATGAAAATATCACGACGATTGATGTAACAGGTGTGGGACGAATATGTACGGATTCCATTGATCAAAGTAATTGTACAAAGTTTCCTCGACGTTGTCTGAAATGGTGTGATGAAAGTGAAACATCGTATTGTCTTTGTCCGAAACTAACACGAAAAGTAAGAAAGATCAATGGTGTATTTGACTGTGAGTTGGAACCAACCGGACAATGTCAGTTCGACGATGATCATCTATTTGGATCGAATATAAGAAAATGTCCAACAGGTACAGGAAAGCACGATTATTGAAAAAGGAATGTGCATTACGATCGATTTTAGGTACGTATTGTGATGGTGAACGATGTCGTCCGTTAACAATCTCTCGACAAGTTTATGAAGAAGAACAAGAATTAATCTATACTTCAACAGCCACGACTTCATCATTACAAGATCTCGTCTCATCGACGCGTAAACAAGTTAATTCATTAACTCAAACAACAGTATTTATTCGTACTTTAATTTTTATAACAATAGCAATAATCCTATTTTTTATTCTGATTATTCTTATTATCATCATACTGATTCGTTCACACCGTATTCATGCATCAACAACACCAGCTGAAGATAAAGTTTCTTCATCTTCATATGCTCAATCAACATCAACAGCTCTTTCAAGTGATTCAACAACAAATAATAATAATAATAATTATCATCATCATCGGCAATTAAAGCAACAATCAAAAGAGCAGACGATTCCATCAGTAACATCTGTCAGTTATGAAAATATCTTAGCGAAACCCGCATTTGTTCGCGGAATAGTGCCTGAAACGAATCTCTCGCCACGATTTCATCCCCAACAACTAACCATCGACGATAAACGACGAATACCCGTGCAGATTCGCTCGCCATCATTATCGCGTATTAATCCATTCATTGATCATGCTTCATTAACAACGAATGAACACTCTGCAAAAAAACGTTCACCATTACCGAAAGTTACATGTTTACAAAATGGAGATATAATTATATCAGCATAGAATGTTTGTTTTTCTCTCTTTTTGTTGTTTCGACGTACAGGTTATGTGTGTTTTCCGCTTTGTTTTTATGTAATCGATATTGAAATGAACATTTAAATTGAGCATTCACGGTTTCAATGCTATTTTCGACGAAGGATAAAAGAAATGGACTTCGACGAATTCCACTTTCTGACTGTTTTCAGAAAGAAGATGGGTATATCGAACTAAATTCCAGTCGATCATGAGTTATGACACGCTAATTTTTCGTGTGAGAACTTCTTTCATTATAGTACTTATTCGATTGATTGACTTGACTTACTTCCTATCGAAATGTAAAGGTGGAACGGATAGATCCGTTTTTATCTTAGATTTTATTTTTGTCGACAATTATATATTAACCAAAGTGATATTTCATTCTAAAGAGGGAAAATAGGGGAGTCTTTCGATTTGAATTCTATAGTCAAAAAAGATTCATGACGAATAATAGAATTAAGGACAGTAAAGTCTATTCAATGAAAACAGCAAGAGAACTGAGCGAAAACGTACTATTTTTAACTCGATCAAAGTCTACCGTACTTTGGTCTAAATAAAGATTATGGGTACATCGATATTTTCAAGTACTAGATAAAGCGAAGTATTTTATATTCCAGGATCCATGTTTAATCTGTCAAACGGAGCCCTTTCAATAAACGAAGATTGCTTCTTGTGTTTTTTATTACGTACTCCGTTTTTTGAGCGTCAGATAGTGCTAAAAGTGATCTATACATGTATATGACACTGTAATGTGGTTGTTGATAGATGGCGCCACAGAGGGTAGATCAATGCCAATCGGGATCGGGAAAACGGTCACTTCCAGGATCACTCGACAATCACCCAGAAATAAATACTGACGGACAGCAACGCCCTATGACCGATTGTTTTTAAATATTTGAGATTGTTTACCAGATTGTAGTTGTTCTTACTAGAACGAGTAATACGCCTTATATGCCAAATTTCAAAGACGTTAGGCTCTGAAACATAACTCATCTGCTGAATAGAATATGCGATTTCAATTGTTTGATTGTATGACTCTTACCGAAATATTAATGGTATCATTGTGTACACGATATGCGTCATTATAAGAGACAATAAGTCTTCTCTATTCGTCGAAGAAAAGGTACTGGATAAAAGGATATATGGAACTCTAATTCCGCAACCTTCGCCACTCTCTCAGTAACCAGTAACTAATATGATTCTCATTTCAATTTTCGTATAAACGTAAGTTAACTTGCGTATGCATTTTTCTTTCGGGATTATAAAAAGAGGAAAACCGTATTGTGCATGTAGAGCATAGATTGATTCGGTAAAAAAAAAGTTCGAAGAACATCGATAAGAGAGATGATTGAATGACGTTTCAGTAGTATTCATTAAACCTTTCGCTTAGATGGTAATAAAAAAAACTCCTATATAACACACTGATTATTGATAATATTTCAATCTCTTCCTTCGAACTAGTTGTACAAGAATGACTCCAAAAGATGAGTCTAGGCGTAAACATGCCAAAACAACAGCATTTTTTAAAATGTGGTTATAGTCCTATTGTCTTCTTGATCAGCACTTAGGTAACAGTAAGAGTTCAAGTGTCCCGATTGCATCCGCAACGTTCGTGTCTACGAAATGCTGGTTCAATCATTGCTAAGACTTCGTATAACTGACAGCTCTCTAAAAATTGTCGAGTCTAAGTTTCACGACATACAAATGTATATCGCCAAATTTGACCAATCAACGATCAGCTTAATAATACTGATCCGCAATTCTATTTCAATGATCATCAAAAGGAAAATTTCACTATTTGAGTAGTCTCATAGAGAGAAAGTATTTCCAGAGAGACAGCGCTCCAGAAAAGAGCTTTCAGATGCAGTTTTTCCAATAGCAATTGGTAGAAAAGAGAGAAATTATCATAATTACAAGCATTGTCCAGACGCCGACGATCTTCCGGTCTATCCAATTCTGCATGACAAAAAATGAAGATTCACGCGTCTGAAATTGTACATACAGTTCGTGACGTTCTCTGTCTGACAAAAGAACTCCTCTAAATTAAATTAGAAGGAAATATCGATGGACCTCTTCTATGGAATCACTCGTGCATCGAAGGAGAAAATGGTGCACATCTGTGTACGATTAAAGTAGCTGCATCATTTTCCGAGTATCACATGCGATATGTATATTATTAGAGATGTGCAAAACTATGAACAAACAAACTGAATGGAATCGATCTCTGTATGTCTTTTTTTTCGAATAGTTTTATCATACTTTTGGTAAACACTTAAGAATCACTCTAAGTGATATCAGAACTTAAATAAATAAAAAAATGAAGATTGATTTCCCCTTCGTATATTTTGTCAATCGGGAGTTTTCAAACAAATCCATTTCTTGTTGTTTGTACACTATCCAATAACAAGTTCTCCAAATCATTCTCACACATTCAATCCAATCGCACTTTCATCTTGATTCTATGCTTTCTTTTCTTTTTCAATTATTAATGTGAGACACAACTCACAAATAGACATACAGGAAAACGAAGAAATTTGTCGACCAATCGAAATTTTCGCGCGCGTAAAGGCCGTGTCCATCGTTTCTGCACACCTCTATCAAACGTCTTCCGTTCTATTACATCTATCATCAATCAGTCATATAGTCTACACAACGCTGATCAAATTACATTTTTCTCTCGCTGCGTTTTGAGCCAACCAACGAGAATGCCGCATTTTTTTCTCTTCTTTTTGTTCGTTCGTGCGCTCGCTCGCGTTAATGGTAGTAAAGAAAAAAAAGAAAAATATTCATCCAACACTCTGTGCTACACATACACCCATATAACTCATTCGGTCGCAAAATATAAAGAGAAAGCAGTCTTCCCTTTTTCTCGTTTCTTTCTTTCTTTTTCTTTCTTTACTATGTGCTATGTGGGTGGATGTGATGTTGTAAAGCTCCAAACGTAGTAGACACAACGTATGATGCATACAAATGTAAGAAAAACTTGTGAGTATTTCTGATACTCGTCTACAGCCTCAGTTTTATCTTTGAAAGGTAGGAAATTGTAAATAGTCGTTCTTTTTCAAACATGGGAATGTTGTGTACACTGGCGACACATTGTGTTTTTTCTTCTCTGCAAAATAGTTATGGTAGTTGTGTGTACATGTAGACATTCCGATAGAAATTGTCTGCACAAAATTTTCTTCTTTCTTCTTTGCTTTCTCCTCCTTATTGATGGGCAATGATTATCCTCGCTTGCCCGCATCGTCGTCGTCGTGGTCGGCCGTTCGACTCGACTATCGTTCTTGCGTTAGTAGCGACCTACATCGTCGTCTACTAAACTACTAGTAGTAATAATAGAAAATTCAGCTGTGTCGCTACCGCTATAGCTTCTTCTTCTTCTTCTTCTTGTTCTGTTCTCTTCGTCTCGATCGGGACAAAAAAGGACGTGCCCGCTATCGCTCCCGCCGCTTTTTTGATACTCTACCACACATAGAAAGAAAGAAAGGTTGAACCTTTTTCTTTTTACACTGCCCCAATGCTTGATTGCTTTTTTTTCCTCTATCGTTCGTATGTTGTGAGTGTGTGCACTTATCAGAACAACTCTCATTCGCGCCCGCTTGTGTTGACTTAGTCCAAACGAGTAACCCTACTGTCTTTCACTGACTAAACACGCTCAAACACGAAGAGACAACAAGAAAATTCGTTCAATTAAAACATCTAATTAGGTTTTGCTCTTCATTTATTCTAATTATACTCAGGTGTTGACTTAGTTTCGTCTAATGATATCTTGCATTTTCTTTCTTCATTATTCTTTTCAATTCATAGTTATTTTCACACTCTTTCATCATATCGATATTGTACGAAAGATATACTTTAGATGGATGATAAAGTTGCTGTAGAATCTCCTCTTGTGAATTTACTGTTCAAATGTCCTCTATGTCACGGTCTTATTCGTTCACCAACAGTTATCAATGAATGTCTACATCGCTGTAAGTTCCTATTTCAATGAACATTACTTGAAACATCGACGATTTCATTTTCTTAGTCTGTAAACTATGTATAACGAACTATTTCGAAAATACTACTAATAATAAATGTCCAACCTGTCAAATAACCGTTGTCAATCCATTGGAAACACTTAAGTAGGTGCTCATCTTATGCATTTTTCTAATCTCATACGATGCATTTATAGATCTGATCTCATCTTTCAACGACTCTTGTACAAAATCTTTCCATACATTTTTCAACGTACGTTATTCTTCGTTGTCTTCTTCTTCGTCTTGTCGTTACCGTCCTGTTTTTCTTTCTAGGTGAAATTGCGTGCAGACCGTCTCTTCTATCGCCGACAATTACTAATGGTAATGCATCGTATATTTTCCTTCTTTTGCCTCAAGGAATAACTTGATGTCCGTTTTTAGAATCGACGCGTATTTCACTTGACTCAATCATCAATGTGCACCTTCAATATTGGGATATGTAAGTATTCTTCATTTCATTGGTTCATTTTCGTTTCCGAATATGTGTCAATAAACCAATTAATATATCGAATATTTCTTCTATAGTTCATTGGATCTGTTTCCAAATAGTAAAAAATCATCTGTCACAGTAAGAAAAACGCATGAGTTCATTTTCGTCGATAATTCTAACACATTTGTTTTCTTGATTAGTTGTCTCCATGTTATTTGGAATGTAAAGCTAGTACGCCGTTAACTTTAGTAGAAAAATTTATTCGAATCAAGCATTCGTTACCAGCCGATCTTCAGGTAAAGCGTTCCGTGTTGAAAATGCATCGATTTCAATAGTTTTTGTGTTTAGATCGATGTATTTTATCAAACATTTTTATTGAACAAAGATCAGGAAAGGTTAATTGACGTCTGTTTCTGTTTTGATCGAATGAATAAGGTACGCTCGAACGAAATCTTTCTTTGATATACATGAGAAATATAATTGAATTGTTTTCTCTTTGCAGAATCAAACACTTGATATTCAATTTGTTGTTAGTCCTTACGGTTATCGAGCAATTTTAAATCGTATCCATAAATTAAAAAATCCAACTTCACTAACAACAATTCAAATTACTGAACAAACACCATTAAAAATTGAAGTTCCTCAAAAACCAACTCCGGTCATTCCATCATCATCTGCATCGTCATCATCAGGTTCTAGTTCAATTGATCCAAAGATCAAAGTCAAAATTCGTCGATCTCAAACATCAACCAATGATTGGTATATTCCTCAATCAAAAAAAGTTGATGAACCCGTTGAATTACCTGATCTAGTCAATTCATGTGAAACTATTGCAAAAACTGCTAAACGTAAACAACAACCGACAACTCAGTCGCCCGTATCACCAGCAAAGAAGAAAACAACACCAGCTTCATCTACGTTTTTCTCTGTCAATCATATTTCGCAACCAAAACGTACATCGCCGATAAAGCCTCCGACGAAACCGAGAAGACGGACGCGTTTCATTCCAACAATGGTCAAAGCTCCACCTTCAGTACTCGACCGTTTATCAATGGATCATTATGATTACAGCGATCACGATTCTGATAGCTCCCTTCTTTGCCCTTCGAGCGACTTTCTCGAACAATCGGTGACAACATTGCGACCATCAGAAATGGTGATCGGTAATATAGAAGGAAATGGAACAGATTCTACTGAAACCAAACGAGTGCAAAAAACGATTTGTAAAGTTCCACCTTATATACCGGAAAGTACGGCGTCAGAGAATTCTTCGTCGATCATTAAACCAACACCGATGTATCGGTCATCTTCTCCTATACGACGAACGCTGTTACCGAAAAAACTTTCGACGATCATACCGTCATTGACAGATCGGTTACCATCGCCAGATTCGACTAGTGCAGCTCCACTTGACTTAAGCTTGAAATGAATATACTAATGAATGGTGTCAGATATGGGAAAAAAGCATTTTCTTGTTGTTGTTGTTGGTTCTTTTTAATTGAATTGTGTGTTTCTATTCTATTCGATATCCAAGGAACAGTGTTTCACAATTGAGTTCTTCTTCTTTTTTCTTGTACACATCTAATTATAGCTTCGATTGTTTTGTTGTGCGTACGATGTCTGAAACGAGTTGAACGAAAAAAAAAGAAGATAAAAGATTGAACATTATCCGGCATTCTTCTGAATGAAAACGAACGAATAACTTATGAAGAGAGAAAGAGAAAGAGAACATATCTCGAACGGTGATTGGATGTCTTATGCAAAGCGAAATATTCAACTCTGTGTGCAGAGCAGAACTCGAATGAGTTGACATGCAGATCTTTCGATCATGTCCAGTATGACACACATATTCGATCTTTAATAATCAATCATGCGAATGAGTGCTCGAACTGCGACAGATATTGATCTTTTATTCTCGAGTCAAGTGTATACATATCGATTTCTATTGGTCAAACGAAAAGAAACCTAACAGTTATTTATTGTTGAACAATAGATTCATTCTACATGCATTAACAAGTTGACTTTCATTTTCAACTCAGTAACAATCGATGTTTGGACAAGGGCCGAATCTATATACGAAGAAAAACGAAGTTCAGATGGGATCGTTATCTTCAAACCGAACTGGTTTCGTTACGTGATAAGAAAAATATTCTTTCTCAGCATAGCAATCTTTATTTGAATTCATCTTCCGAAGTGATTAAACATGATTTCTGTCCAATTATTTTATCGACCATTTGCCAATGTCGTTGTGTACTTGTTCCCATACCCATTCGTTGAATCATATCGAGGATACTTTTCACCAATGAAGCATATCTAATGACGGCCTCTTCAAATCTATATTGATAGATCAAATACTTCCACAGCATAGTGACGATTCGGTTTTCTATCTGCAACATTGCTCGGGAAGGAAAATATTCCAATGAATCTTCGACGACAACGGAACAGTTACTCGAAAAGATCGTGACCAAAAAAATGATTTTCATCAATGTTGCGTTTTCATCAAATCGTCGACTGAGCTGAACGACTTGTTTCGAGTAAGCAGTTCCATAGATCTGTTCGACGCATTTCAAATACAATTCGTTTTCGGATAAATTCAGTTCTCTACAAATGAACAAACCGTTTTGACTGCCAACAATACTTAAATTACGTTTCATGAGCATGTGACGAATATTAGCCGATAGATCGTGAAATAACGGACAACGTTCGATGAATGTAAACGATTGTGCGAAAAGCGTTCCGACGTGGCACAAGATATTTGATTCTTTGCAGCGAAATTTCAATGGCAGTGAAGATTGATTTTGAAAAAATAGTTTGGACTTCACAAAGAAATTATGCGCATCGTATGTGTTGACAATATTCGAAAGAAGATTCCATTCGTCCAGTGTTAAAAGTGAACGATCATCGTCGAGAAGACTGTTTGTAGGTAGCTGAAGAGAGATTATGTGAAATCTTGTAAAACAAAACGATTAAGATGTTTTTACTTTCGATGTACTTGTTGGTGGCGAATGACGAATCAATTTCGGATCCATTCCAACTCGAAAGCAGCATCTCAATCGACAGGCTGAACAATATTTTCTCGTTTTCGGTGTCATTATACATCGATCATTAAAGTAGCATGGCACTTGTGGCTAAACGAAGCTCAACTATCATTTTTCTACTCGAATTTCTCTTACTTTTCGTGATTCCACATGTCGTCGAAAGAACATTTTACATGACATACATGTGAGCGCTGCAAAGTTTATTCCACGAGCCGTATCACCACATATCTGACAAATTAACGGACACGGAGACGTTTCTTTACTTTTCCAAGTTCTTTTCTTCATCATGAGGACGACTTTGTGAAATTCTGGATAATTATTTCAAATTCACGTTAATTATCTGAAAAAAAAGCGGATTACTCAATAATGTTGTCAGATTCTATTTTCATCCCAAACCTACTCGCTTGTTTGCCTCGTACCGATCTATCTTATTTATATTACGATCAATAAAAAGTAATCGAGTAGAATTAAGCACACCTAGTACATGTTTATATCATACAACGCACACGTTTGCACTTAAGACTTTTTTTCCTATACTGAATACACTTTTCACTGGTATGCTCTTCTCGTGAAGCATACGGAGAGAAAAAGAGGTCTTCTCTTGTTTCTAACAATTAACACAACAACATTGCTGAAAACGACGGTTTAGATTGTTAGACGAAGGAAAATATTTTTAGCACAACATGTAAGGTGTCGAATGGGAATTTTATAGTTCATTCTGTCAAGCACAGCAGCTATGCAGGAATGATTGGAATATTTCAAATTGTCATCAGAGTTAGTAATAAATTTAGTATGACTTAAAAATAGTTCAGGTCGCGGGTTCAAGAAAAAACATGTATCCAAAAACGAAGTGTTAGTGATGAATGAGAACACAGTCTACTCTTGTACGATGATCAACGATGGATATTATTTAAAGAATAAAACTACAAAGAGGATAAATCAAATGAAAAGTCAGATGTGTGTTACAGGCTCAACCGAACGTGCAGAGCGACAAAATAGAAAAACATGATTTAGATATTACCTGCTTTCTTTGCGCGCAGAATGGGAAGTGTGTCTGACGTGTTTTTGAAAAGAGAATGTTTGAACTACCAGCATTTATTCCCAAGTAGAAAACAATGATAGAAAATGGGAAGATATACTTACTATTCATCTTTTCTTACGATGAGAATAAAACACACGTGTTGTATGATAGACGTTTGCAATATTCTAGAGGTAAAAACTGGAATCAAATACTTCAATAAATATATTAAACGACAGGTGAAAAGAGATAAATGTCAAATGCTTTTTTTTTAATTCACAAAAAAGCTAAGCCATAGGCCTTATTTTGCCATCCAACAAAGTTAAATGGTGTTTTTTTTTCTCCGTAGAAGAGATGCAGTACGTAAATATTATAAATAGAAAGTAGTCTACTAATGAAAAGTGCATGGAAATCGCAAATATGTTCCATCTGAAAAATTGATTCCGCAAGATCTGATGTTAATGAATGAATTCGTTATATGATAACACAGAACAGAATTAATCTAAGAAATAATCACATTTAAGCGAAGCAAACTTGATCTTTTCTATAAAATGATCTCATATAACCACAGAATTACTCAATACTCTCACGAGCTTTCACGAGATCTTCTATCATATATAATGTAAAAGTTCCTGTTTACCTTGGGTGAATGGAACAAGTAGAGTTTAATATGTAAACTTCATTTATTCTGTACCCGAAGCAAAACTAAACGGATAAAGTCATGTTCAGTCAGAGCATACAGCACTTCAATTGCAGCATACTTATATATATATAATAAAGCAAAATTAGGTTCATTTGGGTGGAACATAGGAATTAAAAAATTAACTTTTATTACGTTCATTTAACTGCTAAACTTATTATGAAAATGTCTAGAGAGATTTTTCCGAGATTGACATACAGCTCGATGTGTCATTCTCCAAATATATTTTCTGTTCCATTGATGGATTGTATAGCATGGCATTTATACACAAATGTATTTAGAAGTTTATTAATTTCTTTAGATACAATAAAACTGTTCACGATAGTTAACCGACTATCATCAGCTTGTATTGATTGATGAAAATAATTTAGGCAACAAGATTTAGCTGTAATAGTGGCCATATAAATATATGATAAATACAAAAGATGGAAACTAGGATATCTTGGCGAAATTGAACTGTGCGATACAACGAGAAAATTACTTCACAACACATGAACGAAAAACTATTGAATGACTATACGCTCAATGTCAATGATCGATCAACATTGTCAATAACTGTGCCCACCATTTCTTCATACTGTGCCTTTGGTCCACGCTCCATCCATCGAAGTGTATTCAAAATATAGGCTATATAGGATGTGAAACATCTAATCGCTCCTTGAAAGCCGTGTTGATAATTCAAATATTTCCAAATCATTGTTACGAGGAGATCTTGGATGCGAAGTAAAAGCGATCTATTCGGTATAGATCCTGTGTGCCAATTTTTCACTGGTATGACGATCGAAGCGCTCTCAGAAAATCCGATCAGTAGCATTAGGAGTTTGAAAATCACACTGTTTGGTTCGAGTCGGGCGATAAATTGTTGTAGTATTTTGGCATTTTCAGCTCCGTAAACTTCGGCTGAACCCATCATATATGCGGGATATTCCACAGCGTTCGTTTCGCGTACGACATATATTGAATGACAAGCTCCTGTTAATTTCGAATTTCGTTCGGTTAGAATCTGACGTGTGGCCAGTGATAATTCATGATAAAAAGGTACACGGTCGATAAAAGTTTGAAATGTAGAATAAAAGTAGGCGACAATTTCGAGAGTAACACTCGGTTTTGCGCGTAGTTTGGGTGGAAGAAGTGCTTGTTTTTTCAGCATACATGTTGAATGTTCAATAACATTGTTTTGATCATAGGCGTGAAGGATATTCGATAAGAGATTCCATTCCAAAGTCGTCAACGTTGAACTGTCATTCTGTAAAAGATTCAATGGTTTGAGCTAGAAAGAGATTTGTAATCAAACGATGAAAACATCTACATTGAAAACAAACCGATGGTAATAGGTGCATTTTCTTTTTTTTAACTGGACGATGTTTTCCTGGTATGTAACGTATTAAACTCGGATTCATTCCTGACGAAAGACATTTCCGTAAACGACAAGCCGAACAGCCACCACGTGTGAGTCGTGTTATTTCGCAATTATTGTGTAACTGGCATTGCAAATGATTCTAGAATCGAAAAAGTCAATTTCCAGACACTTCGCTTTCCAAAATCTTACCGCTGGTTGTAATGCATGACGGCGGAAGAAAGCTTTGCATGACATACACGTCATTACCTCAAAGTTAATCCCACGTGCTACATCACCACATATTTGACAGATCAGCGGTAAATTACACGTACGTTTCGTTAACACCATGTTTTTAATCTAAAATATCGAGAACGAATTTACAGAATGAGATGAAAAATACAAGATTGCTTTCTTTTCTTTCAAATAAAACAAATTTATAAATCTATGGTAATCTTAGATTTACTATGACGTTGTTATGTAGACGATACCACCTGATCTCATCTACCCAAACTTGTAGGTGAAACAGTAATGCGACTTTTCTCTGTCATGTCGAAAGGAGCAGAAAATCAATTAATAACAATCTAGTTTGCGCAAAACATTCGTTCAATGTCTTACAATATCGAGAAAAGAACTGAAAGTGTGTAATAACGTGTTCTACTTTGATACCAGACTCTAATAATGATGATATCTGGAGAAGACTCAAAAATTAATAACCTGTCATACTGTTATACGATTAAATGTATCGAAGAGTTCGAGACTTTACCGTTGGCATCATCTATCCTTTGAAAAAGTTCATCGAAAAGAAAAAAAATAAACAAAACAAATATTTTTATCAGTGCTTTCAATCTTCTTGATTTATAATAAGAACACTAAAGAAATTGATCAGAAAACGAACAAATTTCAGTTCACTAAATGATCGAATTTTAATGTCATCGGTTGATTAATCAAAGCACCTAAAATATAAATAGAAAAAACAACTCGCAATCCAATAATCATTCAATCATACCGAAAGAAAAACAATTTCCGCCGCCGCCTAATATCAGAAACGTTGTTTTATTCAATAATACTGTTTGGTGATTGTAAAGAATTATTGGTTGCTCCGCACATGTGGACTACAATAACGACAATTTCATTTTGATTCTATTCAAAATGGGTATTATACTACCGGTATGAGATATTCAACAGCTTCGCCAGTGATTAAATTGATCTTGCATAAACCCGGTGGTCGTCGTTCATTTGCATTAATTCCACCTAATAACCAAAGTGTATCATCGATAATGTCTGCAGTGTGTGAATATCTAAACGAAGGCAATGATTTAGGGACCATGAAGATTCAATCCTACCTCGGAATGATATGTCCATTGGTTGGAAATAACGTCCAAGTCATATGATCTTTACTGGTATCTAAGAACCAGATCTCATTAGTTGGCTCTTCATTTTCCAATAATCCACCAGTTAATATTGCAAAGTGTTTATAAGCGCTCAAACGAGCAGAATTCCGATTCGTAGGTATCAGCTGCGAAAACTGCGAAGGAATTAATTGGCCATTTGTTCGTAAACAGATTGTATCGTTGTTTGATTGTGACATACTGTTTTTGCCACCGAATATAACAATTTTATCAGTTTCTTGAATGTAACAAGAACAATGTCGCCAACGCCGAAGAAATTTGTCATCTTCGTTGAAATTCGAAATTTCGAGTGCTAAAATAATGCAATTCAGTATCAGTTGGAAAGCAAAATATTTTCGATCAATCTTACTGTTAATGTTAATAGACGAACATGGATTGAGTATACCTGGACTTTTTCGACCAAAGAATGCTAAGATGAAATCTCCCGACACATGACACGTATGAAAGACACATTCTCCTACATTTCACAATAATTATCTGCACAAATTCTCATCCATGATCTTACCGAGCAGATGATTATCTAATCTTTGTATATCGCCATTTTCGATGTTTAATACTTCGATTGTTTTCAATCGTCGATGTCTGCCATCAACGGTTCCGAAACCTCCAACTGTCCAAATGTATTTTCCATTGATCAGTATCGATTGATGACCAAAACGTTGAGCATACGTCATCGAAGTTGGATAAAGTTCAAATTGTAGATTCACTTTCAATTGATCATCCATACAATTTGATTGTAGAGCTCCTTTTCTCAAATGAATAATTGAGACGAAATCTTTCGTCATTTGTTCAAACCATTGCTGTGCTACATTTATTGGTGTTTTCAAACCGAAAAGAAGAATATAATGGGCGCATTTCGATTGCCATTCTTCAATTTCATCGAATGGTTCTAATAAATCTATTCGATTATGTTCTTCGGATGAGAGACCATTCCGATAGAAATTGTGCATATTCACACACAATGATAGATCAAAGCCCTTCGAAGAACAATGCTTTCATCAAACAACAATCAACAATATTCAACATACGAGATGTGTATAACGTTGGACTTGAGATTCACTAGTGGGATATTGATGTATACATTTCAAAGGTGAACCTAATTTGGCGAAATGTGCAACCATAACTTGACCGAAACCATCATCTGGCAGAACCTAAATTCGAAATCATGATTTGAAATCAAACTTTCATTGAAAACATCCTACTTGTTCGTAAGTACATAGAATACATTCTTGAAAAAAATCGAGGATCCATTGAATAACACGATTACAACTAGATCGACCCATGTATGTTAACACGACTTCACTGATTAACAAAGTCGGCTTAGTTTCATCAACTTTCACTGTTTGTAAAAGTGTATTGAGAGTCAATGAATCACGCATATCAACACCAATCAATGAATATTTTTCGTTAGTGACCGCTACAGAAAAAAACAATTTTTTTTTCGTTCAAAACTGAATACTCTCGATGTGATGTTGTTTACCGAAGTTATCTAGTGAACTAAATGTATGCACTGGTTCAAATTGTTCACTTAATCGAGATCGAACTTCTATCAATGCTAATTTCCTTTTCATTACTTCAGGAAAATCGATCTAAATCAAAACAGATTCACATCATTAGAGATCTTCTCGTTCAACTTACGTCAATAAAATGCGTTCGCTGTTTTCGCTCTTCTTCTAATCGGAACCAAGTTGCATCAAATCCAGCACCTAAATTAACAATCTACATCGAAATATTTAAGTGTCAACAAATAATTAGAATCACCTCATCTTCGCTCAGTTATTTCGAGAAAGTGAACATTACAAAGCCTTGCATCTTTTCTCCTATAAGAATCAATCTGTTGTTCGAAAATTTACCTGCACTTCTCGTTGATCATAAGTTGAATAGAACATATTCAACGCGTAATCTAACGCTTTCATTCTAATATAATATCCTCTAAAAAAGCCAAAGAAGTGTAAACATGTCTTCAATCGTTTGTAAATTCCTACCGATTGATCGAGGGTGAACGTCGAACATCTTTGTCTACGAAATCTCGAAGATATAAATCATTAAAGTATCCCAATTTCACCATCGAGACTTTCGATAATATACTCGAATCATTAGTTCCTTGTACCTTTCAAACAAAGATTTTGCATTTGGCATAGTGAAAAACGACTTACGGCAATGTCATTTCTTGCTTTTCGACTTTTTCTCTGATTAATACGGAAAGCTTCTTCCATCTAGAGAACCGAGAAAAACAAAATAATCTAAATACACAAGACGACAATAATGATGAAAAAGAAAAAGTGCACAAACGAAACATTGATGTGTATGTATGTTTTAAAGGAATAATAAATAAGAAAAGAAAAACAAATGAAATATATATATATGCATATGTCAGTCTATGTGCACGCATAAATAATAAAAATCAAGTCTAACTTAGACTAGACTCATGAGATACGCGTATGTATATAGAATAAACTCGAATCTTCGTTTTCCGAGTCAGCTTAGACTTTTTGCCGTTTGCGATGTACAACAGAAGCTGTGGTGGAATCAACAGACTTATCACTTTCGATAATCCGTATGCGAACTAATGCGATTTCTTGCCCGTTCATTGTTTCCATAGCAGTATCAGCACTACGTTCATCACTGAACATAACATAGCACAATTGGGGATTGGCCATACGAACATCGATTAGATTTCCAAAACGATTGAATATATCCCGAATGTAGTCTTCCGATACGGGGCGTTGAGGCATGATTTGTAAAGTTTTTGCTACCTGAAATGCATTAGTTGCTGGCAAACATGAAGATTTTCTCGATAAGTAACATACTGGTGCGTCAAATGAAGCATATTTTTGTTTTGGTGGTAATGGAATATTACAATAATCCACATATTCTTCTTGACTTCCTTGCAAGTTGCTCATCTAAAAAAGAATATTAAAGTTAAAGATAAATAGAAAGCAATTTGCGTTCATACTTGATGAATTAATTGTCCGATGCCTGATGTGTCACCGTATTTGCCATTTTGAGATTGATTGATAAGATCATTAACGATTCTAATCAATGGAAATGAAGGTGAAACTTTTCTTGAACAATCTTTCGTTCGTTACTTTTCATCATAGTACTGTACGGATAAAATTTCTCCATCAGGAAATTGAAATGCATGCAGCTTTTCACGTGCATACGTGGCAAATTGACAAGACTTGTAGCGTACAATGAAATAATCTAATAAAAAAAACAGAAATCTTCGTATGACGCAAACAAAACAACACAAAACTTTCTCTTTAATATTAATCTTTTACCATATTATAATCCGTTTTAATCCCGAAGGGGTTAAAAATATGAGAAATTATTATTGCTCTCGTCAATTATAAGAAAAAGTGTTGTCAGATGAATATTACTTACGTTCATTGAACGTATTTAAGCTTAGCGGAGAGCATTCTTCCATGTTTGGCACGAGATCAAATAGTTTCGAGATGTGATAATTAGTAATAGTCATTCCACATCGAACGATTAAACGACGTTCACTGTTTATATCTAATAGATGGTAACTGTTACTGACTGGCGAGAGCGTCGAAGAAGACTGATCTAGATTTGAAGGGAAGAAAAAATAAGAACAGAATGTTGAATGGGAAGAAGACGAACTTGATTCGACATTCGATGACGATGGTCGTGATGGTAATGGAAGAAGAGGTGGAGGTGATGGTCGATGATCATTCGAGTTTGATGATGGCGATAAATGCGGCTTACTTGATGATAGTTTCTGACGGTAAGGAGGCGAAACAGCACCATATATTGACGCTGACGATGGTACTGAATCTTCATTATCACGATGACGTTTCGATGAAAACGGTTCAGCAAATTTCGGTTTATAGCCTGAAAGAAAGTTTTTTCATCAGTAGAAAAGTGAAAAACTACTTGAATTTTGTTATGCATACTTGGATCACATTCCTCCAATGCATAAGCTGCTTCCGACGCTTTTGAAAATGATATATACGCAAAACCTTTATTTTCGCCAGTTAATTTATCAACAATGACTTTGATATTAATGATTGAACCGTATTTCTGCAAACGAAATCAATGAATCGCCTTCGAACTGTCTCGTGTCATCAGTATTTACCTGAAAAACTTTTCGTAGATCATCTTTAGTCATATGTTTTGATATGACAACAAACAAACGTAGCATTTTCTCGTGTTCATCAGGATCACGTACACTGCCTTCACGACGCGAACTGGATATGATAGCCTACGAGGAAAAGACAATAAGTCCATTGAAAACAAAAGGAAGAGAATATTGTACTTTTAATGGGCGAACATGAGGTGCAATAACTGTTCCATTCATTTCTTCCATAGCACGAGCTGCTGCAGAAGCCTTTTCGTATTTGATATATGCAATACCTTGGAAAGTAAACAAGTTATTTACGAGTTATATTCAAGCACAAGAGAAACCTTTGCTTTCTTGACTTCGCCGATCTCGTACCATGTGGATGTCTTGGATGGTTCCGTGAATTTGAAAAGCATTCCTTAATTCATCTTCGGACATCGCTTTTGGTATAAGTAAAAACAATCGACTAAACGGTGGATCATCAACATCTGCTGTTTTATGAAATACGGAGGATAATTGTTGACGTTTGTTTTGAGCTGATGCTTGCTTCTGTGATGAGCGATGTTGATCTTCGGATGAAACATCTCGGCTTCGGTTCCGATTGTCCATCGTAAAATCAATTATTCTGCATCTACTGCAAGAGGAGTTGTCGGAGTCGATTGATTAGTTTTCTGTTCGTCCTAGTTAACTACCTATAGAAAATATTGGCGCAACAGATGGCGCGACTGTTCTATGTCATCATTTGCTGTAAATATTGCATCACGTTTGTGTTGTACGATTATTACAAATGAATTTATGATGACATTCCACTCAATATCGTGGGAAAGCGCTTTTATTTTTTAGAATTGTATAAGTCAAATCTTTACAAGTTCACAGTTCGCGTGTATCGAAAGGTTAAATATAGTGGAAGAGCTTCCTTATCGGATTAAGGATGCCACGTGGAATATGGTTTTGTTTGCTGATATTGTCGATGGAAATAGGTAGCGGTCCAACCTATTTCACCCGGGTACGCAGAACGCCGAAGCGGTGGCTCGATGTTGTATCCTCTATAGTAGAAAAATAACCCAGAAGTGTCGTTTTCTCGTACTGAGATCAATTACCTTGTTAAATAACCGACGTCTAATGAGCGAAGAATCGATGCTTGGCCTTCGCCAACATCTCCGATGTGCTCTCGTGATGGAATACGATTAAACCATAAAGCATTCGGACCTATATTTAGTTAATTAAAGTCATCAAACATCACACCAAGGAAAGTCACTGGTCTTACCCGAAAAAACGCTATGCGATGGTCCGGGACGATCAAGAAAGAGATCGGAAGCACTTCGTTTCAAAGGTCTTCCTGCCCAGTACTCGATTGCTCGTATTTCTCGTTCTGGTTTCTGTCTCGACATACCCACTTTGCTTTTTCTGCGTTGATGTTTCAATCACTTGAGCACTCTTTCTCAATGAATGCTGCTTTATTGACAACAACACTCAGCTGTGTATTTCTTTCTTCTCCCTTTTTTTTTTGAGTCTTCGCAGCATTCCAACACATTACTTTCAGTCACCAATAACAACATACATGTGTTCTCCATAGCACGTGCATCTTTCCATGTTAACGACAAATAAACGGATACTTTTTAACATTTGATTATTGCTGACTGTATTGTGAAATTACATCGACAATCATCAGTTCAAAGCAAAGTGTGCAGAAAACTCCTTTACCAGTTAAAATATCATTATCGCTTGTAGCTAATTGATATCCACATGACTTTTTATGGGACGCTTGTTGCCAAAGGTATTAATATGTATCTCATTGATTAAGCAGCTATTTACAGAAGTTTATTTTTGTACATGTTGTCCTTGTGGGACATTCAAATAGTAAGTGCAGTATGATTGTATACTTACCAGTCATCTCACTGTAGTTTCATCGTTGTCGTGTGACACCCAGTTGATAGTCAGATACCTGTTAATGCGTATTTGAGGACTTGGTAAAATGTCAAAGACAATCATGTTTGAAAACTTGTTGGTGCGTAGAAGACCGTCAAAGAAGAACCAACGGAAATTCGGCAAAAAAGGTGGCAGAGTTCGAGAATAATAATACTCACATCCACCCAGGCACGAAAAATATCAAAATTACATGAACAAATCCGACAGTCACACCTTGAAATAAATGACACTAGTCATCAGATAATTAGTTTGTAAAAGATTTTAATAAAATAGAAAGAGAAGTTTATTTTGGTCGCAGAAAGTTAAATCAGATCAGCTTTAACAATGCGTTTCTATTTTCGTTAACAAGTATCGCATAATGATTATCAAGAAGAAATTGAGAAAATAAATAAGTGCTAAGAGAAAAAATAATGATAGAAAGGACTTGTGAGAATAAAATTTGTAACTAAAGATCACTTAAGAAAAGAGTTTTGAGAAGTTTTCCTGTAAACGTATGAAATCTGACTACAACTGTCTACTTTAAAAAAAAACAAAAAATATGTATAGAAAAGAGATCTGTCACTGTCTATTTGAATTGTCAGATGAATATTGTATTTTCTCTACGAAATATTCAATTACACGGTAAATCAATTCGTATTGTCGTTCGGTTTGCACCAAACCTAAGTGAGAGAAAAGAATTCAACTATGATCTTCTTCAGCAACTCACCTGATCGTTGACATCGAATATATCTAACTAAGTTCGGAATATCGATTTCGGTATCTAACCCTTCCGTACGAATACGATTTAGTATAATATCAATAGTAATCGTTGCTCCCGATCGACCTATTCCAGCACTACAATGAACAATCATTGGCGATGCATTCGCATCCATTCCAATCGGATTTGCACGTGCAATCCGTTCGAAAAACTCTAAAAGAATACTCAATTGAGTATTATCACGTTGATTTGCGATCAAGGGAATATCTACAACATCAAAAATGATACATCTGCCCTTTCGACAAATCGAATTACCATGATCGCCCCATGCTAAATACTGCCAGTGGAAAATATCCCATGTTCGTCGATCTTCTGTTGTTATTCGCAATACACGTAAACGATAACAACAATCGTCATCGACGGATGCTGGAGTTGCTACTGTACGGTGCGAACGTGATGAATGATTCGGCAATTGAGCTGGGCCATAGTTCGTCTCACTGATATTTTCAACAGTAACCGTGCCATATTGCTTTACTGCATGTAGTTCAGGCCAATAACGTGCACACTTACTCTACGAAAGGTGAAAGCGGAGGTGTGTCGATGTTTTTACTCAGTAATTTTGTGAAAGATACATACCTTAGTGCCTTCCATTTCTCGCGTGATCATCAGAATACATTTGACTAATTCTTGCTGTACCATGTGCCAGAAATCATTGACTGTAGCAGGTAGTGGCCCTTGCGTTGCGATGTATTCTCGTCTGAAACCTTCGAATGGTGTCCGAATATGATTTGCATTCATATAATCATTAACTGAATAATTTCGAAGTGCAACACGTGTTTCATCGTATGGTAGAATGTTACGAAATCGATTTCGAGTTCGATTTTCTTGTTTTTCACCAATTCTTTTATGATACGCTGATGATTGAGATTCCGACTGTTGATTTAGTAATTCAAATTCGACACTGAAACCATTCTTCTGTCCACGTTGCGTTACGACTGTTTTCGATAAATGCTCACAACGCTGATGAATATCTCGAGCATAAAACCAGTTCGATGTACACGGTTGAACAAGCCGAAAAGCAGCTCCATTCATACCGATAAGAATGTTATGTTTCAAATAGAAATGAATCAATTCATCTAGAGATTGAAAACGATCGATTTGTTCACGACGACCTTTTCCATCGAGAAACCATTGTCCGGTGGAGTATCTGATTTTGATGTTTGCGATATCATCGTATGTTTTCACACAAATTACATAGTCACCAGGTGTTGTTTCAGAATCGCGAACAAGAAACGCACCATTATGTTCACATTTATTCAAAAGTGACATCACCTGAGTATGCGAGATCGGCCCATGATAGTATCTAATTAAGAATGAGAAAGCGAGCAATCGAAAACAAATTTTGGTTTCAAAATTACTTTTCAAACGTCGGCATTTGTGCTAAAATAGGACTGGTCAATTCGATAAATTCATTATTAATATCCCGAAGTTCTCGTACATTTCGACGATAATGATCAATCATGTCATATAATGTCGAAAAGCACTCTTGCTTTTCTCCCAAATCAAAACCTTCGTTGGTTCTTTGAATACGTATATGTGTGATTTCTCCATTTGCACGTCTTCAAAAAATGAAAATGAATATCTTGCGGACTTCTCACAGAGTTCCTACCGAACCGACAGTACATAAGCATCAGGTTTTGTTCGCGATGGTCGAACAAGAAAACAGCCGGGAATGTTCTTTTCTTGGAGAAGTTTTTCAGCTTCTAAGCCTGAAATGTCACGATGGAAGAAACTTCGAAAAAAAAAGAAATCAATGTAATGGAATCGAATATGACTAGATTTACCCGCGAGCTAATCGAGTAGACATATTATTTCAAAAAAATATCGCGCTGCATCGAATGAAAGTTTGTCATGCTTTGCTTTGAGCGAAAAAAATAAAGAACGAACAAGAGCTTGATGATCATGAAATATATCGAGCACGTAAGTATTCAATTAGACTCATCAACGTATATCCAATCAATGTTTTTTTTCCCGTTGAAAACTTAACATATGGAAATCCATTGGGAAAATTGATCGACAAGAATTTCCCGAATTGTTTTTGTTTTCTGACCGTTAGATCCCTCGTCGGCAATCAGTATCAACTGTACAATAACACCATCTGTCGAGAGCATACCTTCTTCCTTGTTGAAAATGTGATCGCGGTCAATTGCTTTTTGAATAGATTTGTTTCGATTCGATTCGATTCATTTTGCATTTGTAATACACTTGAAAAGATTAGTATGTTTGACTAGATACTTAAATAGACAGAGACAGGTCGATGATAAGCGAGCCTATTCATTTTACATATCAGATGACTCTCTTTTGAGAATTATAAAGGAGAGAAGAAATCGAAGAAGCTGTCTGTCTAATTTACTACACAGCGTCAGTTGTTTTCACTATTAGGAACTTTCTTTTCTCGACAGTACGAACGAAAATGGGGAATACGTGTAGATCAGCGAAAACTGATTCGACAATTCGAACGATTGCTGAACCTCCAGTCGCTGTTGTCTTGGAAGAGAAACCGGCATCGAGCACAACGACAGTGACAACGACGAAAGTCTATCAAACAGGCGATGGCTCGACAATTCATGAAGAGAAAACCGAACAGGTTTGTTTCAATTTTATCAAAAAAGAAAAAAGAAAAAAAACTAGAACATCTCCTTTTCTCTTCCAGGAAATCATACGCATCGAAAACTAATGTTCAATTCCCTTGTTCATTTACTTCTATCTGTATTTTATATAATTGACTTAATATGGATGGAAAATAAATCTTCTCTAAGCCATCATATTTGTTTTACTTCCAAACATGGATGTTTTAGTTGATGGGCCGAGTAGTTTCAAGTTTTGCCCATTATCAACTGCTGATATTGGCGTACGTTTTTTCACGGTTGGCTCAGCCGGACCAATCTTTCTTCGGGTTTTGGGTAGTTTGGATCGTGCACGAAGATGAGCATAGAAATTTGCAAATGTTTCAACAATAATCGGCATTGGTAAATCGATGATCAGTACACCGGCAACTAAACAAATCGATTTCATTGAATGTCAATCAACAAAACATCAAGTTGTTCCTCAAACCTGTTGAAACAGCACCAATCAACATTCCTAACATTGTTTTCGGATATAAATCTCCATAACCAATTGTTGACATTGTGATCATGTTGAACCACAGCGCATCAGGAATGGATTTAAACATATTCTCATTCGGATGTCGTGTTGTCATTCGTTCAGCGTAGTAAATTAACGAAGCGAAAACAGCCACAGCGATCAAAACGAAGAATATTAGTAGCCATAAAACTGATGATGAGTATTGCATTGATGTGATAATCACTTTCAAGCCAGGATGATGATTGAAGAGTTTAAATAAACGCATGATGCGAATAGTCGACAACAGATCGAGTGCTTCGTTATCGTTCACGTTTAGTTTTGTTAGCGCCCATGTGAAGAAAAACCAGAATGTGGCGAGGAAGTCGATGATGTTCAAAAATGATTTACAAAATTCTGTTTTATTAGGACTGACAAGGAATCGAATGACAATTTCGAATATAAACCAAGTGTTACCTAAAATAGAAAAAATAGAGTGCAAATTTGGAGTAGAGAGACCGTGATTTCGGCATACAAATCCATTCGACAACGTCAAATGATGGATGTACTTGTTGTCGATTTAATGTTGGCGTTCGTTCCGTTGCAGTTTTGTTTATAAAAACATCGACAAAATCAATTTCAGTTATGCGAAACATTGACAAAGTTTGTAGGACAAACGAAAGAATCGATACAAGAATAAAAAAGATTGAAATCACAGTAACAACTTTAGCAATGGTTGACGATCTCGGCTCTTCGAATATTTGCCAAATAATCATCATCATTTTTTTATATTTCGGCAAGCGACCTTGCACGTATTGATAATTATCGTCCCAGCCGAACTTTTTGATGACTTCTTGACGAGAGGAACGTACGGTATCTAATTCTAAACTATCTAATATCGATAGTGTTTCTGCAGTTGAACGATGTTTGGTGTACGTCATCCTAGAAATTAAGTAATTGCAAAAAAAAGAGTCTTGTTTTCCCCTTCCGCAATATCTTTAAAAGCATTCGACTTACCAGCAACAAGGCTCGACATCTTCACGTTGTAAACCCCAGTAGGACAATTCATCTTCAAACAAAGGTCCACATACATTTGTCGGATAATGCAATTTTCCAGTACGGTAGTAATTAAGGATTTGCGAGAAAACGCCTGGGTGACGATCGAAAAAGTATTCATTTAAGATTGGATCGTAATAGGATAATTGCTCGGTTAACTTGGATAAACGTGTTGCTGGTAGTTTTCTCAGCGTTGATTTGAGTGTTTCAAAACGTGTTCCACCGACGTTAAGAATAATACGAGCATCAAGATCATTACTGCCAAGTAAATTGACTGCCATGGGTTCGTCTCGAATTTACTTTGGAAAGAAATCACACTGGAAAGAGAAAATAATCAAGTGGAAAAGTCAGTTTCCTTTGCCGTGTAGTTTTTCTTTTTGTTTCACATACCATCATTATGATTGATCAAATCAAGAGGAACATCGACGACTATTGATGATTATTATAGGAGCGGAAAAAGAGAAATGTGCCCTATTGATCATCAAACGTACGAGTAGCAATAGTCGAGTTGGAGGAAGAACAAAATTAGGTTCTAGTTCTACTCACTCTGACGCTTTTGTCAAATACAACAAGCAAACGAGACCGAAAGAAACAGGAATTTCCTCCTTTTTTTTCTCTTCCTCTCGGAAAAGCCAAGAGATGTATTTCTTTCTGTTAAGAACACACATAGACACTCTTACAGAACGCGAATAGACAAAAAAAATAAGAAATAAGCAAAGCTATGTGCGTTTCTCTTCTCCACACACCCTCTCCCGTCTTTCCCAAACACACACACACAGATAACATGCAGAGTCGTTTTTCTCAATCCATAAATGCTTCGATGTTTGCGTTGTCGTCATCAGCCGTTTTGTTGCCTGCTTTCTTTGCTTTACGTTTACCAGCTGAATCTGGTGTCTCGGGATTTGTTGGTTTTAGCGAATCGCTTCGTTTACCATCTTTATCCTTATTTCGACCGAACGGAATTTTCAAACGAGATAAAAGTTTCTTCTTCTCAGCACGCTCCTCATCGGGTCCTTGGTCACGGTAACGATCATAGATTGGTTTTCGTGTTGACAATGTCATTTTGCCTTCCTCATCAGCTTCATGTACAGCATACACTGTTTTACCGTCACGTAAAACAAGAAATTCCGGATTAACTTCACGATCCGTATCTTCTAATTCACGTAGTTTCTGTGCATAACGATGAAGATCATCCGTATCTACAGTATCTGCTTCGTCTTCATAATAATTCAGTTCGTATTTTGATTGTTCACCAAATAACATATTGTTTTCATCACGAACAAGACTATTCACACCTGTACGAAGACGATTGAGAAAGCCACCTTTTTGATTTATTTGTTTGCCAGGCGCTAATTTTCCATCAGGCTTTTCATCTTTGGTGCCGGGTAGAATTTTTCGTATGCGTGATTTAGGTTCGGCACGGCCAGATTTTGGAAAATGTTTTATAGTCCATTGATCATCTCCAACAAATTGTGCAAAATTCATTTTCGACGCTAAATCGTTGAATGCATTTATGATGCCTACTTCATAGTCACTTTTTTCGGGTTGAACAAAGCTTTGTTCACCCTCGACATCATAGGGCACTATCTCACCAAATGTCGAGCCGTATATTTCATTATCTGGAGGTGCTTCATTGAATCCTAGAATAAAAGCATAATTTATGTTTTATTTATTAAACCAATCCAACTGAATCCTCGTTGGTTGGTTATGACATGCATAACGGATTCGTCCAATCAAAGAAAAGTGTCTTTGTTCATATTTCTTCCTTTGCATTACTACTGTCTATCTATCTATCTAAACTTGATTATTATTCGATTGAATATGGCACGTACGAAGCAAACAGCTCGAAAATCAACAGGTGGAAAAGCACCACGCAAGCAACTAGCAACAAAAGCAGCAAGAAAGTCAGCACCAGCTACTGGTGGAATTAAGAAACCACATCGATTTCGTCCTGGCACTGTCGCTCTACGAGAAATTCGACGCTACCAAAAATCAACAGAGTTATTAATTCGAAAACTACCTTTTCAACGATTAGTTCGAGAAATTGCACAGGATTATAAGACAGATTTACGTTTTCAAACGTCAGCTGTTCTAGCTTTACAAGAAGCTTCGGAAGTAATCAAAATCAGATGAACCATTTCTCGATTATGTATGTTTTCTTTCTCTTTTCGGTCTAGTCGTATTTGGTTGGATTGTTCGAAGATACAAACCTTTGTGCGATTCATGCAAAACGTGTCACAGTAAGGATATAAAGAAAAGAAGAAAAAATAAATTTTAGCAAGGGATATCTCCGACGTTTAGATCATGCCTAAAGATATTCAATTAGCTCGACGAATTCGTGGTGAACGTGTTTAATTTGCAGACATGATTATATGTGTTAGTAGGAAATAAAAGCAATACCTGGATAAGCAGTATCATTTGAAATGTAGTCTTGTGTTCCATCCAACAATGCATCGGTTGTTTTCGGTGTTTTATGCTTTTTCGGCTTTTTCACTTTGGGCGCCATTTCGGTGGATAGATCTAATTGAGTACTATCATTTATTTGAAAATCATCTTCAGCTGCCGGAACTTTCGGTGCTTTGGCCTTTTTCTTTTTTGTTGGTTCAGTTTCGGTGATTTGACTTGGGTCGATGTTTTCAATGTTAGATTCGGCTTTTGGTGCTCGTTTTTTCTTCGGTTTTGCAACGGTTTCGCCATCAGCTGAAGGAGTCAATTGAGACATGTCTACATTGTCTTGTACTTTGCCATTTTCGGACGCTTTGTGGCTTTTCTTTTTCGTCTTGACGACTTCTTCCGTTTGTCCACTTTCAGCTAATTCGTCCGTAACTTTCGGCGCGCGTTTCTTCCTCTCGCTTGTCTTTTTCGAGGATTCTCCGTTGGTCAGTTCGGGCTTCGCATATCGACCCTTTGCACCATTCGTAAAAACATCTGTTCCATAGACTGATTTATCAATCTCTTCGTAACTCATTGTTCGATTAAATAGTCAGGTATCTAGAAGAAGGCTTAGGGAAAAAGCAAACACAAAACGAAAATCATGACAACGAGACGATACAGTCGGATGTAATTTGACAAAAAGAACCGAGTACGAGCTGTTCCTCATTTTTTTCTCTTCTTCAGACACGAATAGTTCGACGAAGCGTATCCGTTTCGTCATCAATAGAGTGTCATTCTTCCAAGGTGATATTCATGTTTGTATTTACTCATCAAAGAAAAAAAAATGCAGGAATAGGAATGTATGTACATTTTGATAGAAAAGAAAAACGACCGACAAGAAATAAAAAGGTAGTTAATGAGAATCTAAATGATTTTCTTATTAGCCAATATTGTTGTTGCTGATATTTCATGAAGATTAATTAATTATGACAGTTGAGAAGGGCGACGAGTTAGTTTCGGTGGCACACTCTATGAAAGAAAATGTTGCCGAATCACAAGAAGCACTAATGTTCAATCTTACTTTCGTTCGTTTTCGAATCGCTTCTAATTCGACATCGTACGCTTTAAGTAGTGTCTCAAGATATCGTTCGATTTCATCGGCGCGGCGATTTTGAGGATTGAAGGCATTTTCAATTAACATTTGATACAGTGGTCGACTAATGACAATCTAAACGAAAAGATTCGAATAATTTGTCTTTGATGTTTTGAATTTTCATACATATTGATTGTTTAAACGTGCTTGTTTCAACTTATGCAATTCTTCTGCGATTAGTTTTCGTCGGTCGTACAATCTATTCGATGTTGCAATGGAATTTGACGCGTGAATGATAACTTTATTTGCCGAGTCCGATCTATCAGATAGGAACATTCGATTTATGAAACATTTCAAAATGAACTCAGCCGACCTCGCTTCGTTGCTCTGATTCATCGATGAAACGGTTGTTTTTGATTTGGCAAAAACACGACGTCGTTCTTCGGCATTGTTATCCTCAAGTAACACGCTGCTTTTTCTGAGCGGTTGTATATTCAGCGAATGAGTTTTGAATCGGTCATCTAATTGCTTGTTATCTAAGCAGAGTTTCGCTTGCTTAAGCAAAGTATTCTTCGATTTGGGTAATTTCGTCGGCAGCATTTTTGTCTTCATGATCTCTTCAGATGATCCATTAGTTATCTTCGGAGGTGAACTCTCTTGATTCGGAACTGAAAGTTTCTTTTGCAGTTCATATTGCCGGTAACATTTTTGTATACGACGAGCGTAGATACTGGCGAGTAAATTGCCACGCTGTCCTGCATGTTTATTGACCAAATAGTCCGCGCAGGCTTGATGACCGCGTACCCGAGCGAGATCATACGGAGTTAGATAATTTCCCTAGATAATTCGAGAGAAAATATTTCACTTATGATGGGATGGGTTTGGCAAGTTTTCTCATATTCCTAATTTCCTTAATTTGATGAGCACGTCTTTGTTCAGATGATTCTTTACTTTCTCTATGTTGAGTGTATAGATATTCATTGATAAGAGAAGAATCTTTTTACATTAACTGCCTTGTCTACTTCAATTTCTCAATCAGGAAAAATCCATTTTGGAAACATCCAGGAAATGCTATCGTAAATCTGTCAGATTAGATCTCATCATGTTGTCTCTTCGATAATTATATTTTCTCACGAACAGCCTGCACTATTTTTCTCCTAGAATTACACTAATATCATATATAACCTTTGAAACTGATAAGCGTCTTTTGCTTTCAACAGATCAAGGTTACAATGTTCCTTGTTAGTCGACTTACCGCGTTTGTTCGTATGAACGCATTACTATTTGCGCCGCATTGAATCAAAACTTCGCAGGTGTCAATGTCACCAAGACTAGCTGCTAGGTGAAGTGGTGTTCGACGTTCATCGTTTTGAATAGCGATTTTATATGGGTACAGTTTGAAGACATATCGAATAATCTCTAAACGAAATTACCGCACAACTGAGATTCGTTCGTTTTTCGGTTTGATTTTACCGTAAATTTTTGTTGATTCATCAGTTGCTTTGCGAGTTTTGTTCGTTGCAAGTAAATTGATAGCTTCGTGTATTGGATAATCACCACGTTTATTTTTCGTCCATATATTCGCATGAGCTTCGAGTAGGTGTTTCAAACAAACAAGATTTCCTTTTGATATTGCACAATGGCTAGGTCTAGATAACCGTTAACATCGAAAGTAATCTCTATAAACGAACATACATACGTTCGTCCACGATTATCCTGATGATCGGAGTTAGCTTTCAAATCAAGTAGCAATTTACAGGCTTTCGGATGATCCAATGTGATTGCATAGAATAACGCAGTACAACCATTGACATCTTCTCCTGAATACGAGAGGATATTCAAATATCGTCTAATATACGTATATATCAAACCTTCTAACGGACAGCCGCATTGTTCGACTAACATTCGAATACACGATGTATGACCACGCGTTGCTGCACAATGCAATGCTAGAAGGAAATAAACATTGAACAGGATGGAAACTGAGTCGAATAGTTCATACCAGTTAGAGAATCTTTATCGACATGCAATTGGTTGGCACCGTATTTATAAAGCAGACGTAAAGCATCGCAAGCGTCTGAAAAACATAGTTGAAAAATTAAAGAAAAATAGCGTAGAGCATCTATTATTAACTCGAGCAGCATCTAAACTTTTCATGGAGATTATTTTGGAAGCCTGGATACTAAAAATAGTTTTCTTTCACGTAAAGAAAGTCTAATTATCATGCATTGATAAGTATCTCAATTTGTCAAAGAATAAAAGTCAGCGATTTCGACCTGTTGCACTACCTCACCTGCACTAGCAGCCCACATCAACGGAGTGCGATTCTGTCCGTCCGTACAATCGATGTCCACCTTTCGATCAATAAATATTTGTAAAATTTCCAGAGCTAATGAAAGAAAAGCACAAATAACATGAAAATCGTCGTAAACATGTTATTTTTACCCTTTGCTGAGTCGATCTTCAAATCGTCATAAACCGGTTTACCGCACAGTTGAGACGCGTAGTGAATAGGAAAAGCCTGATGAACATCCGCAGTATGAATCGGTGCTTTGTATTCCAGAAGAATGTCAAACAAATGAAGATGTCCACAAACTGGTTAAATTTATCAAATTCGAATAACGAGCAAAAAATCGTTTACCTGTAACCCAATGGATTAACGAATGAGATTCATTATCAACAAGTTTCACATTTGCACCTCGTTCACATAAAAACTCCACCATGCTTCCGTTGCCATTCATGCATGCTAGATGAAGTGCGGAACAGCCTTCATGATCTTGTAAATCGAGCATTCGACTTTTGATTTCATCATTTTCCAGTAAAAGACGAGCACAACTCGTATCTTTGTTTTCGCTACAATAGTGTAACGCCGATCGTCCTTGTTCATCCACTTGAAGTACATCGCACTAAACAATTGACTTTGAAAATGAGACACATCTTGAAGTTGTCTTACGTTTTCGGCAATGAGAACTTTTACTCGGTCGGGTTTATTCTTTTCACAAGCATCGAATAATGGTCCAGGCATTTCTAAATATGATGTTCAACGGATAGAATTAAGCGAGAAGCACATATGCACGCAATTTTCCTACTCACTTTCTTTTTATGGATATGAACGCAGAATATGAAAGATGAGAAGAGGAGAACAGAACTTAGGTGTCATTTGGTTGCTGTCATGTCAACAGAGAAAGAGGTGAAGAAAGAAAATAGATAGAATATGAAGAAAAGCAAGACGATTTTGAAGACAAGAGAAAAAAAATGAAAGCTTATCAGACGGTTCACGATTATGTCGACACTTTGAGTCAAGTTAAAAATGTTGATGCACTTCATTACATATTACAGATGATAATGTATAGAAAAAGTTCTTAATCGAAAACTCGAATCTTCTTCAAGTGGTATTTGTTAACAAATAACAGTTAACATTCTAAAATAGCACACAACTATCTGTTTCATACGAAGCGTGCTTTTGATTCTTACGCTACCTAATTTAGTTCTGCTTTGAAGTCAATCAAATTTAATTCAAGAACATTTTGATGTTCTTGAAATGTAAAATAATAATCTACATATATAGATCAAGCAGAAATAGCTAAGCAAATTCTCCAAAGAGTTTTCCATGATTAATAAACAGGAAGAATCGGGCCAGTGACTCGCATTTAGCATGAATCGATGGTATAGACGATAGCTCATTTTTGCACTTCGTATGTTACTTTCAGATAGAAAATACTCAAGTACTATTTTATCATATGAATGAAATATAAATCTAGCTGATGAGTGTCAATAAGTCATTAGAATAAAGAATAGATTGGAATTCTCAACTGAGCAATAACTCATCGCTGGTCAATGCTTTGTTGATCGACATGTAACTTGTTGCTATTCAGATCAAAAACAGATGAAGAGCACCATTTCAATTATTATGTTATATTTATTCAAGAATTTGAAAACATTACAAAACATTCTATGTCGAGTATAGAAAAACAACATCGACGAGACTAGAGAAAAGCTTTCTTCAATATTGATAACTTCGTTTGGAATGATTATGTCGAGGTACTACGTCGAACAAGTCATCCCTTAATTTACGTATTTTATGTTTGAGATGTTTGACTTCCTCGTGAGAATCGATCTTCAATCCTAGAAGAAAATTTCCATGTGATTCGATTCGTTAATATAAAGATCAATCTTACTTTTGATTTTTCTTTTCAAACTCTCATTTTCTTTCAACAATTCGCCAATATACAATTCATCCTGATCAATCTGCTTTTCATTACATTTCGCACGTTTGATTTCAAGTTGAATTCCATCTATATCAAACAGATGTGTTTGCAGAAGTATTTGATCGACTATATCATAATCTTTGAAATGAATGTACGCTTGACAAGAATTCGATACAAATCGAATGTCTATGATATGCTTTTCATATTGATGAAAACAATCACGAATGGTTCTACTGTTCCATTCTATTGCTAAACTGAGACTGATGGGTTTGATGAATATAATAGGAGAATCCATGTATGCTCGATCAATGCAGCCGTAACGGATGCGACGAATGAAAATTTCTTGTTTGTTAATTGTACATCGGCGATGTTTTGCAAGAACACGATCGATCGAGTCGATATCCGAAAATAAAATGATTGCAGATTTGCGAGATAATGTTTCGATGTACTGAATGGCTCCGAAAGGATTAAAAAATGCTTGTAAATCTTCCGAATTGATACGACCGTCGAGATTGGTGAGGAAGATCTTAAAACGATCATCACCAATGTTGGATGTTACGAGCGATTTCATGTTGGAAATATTCGATTACTAAAAAAATGAAGAGTTCGAAGAATATTTTGAATCTCTAACCGCCAGAAATCAGCGTAGAGGTCCTGAAGCGAACTGTGTAGAAAAACTTCGATCTGATCTCCTCAAGTATTTTGTAGTTTTTTTCAATTTGGTTAGTTTCTTGTTGAAATATGTGTTGTAAAAGTTCTTTTTTTCTTTTTATAGATGACGCTTTTCACTCACATCTTTTGAACGAAAGAGTAAGTTCATTGTTATCTACACCAATAGAGACTTTATATTGAAATCCATTCAGTGATCAGCTACGTATTTTTCTTTCCGTTCTTCTTTTCGAATATGCCCGCTGAGCAAGCTGAACTAGTTCAACGCTACATAAATACTCGAGAATATTTAACAATCAAGATCTACGATTGTTATTTACTAATTCATCGAAATATTATTCAAAATTGTCACGATCGTGAATTAGGTTTAGGTAAATCGTTTCGACAACTCTTCACGTATTTCTTTTGTTTGTTTGTTTAGAATTACCACCTGCAATTGTCAAACGAATCTTCGGTTCGAATCCGTTGTCAGTCATTGATGTCACAACGACACATCATGTTGATCCATCGCTATACGATATAATCGTATTTGCGAATAAATCAGCTGTTTATACACGAACGAAACTAGCAGTGGAAAAGACGAGCGGATTTAAGAAACTACCGTATTATGTTCATGAAGATTTAGAATTATTGAAGTGTTGTGGCATGTCACGAGAAGAAATCGAGTTTTTCCGACAGAAATTAGATGTTTACGGCTTGAAAAACAAGATTGTTTCGAATAAGACCGATGCAATCGTGCAAAAAATTATTGATTATAGTGACATCTCGACGAGATTGAAGTGAGGATACGACATGGATGTGATTGAGGATGAAAAGTTTTGCTTTTTAGTTGTCGATTAGTATCAAAGAAATGGAAAGCATTGGTTGACCAGTCATCAGCGGTAAAATATTATATTAGTCAAATGAAATTCATACAGTCTGTTTTGCTCTAGTGGAATCATGTTTGTTTGACAAAATCATCTCGATATATCGATCGAGCGTTGAGTTATTTTCAAAAGATTGATATTCATGAATTGGTAAGAGAATCGACGATGTAGTAATCGAAGTCATGTTTCTTAAAAACCCATAGGATATTTCTCAATCAACAAATCAACCTCTAAACTGTGATATCAATAGCAAATTCTCGTTGTATTCTCTCCGAACACTTTGTATATCTACGGATCATTCACGTGAATTACTAACGTTGTTATTTAGTATGGCTCCTTTTGTACAGTATATTAAACTTTTGCAAACAGTTCATTCTTCGTTAACGATCCCGATAGACCGGTTCTACGAACAAATTCATGCTATGATATGTTTGTGTCGAACTCATTTGAAATGCTTACAGAAATTACATATTCAACTTCGATCTGCATCAGATCAAGTATGAACCATTAACGAGAAAGAAATCTTTTCACGCTTTTTATCCATAGATATTCCTGCAATCATCAATCGTTAGTTCATTACCAATTACATATGAAGTTATTACTTAGTGTATTCAAAATAATATTCCAGTGAAATTGTTTTCGAGTTATTTACAATAAAATTTGATGAATTTACATATCTTTTGTTCTCTTCTGTGTCATTTTTGCATAAGACATGTGCGAAGAAAGTTACTAGACCGTGAGCGACCAAATTTTTACGTATGATAATAGGGATCTATCATTCGTCAAATGTTGATATCAAGGTATGTAATAGATGACGCGACAGATATAATAAAGGTCGCAGAGACAATTACGAAGCAAAGTACATCTGTAGAAATTCATTTCTTCTGTATAGCTTTACTTATATTCTAAATGCCAATGATAGATTATATCGATTCCATTGATATGTATCCACGCGCTTCATATTTTGTCTTAGCCTTTTTCGAACATGTGTTACTTATAATTACTCAGTAAATATTTGAAAGGAAAAGACACGATTACGTGCGGTATTACACATAGAATTCTGGCTTTATTCGCGATACTTTTACAACGATACAGAAACTTCTATTTAGCCCAAGCAGGTGTTGCTCGACTTAAATAAGCGTCTGGATCAACACCATCACCTTTAAGTCCATTTCGACCACGTTTAAAGCTAGCCACTTGATTTTTAGCACCCGATGATGCTTCTCGGTCTCCGATAGCAATAGCATGAATATGCTTATTATTTTGAAAACTATCTGCAACACGTCCGCGTGACCAAGCAGCAAAGCCAGCTTTACGCAAAGCAACAACCATGGTGTCGACTTTCTTCTTATCGTTATTAACAACGGATGTGCGAATGTCAATAGCACCACCGCCATCATGTGTGCCAGCACTTGCAGCAACGCTCGACGAGTACGAACCTTGACTTAACGAAAACTGAAAGCCACTCATTCCCATTTGTTCCACGTAAACTTCAGCGCGTAGGATCATATCGATGGTACGTTGATTCAATTTCACTCCTCGCCATGTTTTACGAGTATAATCAGCTTTGGGTGCAGTGTTTTCGTACGAATCGGATTTTGATGTAGCACAATTGATGTACTCGGCAGATGCCCATTGGTCTGTACCAACACGACAAAATCCATTCTTTTTCTCTAAACAGCTCACTGTTGTGCCTTGATAGAGACTTTTCACAATTGTTCCCGACGCTGAAGGCGTTTTACGTACGTTCAACGTTGGATTTGCTTTCACTATACAACTGTGAATAGGTATGTATAGAACGGCGAATGAAAACGCTAGTATTGCGATCAATGAGTGCATATTTAACGACCAGCTGGTTATTGTTCTTGTATGTCGAACATTTATAATCCAATCTAAGTAGTAGATGAGAATGAGAAAACATCTGTTGTTTTTGTGTTAATTTATTAAAAAATATCAGATGCATTTTCACAGATAAAACTCACTGAAATTCTTTTTAATGTTCGACATAGCTTTAGACATTCATATTAGGTGATTTCGATGTATCTGTTGATAATCGTGAATCAAGCCTTACTAGAGACGAATGTTCTTCCTGAATATCCGTTGCATAAGTTGTTGAAGAAAATCTTCTCATCGACATCTTTTGGAATTGTTTTACTTTCGGTAATGCTGCTCGTAAAAGTTGACCGATGGAATTAAACGTTGGCCGATCAGTTGGATTTGTACTCCAACAAGCCTTCATGATTTGATTATAATCGGGCATGACGATAGTTGCTGTATCTTCGAACGGGGTTAAGCGGACGCCTTCGACAATCATTCGACTCACTTCAGCTTCATCTTTGATTTCCGCATAAGGTTGTTCGAGACGAACCTGTTCCCAAAGACAAACACCAAACGAGTAAACATCACAGGCTGAAGTGAATTGTGAGCTATCCGATGGATTCGAAAGAATTTCCGGCGCTGACCAACGAATCGACACGGGTAGCGATGGATGACTTAATCTGCATAAGCAACGTTCGCTATCACATGCCTGTCGTAACGGTTGAAGGATTGGCATGAGACCATAATCACAAACATGTACACGTAGATCAACACCAATCAACAGGTTTGATGATTTTAAATTTCGATGAAGGATTTTTGCTTGGTGTAAATATGCAAGCGCATCGGTTGTATTCACACACCAGGATAATCTCAGCGACCAATCGACTTTTGTTGGAAAGCGCCGAATAAAGTCGATGATTGTACCATGTTCAGCAAATGATAGAAGTATGCGGGGATAAATATCAATATCAAAACAAATACCAATGACAGCGGTGAGATTCTTGTGACGAACGTGACTTAATAAGCCTATTTCATTCTCCAGATATGCTTTATCATTCTGAGAAAACTTCTCGGGATGAACACCAATACGTAACGTTTTCACTGCGACTAATTTATCGTTCCAACGTCCTTCACAAACTTCACCACCTAATTCACCAACACCTAATCTGTAAGAGAAAAAAGGTTGCCATAGGAATGCACATTTCATCAGTTTTCTCGTTTTACCGTTTAATCACTTTAAAATCTTGAGGAGATATCGTTGAATTTTCAAGTACAGGCACAATCGATCGACTTCGCGGTCGTCGGACCGTTGCGTTTCGAGGATTACTTTCAGATAGACTGATTTTAAGTACCTGCGATGGTTCCAATGTATTGATGTTCATATCCGCTAACGATTCCATCAGAAAATGCGATCAGTAATAGAAGCAAAAGCTACGGAATACTTACTAGTTGCTATAGCTCCATAAGTATTTCGTTCCGGATAATGTCGACGGCATTGAAAAAAGATCCAAATAGCTGTGCCAATAATGAAAAAAATAACAAAGAGAAGAACTAATAGAAGTTCTTTCGGGAATGCATTGCCAACTAAAATGAAAATGAAAGTTGCCTTTTCGACCGAAGACGAAGCAACACAAATACCTCCACACACATTTGGACAACAACAACGATGAGTCAACGAAAATATCTACGTGCAATATCACTAGTGTATTTTACAATAAAAGTCTAATCCTTACTGGCATTTGCTTCTGGCTGTATTTGACGAACTTTAATTGTGCACGATGCACTCGTCGATTGCACTCGCATTCAACGTCAACCGTTTGATTTGCATAAGATCTAAACAGAGAAAACCTATTCGGACTTCCAGTACAATGACACATTCGTACTTTGATCCATAGTATCGAGTTGTCAACAATGTCGTTCGTGGTAGAACCATCGAATTCATACGAATAGCAACTGTGTAATATTCCGATTCATTCTGTTGTCGTTCGATTCGTTTACAACCTAAGACATTATGACATTGTTCACCTTTCACTGTATATGGATCTACGTTGATTGGAAAATTAAAAGTTTTACATGGATTGAAGTAATAAGATGAATCATTTAGAGACACACTAGTAAAGCAAATATTTGCATGTGTAAACAAGCGAAGTATCAAAGAATGGGTCTTACGTTAATAGTTGGTTTCGAATATCTCGTAAATCGATTCTTTTACTAAGACGATCCGTTGATGTATAAAAATGCCAAACACAATTCGTGGATGTTGAAGACCAAGTGTTAGGAATGATTAAATGAACACAAGACAAACACGATAATAGTACATATAATGTAAATAGCATAATCGTGTGAATAATAAAATGAGAAGAGAAAAATGACGTCTATTTAATTTGATTTCGTGAAACGATTTTAAATAGAAATATAGTAAACGACGTCATCGACAGACTGGTTTTTTTTCGTTCTTCTTTTTTGACAAATTTGGTGAAGCAGGTGTGAGCGACTATAGGGGATTGCAAATGGGAAGGTTGTGTATATACTGTGTTAATGTATATACATCATGGCAGAGAAAAGGACGAAGAAGAGTTACTCGTCGATGAATCTTGCCTTTTCCTCCTTTTTTTCTCGCTGATTCTTTTATATCTCAATGTCTGCATAGATACTGTACATAACTATAGCCAGGGGCAAAAGGGTAGAAGAAGAAAAAGGAAGAAAAACCTCGTTGCGTTCTTCAAAGGAAAAAGAACTACTTGAAAACGTTGAATTTGCTTTTGAAACACGTAGAAACCAATTAAAAGTTTTACATGATTGATTAGTTCCAAAGAAATCTACTTATACTTTCATTCATTCTTCAAATGACTCCTGGCGACATCTATTACGCCCTTGCATTTCTTTATTATTTCACTGAAAATCAACGTCATTATCTGGCATATATTCATTGATATTAGTTGCGTTAATTTAAGTATTGAAGAGATTAGATCTAGAGTTCAATAGGCGTTCATCATGGCATCGATTTGTCAATTGGTTGTTATATAAAATACCTATAATTGTTTATAAAAGATTCCTCTTCTTCTTCTCTCGTCTATTCGATCAAGATTATTATATGTGTAGTTTTTTTGCAATCGAAACATCGTTATGAATACAGCTCGATTCAACAATCATAAAAGAACAATTATGAAATAAAGTTTAAAAGCAATTGAAATTTTCAGATACAAATGAACTAATGGCTGATCTAAGCAAACTTGTTCCACTAGCCGATGACACAAAGGTCTTCTATTTCTCTCTGAATCTCATCGTGCCTTTACCTAAATCCATTCTGTTCGTTTAGACATTTTCAATTTCGAACGATCTGAATAATAATAAGAATAATTCCATATCCATGTCGACTGAACTCGATGAGGCACTCAACGGTAACGGTAATGGTAATGACAATGATGATGATGATGATGACGATGATCAACAACAAGCAGTTAAAACTAAAATCATCAAATGTAAAACCAATAATCAACAAGCACAAACATCTTCGTATAATATTTTAACAGCAAATGGATCATCTTCAACAGCAATACATTCTCTTGATGTTCCAAATGAGCATACATCTATTAAAATAAATATTCGTCGTGTTTGTTCTCCGTCATCTAATGAACCAGCCCCTGTAAATCCGTCGTCAGCCAACCATCTTCCACAACGATCAATAGATTCAACTGAACAAACTCCATCAGCAACGAAAATCATCTCGCGAAAGTTTTTCAATTCAAATGAACTCACCAATACAAAGACATCTCGTCGTCCCATAGCGACCAGACGCACATCGTTAATCGAAGCCGATTCTTCATCTATCTATGATCTTCCAAAAACACTTGTTAATAACCATACGACCGTGTATGATGAAAATTCTTTGAAAAATCAAATCATGAAAATGAATGGAAATAAACGAAAAGTTTTCAATGAGCAACAAGAGAAGAAACGAACGAAATTAACTACTCGAACAGTAAAACAGCAAGTGAATACCACTAGTACGTATCGAACATCTGACAAAACCTGAATTTCCTTCTCGCTACCTTCTAGAACCCTCGAATCCTCCCGTACAAGTCCGTTCATCCACTCGTTTAAAACAAAAATACAATCCTGCGAGCGATCATCAAGATGCTCCGACTGATAAACGTTCAAGTACCACAAAACGTCATTTAAGTACCGAATTGATTACTACTCAAACATCAGACCATTCAACGACGACGAGCGAAGACATCAAACCTGGTGAATACAAATATCTCCATTCATCACTAGCATCTTCGTCGGCAACGAAACAGTACACAACTGGTGAATGTCAAACAACAGATGATATCATCGAAGTCTCTCATCAATCGATTCAAACAAATCATTTAATCAAATCAGATAAATCCACTTACACAGATTTCATTGATCGACCTCTATGTGAAAATAGTACGCAAACGATTCGTAAAGAAGAACAAGAAACTCAAACAACAGATCTTAATTGTCCTAATGACTCCCAAGTTTATCTTTATGATATGAAAAGCAGTCAAACACAATGTGATAGAATATCTGATACATGTTCACCACTCTCATCGCCTCGGTCACCGCCAGCTCGTCATTTATACGATCAACAACAGCGACTCTCGTCACCTTATATCGACTTTTCGTTAACAAATAGTAATCATGATCGTTTACAGTTGTTTCAAACGTTGATTCACACCGAAGAACATCCGAATGGTGGTGCCAGTCTAATTCGAACGTATTATAATGAATTTTTACATTTATCAGACGAAAATGCAAGTTTATTTGTGAATTATTTTTTTAACATGGTTTATGGAGAAGTCGATCAACGTGCGAAATATTCCATTGGCGTTCTGCATGACGGAGCAAGATGTCTACCTGATCTCGTGGATTATTTTAGCTTGTCGTATCCGAAGATGATTGTCAAAACATCGAATTTGATCAATTCCAAAGAAGTTCTCACAACTACAATGGGCGAATATCGAAATCGTCTTGTTCAAACGTATTCGAATGGAACCTTCCGTTATGGACCATTGATGAGTATATCCTTAGTTGGAAAAGTAACGGGCAAAGAAGAATGTGGTAAGTAGAAAAGCAAGTCGACGTTTTGGAAAGGAGGTGTCGGTCTGTTTTCAGGTGATTATTTTCCTACTTTCATTGATAAATTGGAAGAAAATCCATTTTTACAATGTGTCATGCCATGGGGACCGTTTTCGTCGATAAAAATGAAATCTCGAACAGATTCGGATGATGGGCCTATTCTATGGGTTCGACCTGGTGAACAATATGTTCCAACAGCCGAGCATAAAAGTTGTCATCCGAAAAAACGCATGGCGAATGAATTACGTAATTTGACTTTTACCGGACGTGGAACTGATCCTCGCGAAGTACTAGTCGAAGATCGAACCAAGCCGCACAGTGATCATTGTGATGGCGATGGCGTCGAGACCACAGCTGCCGTTGGAATTTTGAAAGCTGTTCATTGTGGAATGCCGTGAGTGGTTGAAGGTGAAAAGATGTTGTATAGTCGAGTTTGTTTCACTTTCTTTCAAGTGCCACGATCAATCGAATGGTGAAAGATGTCGTCTGTTTTCATGCGGAAGATTTCGAGAAAGTCGTCGATAAACTAAAAATTGATCTGTACGAACCACCGGCATCACAGGTAAGACATACTCGAGCGAAACCATTCTTCTACTCAGGAGAACATCTTCTAGTGCTTGCAATGGTGTGATGAAGGTAAATTAAATCAATTACGACGTGAAGGCATTCGTTATGTCCGTTTACCATTATACGATAATGTAATTTTCTTCAACAAAAACTTTGCCTTTACTCATTTTGCTTCTTCTCGTTAGGATATTTATTTTATTCCACGTAATGTCGTTCATCAGTTTCGGACATTATCAGCTGTAACATCCATCGCTTGGCATGTTCGACTGAAACATTATTATCCAACTGAATCAGCGGACGATGAATATGCTCCTCTCTATAGTCCTATATCTGACACATAGGGAAGAATGGTTTATTTCCAGAGCAAACTTTATTTTTACGACCGAAAAGCAAATCCTTACGAACAGTTTCTTATTTTATAAATCTCAATACAAAAAATTGTCTTTTTCACTTATGTAAATAAAAGACTCGTCTTTTTCTCCTTTCTTCTTCTTCTTTTTTGTGTTGAATTTGTTTTCTCTTTTGCGCAATTGTTTTTTCTAATTCGATTCGCTGCGTTCAACTGAGCAATAACTAGCGTTTATGATGCTCGTTTTCTCTTCTTCGTCTTTTTCTTCTTCTAAAATACGTGTCATTGATTTGTTCGTCTGCTTTGCAAAAAAATCAACTATTTATCACTTTGTTTTCTACTCGTCTGACATTTGTCATCGACAAACGAGATTCACGATATCAAGAATATCAATAAAAACAGAGTTTTTTAATTTGTCTTATGACAATCTTTCGTATGCAAATAATTTTTAGATTCGCGAGTCAACGAACGATGCCAAATGATGCACACAGATTTAATCTATTGCGGTAAGTTACGATCGACAGCACTGGATGTCGGTTTTCAAGTCGAATTTTGTTTAGAATGGACATTGAAAGTGTCCTGAGACCATTCGACGAGGAACGAGAATATTTGCGTAAGCTATTCATCGAGCAAATTAGATCAAAAATAGACTTTCGCTGTTTGTCTCTTCTTTTCAGGAAAACTTCGTCAATCATCGACCGTTGAACCAATTCTATTGCGTCTGTTTGATCTATTAAAACCTGATGATTATCGTTTGTTATTTTCGACTATCAATCGACAAAAATTGGATTATAAATGGTTAGAAACATTCAGTAAACTGTGTATGCAACGATACTTGGATCTCGATGATATATTTTTCTCGGAGGAAACCTTATCGAATCCAATTCGGTCGGAATCACATTCGAATTCCATTCTCGAAAACTACACGAACTATCTCATCGAAAACTTTAAGAACTTCTTCACAATCCAACATTTTCATGCAATCATCTACGAATTAGAACAATTGAATCATTTCAAAACTGAACAAATCTCGAAGCAATTGAATGAGAACAATCATATCATACAAAAATTGTTTTTGTTATTCAATAATAATCCTCAATTTTATGATGATTCAATCATCCACCTCAGTTCAACACCTGCACAGCCCATTTATGTCAATTACAAAGCGACACACATGATTTTCCTGCGTACATCGATTCTCGTTCAAAATGAGCACGATTCGCACCTGCCAAGCAAAGGAATCACGAAAGCATTTGTCGCTGATTTAACCAATACCAAGAAGATCGAGATATTCGACGAAAGCACGAATAAAACGTGCGAAATTCCAACGAAATGGCTTTATTTCGGCAAAGCATGTGAGAAGAACATTATTTTGCCATTGAAGCTACGCGTGATGATCATCGATTGTCGAACAAATCGACGTCGTTATGGGCTCATCGGTGAAGAACCTGGCAAACAAAATCATTATCGTTGTCTGATCTTTTTTACTGACGAGAGTGCGAATGTATCCGCGGGTTATTATCTCTCATCGGAAGTTCATATATGTCTTGATCAAATGTTTGAATGTGACAATGAGTTTTTGAACTCGTACTTTAAATCCTATCCGGAACGGTTAATGTTACGTGCCAAGGAAGGAACAACTGTGAAAGTTCGCAATGGCAATCGAAACAGTTTCGTTCAAGCCATCGTCATTCAAATCGATTGTTCGATGATGTTAATCGAGCTGAATAATACCAAACAACGTATGTGGCTCTATCGTGGTTCGACATTGATTGAACAAATGAATACGTATTATGTAACACAGAATAGAGTCGATAGGAATGGACTGGGTAGACATTCGGCAAGACAACATCTTTCAGCAAGAAAAACAAATGCGCCAGAAATTATTTGTTTGAATGATCAAATGAAAACAAAAACTGCTCGAACTGCGGATCAAGCAATCGATGAGACAAGTTGTTCACTTTTTTTATTACAAACGATTGTTTTCAAACTTGATTCACTTTTTAGGACCTAAAAAACGCGCCCGTTTGCCATCTGAACATTTACCACACGAATCTGCATTAGTTCCAACTGAATCTCATGTACTTCGATCTTCTTCGGCCAACAGTATTCCAGTAGTAGATCACATCGTCACATCTGTTCAATCACGTTCGACTCATGTGTGCCACCTTTTCAAAGAGAAGATTTGTAAATATTATCAACTTTTTATTATAGGCACATCCGAATCCGAAGATTGTGATTAATCCAATATTTCTTGAATTAACAGAAAACTTTCTTTTACACTATTCCAAAGACTTCAATCCGCATTATTGTTCGCCGAAGTGCGTTATGCATGCTGAAAAGTACCTTGCACAACTACCAAGAACCATGAATCCATATTTGAAGCCAGTCGCCTGTCAATGGACAATTCTCGAAACAATACGGATTCGGAAAGCTAACGATGTTCGCGTTAAGAATACGCGACCGATTTTAATCTATCGGGCGCCATGTTAGTGAATGTTGACGACCTGTCAGAACTGTGAATATAAGTTTTGATTTTGTTTTTTAGGCGGAAGAAAGTTTTTGAATGAAACACAAGTGGATAATTATCTTACTGAAACGGAGTCTAAACTATCGATTGAGTTATTTGTCTTCGATAGTTTAGTGAATATCAAACAATGGTATTGTTCAGATGGGAAACTGATCACTTCTGATATATCAAATGGTCAAGAGAATGTTCCGATTTCCGCTGTTAATGAAGTTGATGAGGAACGGCCAAATACATTTACTTATCGTGTTGAACGAACACCTGTCGAAGGAGTCGATATGGTTCTCAATGAATCAACGATGACTTGTTGTTCATGTACAGATGGATGCCGAAATCGTACTCAATGTGCATGTGAGATTTTACAAACGAAATTTGTTCCGAATATTCTTAGATATTCTCTGTTTCAGGTTGGTTACGCACATTGAAATATGCGGAATTGATCGGCGATGATCGCGTGAAGGCAATGAAGAAGAAAAATAAGAGCCAGGCGGAAATTCTGTATCAACTGGGTTACGGTTTTCGGCGTTTACATAAAAACGCACCCGGTGGGATATATGAATGTAATAGTAGATGTTCATGTAATAAAGAAACGTGCTCAAACCGAGTTGTACAAAATGGTATCATGGCCCAACTCCAGGTATCTTCTTTGTTAAAATTCAGGATCAATTCAAGCCGTTTGTTCGGTGTTTTTAGTTATTTAAAACTGTTGGTCGTGGTTGGGGCGTTCGAACCTTGCATGATCTTCCGTTAGGGACATTCGTTAGTGTGTATTCAGGTGAAATATTCACCAGCGAACAAGCAGATGAAAGAGGAAAATTGATTGGAGATGAATATCAAGCAGATTTGGACTTTTTCGAAGTAAACGATTTTCTTAACTTACCATCGATTTTCATCAAAGCGTGTTTTTTGTTTACTGAAAAGAATATAAATGACGATTCTGATGAAGATGACGATAGCGGTGCAAATTTATCATCCGAAGATGAAGACGAAGAAAACAAAACTCCTCTAAGTACGCGTTGATAACTAGTTCGAAGTATTCGTATTTTCTTGCTCAATTCAGATAAATCTCGTTCGAGAAATCTACGTTCACATGGCAATTCGAATAAGAAAACAACGAAACAATCTTCCAAGACAGAAGACGACGACGACGATGATGATCAAGGGAAAACAAACAACAATTCAATATTGAATCGAACATGTTTACCAGAATACGATGGAGTTGTATATACACTTGATGCAAAACTAGTCGGAAATATTGGACGATATTTTAATCATTCCTGTTCCCCAAATATCGCCGTACAAAATGTTTTTGTTGATGTAAGTCCTTCACATTCTCGTTCAAACCTATCACAATGCCAACTTCTCTCTAGACACACGATATTCATTTTCCTTGGATCGGATTTTTCACAACGAAAACAATTCGCGCAGGAACCGAATTATGGTAAGTAGCAACAATTCAAGTCTACGATTGATTTCCTTTCCGTCTTAATTTAGCTGGGATTACAACTATACAGTTGGCGAGATAGCTGGACGTCGAATGGATTGTAATTGTGGTTCATCCGAATGTCGACGTCGAGTTCTCTAATTATTTAATTTTGCTCAGATATCATAGTATCTTGTTACAACAAGAAAATGTCAGATAGAAATATGTATTATTTTGTCTATTGTCTCTTTGCTCGCATGGATGTCTTAAGCGAGCAAGTTTAATTTTGGTAATAAAATAACAATCTTAGTCAATTGAGATACATTCTCTGAAAGATACTGTTCTTATAAAAAGAGTGAATTCCATTGGCACATTGATGCATGATGATATGCGTTAACTGGGACGACTTGATTTTCATTTGATTGTTCAATGAAAGGAAAATAGTCAAGTGTCAGAGATTTAACTTGACATGTGCATTGATTATACAATCGTGAATAGAACATTCGAATAATAATCTGTCGGATATGTTTACTCAAGAAAACGAGAATATTCGTTGTTGAATTACGAAGAAATAGAAAGTTCGGCAAGAAGAACTATTGATGACTGGCTGAAATTCTAGTTTTGCACTTTTAATAGCCAAGTGCATAGAATTCAATGATTTTTCTTCCATTTGTTGCATAACAGATGATTGTTGTCGTTAGCAATAATGTTTTTTCGCTTAATGAATTAATCTAAACAAAATTCAACATCGATTTTTCGTTCTTCATTTTTTGTTTCAACAATCGAATGAAATAATGTTTTATAAAACAACAACATCAGTTCATCTGTGCGCATAGAAACCGATTGTTGAGAAGTTAGGTGGCTCGATAGATTGTTATTTGTTCTTTCTCTTCTCTGTTTGTTCTTATGCATTCATTGCATCGACCGGAACAAGGAGAAACTGTTGCAAAGGAGAATAGCAAGCGTGCGTGTGTGTAGTCTATACATTACATTAAAACTATATGTAAAGTGAAAAAAATTCTCTCGTTTTTTTTTTAATATTTCGCTCTGCGTCGCTGTAGTTTTCTTTCTCTTTCTCTCTCACTTTTTAGAATCACTCACTCACTCGTCTTTTTCAACAGCGTCTTGTCGTTGAGCAGAAAACAAAACATTGAAAAGTTTTAACTAGAATCTTTTTATTCTCGTTAACTAATACGAACAGCTGTTGAAGTTTGTCGTTGACAAAGCAAGATGGCTGAGGAACTCGAACTAAACGATCCTCGGATCTATTTCGTCGCTGATTATGTCCTTAAAATTCTCAAACTGAAATCAGATAAATTCGGCAAGATGTACGGCATCGAAGAAAACAAACAAATGATCCACGACTTCTTCGATAAACCTGATAATCAAATTCTTGTGATTCAATATACAACAGCCGGTTCACTTCAGCCCGCGTTAACATTTCCGACCATTGTCAAAAACAAATCCTGCTACTTCATTAAGAAACGTCGTGAACCAGTGCCGAAAGATGCAATCCTTCGAGATGTGATCATGTACGGCGATTTATCAACATCGCCCGTCGAACAATTGTCAGCAATGATCGACGAAGTAAATCGCTTTGTTTACTTGAATAATTCATCAGCAAGAGTTTCTTTTTTCTCTTAATTAGTTACTTATTCCTATTCTACAAAATCCATCGAATAATGAAGCATGGCCAAAAGTTCTCTCACAAGATATTCTTCGTCATGCAATGGGTATTAAAAACAAAGTACACGTTCTAAATGGTCAAATGAAAGGTTTGTTGAATTTTCAACTTGTTGATTTCGCGTTCCTCCCAAAGTTTCCACCCGTTGCTAAGTAAGCAACAGAATTTGAATGAAAGTCAAAATCGTACAGCACGTTCCTTAGCAACGGAAAACACGAGTCGTCTTTTCATATAGGTAAAACACTCCTACCAGTTCCAGCTGGTACTGAACGAGTCACAGATGATATGAGCAATGACCAACAAGAAAATGGTCAAGCGTCCACAGTCGATAGTAATTTATTACATGCTATTGAATCGGTTGTGATTGAATGGTCACATCAAGTACAAGATGTATTGAAGAAAGATTCATCGCAAGCATTATTGGATGGCGGAAGTCCATTGCCCAGTGCCGAAGTCGAATTTTGGCGATCGAGATATAATAATCTTTTGAGCATTCATGAACAAGTAGGATTTTGAACTAGTGAAAGATGTCTTCTGAACTCGTGTTGTAGTTAAACGATCCTCGTGTGAAAAAAATGGCAGAACTACTGCGAAAGACCAATTCAAGTTACTATCCAGCTTTCGAAACATTATTGCACGATGTTCAAGATTCATTGGACGAAGCCAAAGAAATCGATCTCTATCTCAAACCAGTTTCACAACATTTTGACGGACTCGAAACGACAGATTTTGGTGAAACTGTTCCACTCTATCCACCAATGTTTCACGCAATATGTCTAATGTGGGCGAACTGCAAAGCCTATCGTCGACCAGCACGTATTATCGTTCTTTTACAAGAGTTAAACAATCTCATCATGAAACAAGTAAATTAGAACTGATTGATGAGAAATTCGAATTTTTCATAATCGATGTTTTCTAGGCTTCAGAGTTTATGGAACCATTGGATTTGTTCAAAGGTGAACCTGATGAATCGATGGAAAAAATCAATCAAACAGTTCGGGCACTTGAAGCCTATGAAAATGCATACAAGCAGTACAAAGGAAATTTGAAGAACTACTTCAAAAACGGCGAAGTGGTTAAAGAATTCGACTTTTCACCAAAATTAGTCTTTGCCAAATGGGATTTGTTCATGGCACGTGTGCGAATCATCCAAGACTTGTTTCATATCGCCAGCGAATTTCTTCGATTAGAAAAAGTCGAAATCGGAGGTAAGACATACAAAACGAGGCTTGCACTTAATCTTACAGTCGAATACTTTCTCTTCTAGGTACAAAAGGCAAAACATTGACATCATTGGTTTTCAATATTTTCGAACAATTCAAAGACGAATTCGAAACAATGAGTAACAAAAAATACGATCCATTAGATCCATCATCCGACGTATGTCATTTCATCTAATCAATCGTCTTTTCGAGTTAAAATTCTTTCTCTAGGAATTTCTGGTGGACATCGAACATTTCAAACAATTCCTTCGAGATATGGAATTGAAACTAGCTTCAATTATTAATCAAGCATTCGATGATTCGAATTGTTTGAGTAGTCAATTCAAACTCATTGGCATGTTCGCTCCTATGTTAGAACGGCCAGTTATTTACGAAGCATTCGTACGAAACTACGATCGATTGACACTTTCGGTCGAACAAGAAATCGATGAAGCACATCAGGTCTATGAAAGACAAATGGCCTACAAACAACAGCATGGAACTATCGAATTACATCGAAATCAACCACCTGTCGCTGGGTCATTAGCATGGTAAATAGTTGTTTCTTGTTTTCTTTTTCAATATGGAAAAACCAAATCTTTGACTTTAGGGTCGATGAAATGAAAGATCGTATCGAAGAGCCATGCGAAGCTTTTTTGAAAATTGATTATCCGTAAATAAGAGTTCAATCGAAGAGTTTTCTCTAAAAAGATTGACTAAATTTTTATTTAGAGCAAAAGATACCTACGAAGGAAAACGTGTTATTGCTAAACGCGCTGAACTAATCCAACTATTAGACAATTTTGCTAAAAGTATCTTCAATGGTTGGTCGAAAACGGTTGGTCAAGCTGCTAATGCTAATCTAAAACAGAATCTGATCATTCGAAGCCCGGAAACCAAACTCATCAAAACCAATTTCGATCCACAAGTAGATCATTTGTATTTGATCTTCGACATAACTACTTCTATTTCATGTATTCTAGCTCATCGGTGTGCTACGTGAAGTGAAATACATGGAACAAACGAACGAAGGCGATAACAAGGCGAATATTCCTGAAGAAGCGAAGAAAATGTATGAAGAAAATGAGAAATTTATCAATTATGTCACTAATCTCGATTATACGGTTTCATCTTACAATAAAATCCGTATGACCATTCACGATGTCGAAAAGCCACTTGTTCAAAAGCAATTAGACGAAATCGATCAAAATTTAACTAAAGCAGAGACAAGTCTAACATGGGCAACGCCAGGTAAACTTTTCTCCTCTCGAAATTCTTCATATGAAATTATAATTCATACATCTATGTCAAGAGTTATTCTTAGTTGAATCTAAATCTTACAACGGTTTGTTTTTCTGCATGATTGTTCTCTATGTTTCGCCATGTTTCTTTTTCCTCATTCACAAATTTCCAGGACGATGTTTTCGCTTCATTTACGAACAAAGAATGATCGTATTTACTGATTTTTAGACATTTGGGACTACATCAAAGCAACTCGCGCTGAAGTCTATGACTTGGAAAACCGTTTGCACAAAGCCAAAGCGGATGTTGAACAAATTCAACGTTTGATGTCAACTTGGCAAGATGTTCCACTATACAAACGTTCCGAAGGCAAATCGACCTTGTTGTTTCTTGATGATAAAGAACAACGATTGAATAACCGTTACAAAGAAATTGATGAAACAGGCAAGAAGATTCATGCGCTATTAAAGGAAAACGGCGAATTATTCAAAGTCGAAAATTTCGACACGGATGCATGGAGAAACTACGTCGATTATGTCGACAAAATGGTCTTAGAAGGATTCAGAAAGATTATTCATTGTAATTTGATGTTCTTCATGCGCGAAACTGATCCTGCACAAAATCCCGACCCTCTCTTCGAAGCACAATTACAGCTACAAGTAAGCAACGTTTGTTTTATCTGAACTCGCATAGGAATTTATACTTTTCTAGCAACCAAACATGGTCTTCAATCCTTCGATGGACGAAAATGATAAAAACACATTCCTCGAACTAGTCGAAGATCTCCTCAACACGATTTACAAGCAAGGTTCATTGATTCCACGTCTCGCTAGTCATACGAAACAAGCCAATTATCAAGATGCACTAGAACATATGCACGACTTATCGGACATTCGAACAGAATTCACCGACCGTGTCAATGCAGTCATAACCAAAGCTAACGAATATCGAGCTATGTTTAATAAATATGCTTATTTATGGGTAGATGATCGACAGGAGTTTATGCGACAATTTCTGCTCTATGGTCATGTATTAACGCAAGAAGAAATCGATGCTGGCGGTGAACAAGGCGTGCCGCAAAATCCGCCGACCTTACAGCAATTCAAAGAACAAGTCGATACGTACGAAGGCATCTACGATGAAGTTAGTAAATTCGACGATACGAAAATCTTGGACAAATGGTTTCGTGTTGATTCTCGACCATTCAAACAAGCGTTGCTCAATATTGCCAAGAAATGGTCGTACATGTTCAAACAACATCTCATGGATGATGTCACCAATAGGTAATGCTAATCGAAAGAGAAAACCATCGAATTTTCACTGCCTTTTGTTACTTTAGCTTACAAGAATTAGCTGATTTCATCAAATTACATGACAAAGGTCTTAGTGTGACAATCAAAGAAGGAGATTATGATTTACTCGTTTCTCTCATGGCTCATCTGGGCGCTGTTCGTGAGAAACAGCCAAAATTCGACAGCATGTTCGAACCAATGAAACAAAAACTTGAATTCTTGAAAAACTACGGACAGGAAGTTCATGATGATGTGTACGAACGTTTGAATGTTCTACCAGAAAAATGGGCGAATACGAAGAAACTCGCCCTTACCGTTAAACAACAAGTCGCACCGCTACAAACCAACGAAGTGGCTAATATTCGTCGAAAAGTTGCCAGCTTCGATGTTCAACAATATGAATTTCGTGAAAAATTCCGTAAAGAAGTGCCTTATGCATACGATCAAACACTCGTTTACAAGAAATTGGATAAGGCAAATGCCAAAGTCACCTCTATGGAACGTGAAATGCAAGCATTGAGTAATTCAGCAGCTTTGTTCGAAGTTACTGTGCCAGACTTCAAACAGATCAAACAATGCCGAAAAGAAATCAAACTACTCAAACAACTGTGGGATTATATTAATTTAGTTCGAACACAATTCGAAGATTGGGAGAAAACCAAATGGCGTGAAATTAACGCAGAAACGGTAGGCTTTACATTCAAATTTTCATTTCATCTCACTTGTTTCTCAATGTAGATGGATCAAGAATGTAAAAAATTCGCTAAAGATATTCGAGGTAAACTTGTTTTCTATTCTTGTTTACCGTAATTCTGCATTTCTTCATCCAATTCAGGTTTGGATAAGGAAATGCGTGCTTGGAATGCTTATACCGGTCTTGATGATGCTGTGAAGAACATGATGACATCATTACGCGCTGTAACTGAACTACAAAATCCAGCAATTCGTGAACGTCACTGGCATGAATTGATGCAAGCAACCGGTGTAGAATTTGCAATGACAGATTCCACCACGTTTGCTGATCTTGTTGCTCTACGTCTCCATCAATACGAAGATGAAGTCAAAAACATCGTCGACAAAGCTGTGAAAGAAATGGCTATGGAAAAAGTCTTACGTGAATTGGATAACACATGGAAATCGATGGAATTCACCCAGGAACCACATACGCGTACAAAACTACCTTTGATTGTCGTTCAAGAAGAGTTGATTGAAGTTCTCGAAGAGAATCAAGTTCAATTGCAGAACATGTTAACATCGAAATACATTGCACATTTTCTCAAAGAAGTCACCGATTGGCAACGAAGTTTGTCTCAAGCTGATCAAGTTATTCACATACTTTTGGAAGTCCAAAAGACTTGGTCACATTTAGAATCGATTTTTATTGGCTCGCAAGATATTCGTAATCAATTACCGGAAGATTCACGACGATTCGATACGATCGATAAAGATTTCCGTGTCATTGCAGAAGAAAATGGAAAAGATCTGAACGTCGTCCGTTGCACGAATAGAGAAAAATTGAACGATCGATTAGAAGACATCAAAGCACGATTATCCCTGTGCGAAAAAGCATTAGCTGATTATTTGGAAACCAAACGATTGGCATTTCCACGGTAAAAGATATTCAGTAGAAATATTCTCAAGAAAAATTGATTTCGTTTCAGATTTTACTTCGTATCAGCTGCTGATCTTCTCGATATCTTATCGAATGGTAATGAGCCGGAAAAAGTCATGCGCCATCTAACCAAACTGTTCGATTCGATGTCGAAACTAAAATTAACCGAAGAGCGCGGACATACAACAAAGATTGCTACAGCTATGTGGGCAAAAGATGGCGAATTCATGCAATTTCCATCGTCATGTGATCTTAACGGTCAAGTTGAAGTTTGGCTTAATCGGTAAACCGATCGAAAGGAAAAGATCATTTTTATCATCATGAGACTTTGTGTTTTGTAGACTTCTCGAGAAACAATGTGAAACAGTACGACATCACTTAACTGAAGCTGTTGGTGCCTATGAAGATAAAGCACGTGACCAATGGATTATGGATTATCCTGCTCAAGTTGCCTTAACTGGTTCGCAGATCTGGTGGACTGTGGAAGTGTGTGGTGCTTTCGCCAAATTAGAAGAAGGTTACGAAAATGCTCTAAAAGATTTTTATCGTAAACAAGTCTCCCAACTGAATGCATTGATTGGACATCTACTAGGTGATTTGTCTGCTGGCGATCGACAAAAGATTATGACTATTTGTACAGTAAGTTGTTGATAGTGAACTGATTCTCTTCTGACAGTATGTTTCAATTTAGATCGATGTCCACGCTCGTGATGTGGTCACGAAACTGATAACTGCCAAATGCGAAAGTGTCAATGATTTTATGTGGCAATGTCAATTGCGACATCGATGGGATGAGAAAGAAAAGGATTGTTTTGCTAATATTTGCGATGCACAATTTCGTTATGCTCATGAATATCTCGGTAATCAACCACGTCTAGTCATTACTCCATTAACAGATCGTTGTTATATTACATTGACACAATCATTGCATTTAATTATGGGTGGTGCACCTGCTGGTCCAGCCGGTACGGGCAAAACGGAAACAACCAAAGATTTAGGACGTGCATTAGGTATTATGGTCTATGTATTCAATTGTTCCGAACAGATGGATTACAAGTCATGTGGTAATATTTATAAAGGTTTAGCTCAAACAGGTAAATACTCGTCATGTTGCGTTTTTCTTGATGATGATGAATATTTCGGGGATATCCTTTAGGTGCGTGGGGTTGTTTCGATGAATTCAATCGAATTTCCGTTGAAGTACTTTCTGTCATTGCTGTACAAGTCAAAACTATTCAAGTAAACCTTCGTAGAATCTTCATGCAGAGAAAACAAAAACTTTGTTTCCAATTCAGGATGCTATTCGAGAGAAGAAACTACGATTCTCGTTTATGGGTGAAGAAATTCGTCTCAATCGTACTGTCGGTCTATTTATTACTATGAATCCTGGTTATGCTGGTCGAACTGAATTACCTGAAAATTTGAAAGCCCTCTTTCGGTAAGATCAGTCATGTTTGATAGTCCAAGTCTAATATAGTTTTTGCTCTCTAGCCCATGCGCTATGGTCGTACCAGATTTCGATCTCATTTCTGAAATTATGATGGTCGCTGAAGGTTTCACAGATGCTCGTTTATTAGCTCGAAAATTCATCACTCTCTACTCGTTGTGTAAAGAATTGCTATCTAAACAAGTATGTGAATCGTAATCTGATCAACAATAAATACGCACTATTGATTAATATTTAGGACCATTACGATTGGGGTCTACGTGCTATTAAATCTGTCTTGGTCGTCGCTGGTTCTCTTCGACGATCGGATCCCGGCCGACCGGAAGATCAAGTGTTAATGCGCGCTTTACGTGATTTCAACATTCCGAAGATCGTCACAGATGATATGCCTGTCTTTATGGGTCTTATCGGTGATCTGTTCCCTGCACTCGATGTTCCACGTAAACGGTAAGAATATACGACCAGTTCTCTGTGTAGTTGTTATATTGTGCATGTCATTTGTAGAAATCTCGATTTCGAAAAATTAATTAAACAAGCTACTGTTGACTTGAAACTTCAACCAGAAGATTCGTTCATTTTGAAAGTTGTTCAATTACAAGAATTATTCGAAGTACGTCACTCGGTATTCATCGTTGGTAATGCTGGTACAGGCAAATCACAAATTTGGAAAGTATTGAATCGTACATATCATAATCAGAAGCGCAAACCCGTTGCTATTGATCTAAATCCCAAAGCTGTGACAAACGATGAACTTTTCGGTATTATCAATCCAGCCACCCGTGAATGGAAAGATGGTTTATTTTCTACAACTATGCGTGATCTAGCAAATGTGCAATCCGATGGTAAGAAAAACCTTGCGTTGATGTTATGTGTATCCTCTCTTTCTATTTTTTAAAGGCCCAAAATGGATTGTACTTGATGGTGATATCGATCCAATGTGGATTGAATCTTTGAATACTGTTATGGATGATAACAAAGTATTAACATTAGCCAGTAATGAACGTATTCCATTGAATCCAACGATGCGTCTTCTTTTCGAAATCAGTCATTTACGTACAGCTACACCGGCTACTGTCTCACGTGCTGGTATTCTATATATCAATCCAGCTGATCTTGGTTGGAATCCGCAAGTAGCGACATGGATTGATACGCGTGAATTAACATCTGAACGTGCAAATTTAACAATTCTGTTCGACAAATATGTTCCTATGTGTCTCGAAGCTGTTAAAGGTCGTTTCAAAAAGATCACACCTATTGTTGAAGGTGCACATATTCACATGCTGTGTCGTCTACTCGAATGTATGTTAACTCCAACAAATACACCACCTGACTGTCCAAAGGAATTGTACGAACTTTACTTCGTCTTTGCTTGTGTGTGGGCATTTGGTTCGGCGTTGTTTCAAGATCAAATCACTGATCATCGATTGGAATTTTCCAAATGGTGGGTGACCGAATTCAAATCCGTGAAATTTCCGGTTCAAGGTACCGTCTTCGACTATTATATCGACCCTGAGACGAAGAAATTCGAACCGTGGACAAAACTCGTACCAAAGTTTGTCTTAGACAGCGAAATGCCATTACAAGTAAATTTCCGTTCGAATGTTTATATCTCTCTCTATGAATTATGTTTGTCCTTTCTTCTATAGTCTGTTCTGGTACCAACCGCAGAAACAACTCGTATTCGATATTTCATGGATTTACTTCTAGTGAAAGGATGGCCAATTATGTTAGGTAAGAATTTTCCCCTAGAGTTCTTTTGATTTTTCATATGGAATTTAGTTGGTAATGCCGGTTGCGGTAAAACTGTACTGATCAATGATAAATTGGCATCTCTCAACGAAGACTGGCTCGCTGTATCTGTTCCATTTAACTTCTATACCACCAGTGAAATGCTTCAAGGAATTCTAGAAAAACCTTTGGAAAAGAAAGCTGGCCGAAACTATGGTCCACCCGGTAGCAAAAAGATCATCTATTTCATTGACGATATGAACATGCCCGAAGTATGAGCTCATTAATTATTTACTCAAATATGACTGTATCGCTTTTTTTCAGGTCGATCAATACTATACATGTCAACCACACACACTTCTTCGTCAACATTTGGATTATAAACATTGGTATGATCGTCAGAAACTAACCTTGAAAGAAATTCACAATTGCCAGTACGTAAGCGCAATGAATCCAACCGCTGGTTCATTTACAATTGATACACGCTTGCAACGTCACTTCGCTGTATTTGCTGTGTCATTTCCTGGCATGGAAGCTTTGGAGACCATCTACGTTGGTATCTTATCTCAACATTTAGCCGAAGGCTTTGCGCAGACAGTACAAAAATATACCTTAAATCTTGTTCGTGGTGCATTGGAACTTCATCGCCGTATCACAGCATCATTTTTACCAACAGCTATTAAATTTCATTACATATTCAATCTCCGAGATTTATCAAACATATTTCAAGTTTGTTTATTAAGATGAATCAAGATGAATATTCGATTCTTTTCCCTCTTTAGGCCATTCTCTTTGCGAAACCCGATGCTATCAAAACACACAACGATTTGATTCGACTCTATCTTCATGAATCTGAACGTGTCTATTGTGATAAATTAGTCGACCGAACGGATATTGATACATTTACAAAGTTGCAACGCGATGTCGCGAAGAAATCATTCGAAGTATATATACGCACATGTATTTTCTTATTCGATTTTTCAAATTCTCTTTAGGAAATCGACGAAGAATTCGTTTTCAAAAAACCGAACATCTTCTGTCACTTTGCATTAGGTGTTGGTGATCCGAAGTATATGCCGATCGACAATTGGCCACATTTACAAAAATTATTGAATGACGCTCTCGATGCCTACAATGAACTGAATGCACAAATGAACTTAGTGCTGTTCGAAGATGCTATGACACATGTCTGTCGAATCAATCGTATATTAGAAGCACCACGTGGTAATGCTCTTCTGATCGGTGTCGGTGGTAGTGGTAAACAAAGTNATGACGCTCTCGATGCCTACAATGAACTGAATGCACAAATGAACTTAGTGCTGTTCGAAGATGCTATGACACATGTCTGTCGAATCAATCGTATATTAGAAGCACCACGTGGTAATGCTCTTCTGATCGGTGTCGGTGGTAGTGGTAAACAAAGTTTAGCTCGATTAGCAGCATCGATTAGTTCATTGGAAGTGTTTCAAATTACACTTCGAAAAGGTTAGGTCTTATTGAATATTTCAACAGTATTCTTTGATTATTTGGTTTTAGGTTATAGCATTGCTGATCTGAAAACCGATTTAGGAGCATTGTATATCAAAGCTGGGCAGAAAGGCATTGGAACCGTGTTTCTCATGACGGATTCTCAAGTGGCTGATGAGAAATTTCTGGTTTTAATTAACGATATGCTTGCATCAGGTGAAATTCCAAGTCTATTCGCTGATGACGCTATCGAGGAAATCATCGGCGCAATGAGAAATGAAGTCAAATCGCAAGGTATTGATGACACTCGCGAAAATATTTGGAAATATTTCATCGAAAAAGTTCGACGTAATCTAAAAGTAACGAATATCATCTTTTGCTTGTTGAGCTAAGAACTCATCGATGAATATAATAGGTCGTTTTGTGCTTCTCGCCCGTCGGTACAACTCTTCGAGTCCGATCACGAAAATTTCCAGCTATTACAAATTGTACTTCCATCGATTGGTATCACGAATGGCCAGAAGTATGAATGAACCTATTTCTCTAATTTATATTCTCCCCTGTTTCTCGTTTTAGGAAGCTTTGATCTCTGTCGCCAATCGGTAAGTTAAATATTTATCTTTTCGATAACTTTCATTTCTGCATTGATTAGATTCGTTGCTGACGTTGACACGCTCAAACCTGAACTGAAAGATTCCGTTGCCAAATTTATGGCTTTTGTACATAAAACTGTCAATGAAATGAGTGTTGCTTATCTCATGGTAAATTAGTCATCTAGTTGTCTATTTTCATCACGCGAATCTTCGTCTTTCTAGAACGATAAACGATACAATTACACAACACCGAAATCGTTTCTTGAGCAAATTACTCTATATAAAAACTTGTTATCAAAGCAAAATCGTGATCTACAAGACAAAATCATTCGTTTAGAAAGTGGTCTGGTTAAATTACAATCGTGTGCTCGACAAGTCGACGATCTAAAAGAAAAACTTGCTGCACAGGAAGTCGAATTAAAACAGAAAAACGACGATGCTGACAAACTGATTAAGGTTCGTTTCTTGTGCAAAGAATATCTTCTGGAAAAACTTGAATTCCTTTCTAGGTGGTTGCTACCGAAACGGCAAAGGTAACGAAAGAAAAAGAAGCCGCCGGTGTTGAACAAGCTAAAGTCGTCGAGATCGAGAAAGTTGTCACAGTGAAAGCAGAAGATTGCGAACGTGATTTAGCACGTGCTATGCCTGCTCTACGAGCTGCCGAAGAAGCTTTGAACACACTGGATAAAAATAGCTTAACGTATGTATTTGAAGAAAAGCAAAGAACGCATGAATTTATATCCTATTCTATTCTAGTGAAATGAAAGCCTTCCCTAATCCACCAGAAGCTGTACTTAAAGTCGGTGCTGCTGTGCTGTGTTTAATGCCACCGGGTGGTAAAATTCCTCGACCGAATCAACGTGATTGGAAAGCGTGTAAAGCGAACATGGGAAACGTCGATCAATTTCTTCGTAAGTCGAAACTTGAGAGTGGGAATAATGTTAAAAATAAATTTTGATTTATGCAGAAGCATTGAAAACATACGATAAAGAACATATTCGTGATGATATGCGTCGTGAAGTCAAAGTTTATATTGATGATCCAGATTTCGATCCTGAGAAGATTCGAACGAAATCATTTGCTGCTGCTGGTCTTTCCGCTTGGGTTATCAACATTCTCCTGTAAGTTATTTCTTTGTTCATCGGCGGCGAAAGCATCATTATGATTTTGGTCAATGTAGATTTTATGAAGTTTATTGTGAGGTCGAGCCTAAACGCTTAGCCTTGGAAAAAGCCAATGCAGAATTAAAAGCTGCTCGAGATAAATTAGATTCAGTCAATCGACAAGTTGCGGTATGTTATTTCGCAGTGGGTCGAACTTTTCTCCATCGAGATTGTTTCTATTTTAGCAACTGGAACAAGCTCTGGCGAAATTAACAGCTGAATATGAAGTTGCTATGGCTGCTAAACAAAAATGTCAAGATGAAGCTGATCGTACAGCATATACCATCAACTTAGCTAATCGTCTAGTGAACGGTCTTGCATCGGAAAATGTCCGTTGGCGTGAATCTGTTGCTGGTTATCGAAAATCGGAAGAAACAACGCCAGGAGATGTGCTACTGATTACAGCTTTCGTTTCATACGTCGGTTGTTTCACTAAAGCCTATCGAGTTGATCTCATGGAACATCATTGGAGACCACACTTATCTGCATTAAAAGTAACATTTCTATCAGGATCACGTATTTTCAATACGAATCAAATGATTTTCTTCCATCTAGACTCCAATTCCTGTTACTGCTGGTATTGATCCATTGACGTTAGTCGTCGATGATGCCATCGTTGCTGGATGGAATAATGAAGGTTTACCATCGGATCGTATGTCTACTGAAAACGCCACAATTCTTACTATTTGCGAACGTTGGCCATTGATGATTGATCCTCAATTGCAAGGCATCAAATGGATTAAACAACGTTACGGTGAACGCTTGAAAGTTATTCGCTTGGGACAAAAAGGTTATCTCGATAAGATTGAACAAGCTATTGCAAGCGGTGAAACTCTTCTCATTGAAAACATCGATGAATCCATCGAAGCTGTACTCGATCCATTGCTTGGCCGAAATACTATTCGTAAAGGCCGTGCTATCCGATTAGGTGATAAAGAAATTGAATATCATCCAGATTTTCGTCTTATCCTACAAACAAAACTTGCCAATCCACATTATAAACCTGAAATGCAAGCTCAAACGACACTGATCAACTTTACGGTCACAAAGGATGGTTTGGAAGATCAATTGTTAGCCGATGTCGTAGCTAAAGTAAGCGAAATTGTTCAATAGGTTTCTTTGTCATCGATCGTTTCTCTTGATAGGAACGTCCTGATCTCGAACGATTGAAATCGGATTTGACAAAACAACAAAATGAATTCAAGATCACATTGAAACGTCTAGAAGATAACCTTTTAGCTCGTCTATCATCGGCTGGTTCGAATTTTCTTGGCGACACGGAACTTGTCGAGAATTTGGAAAATACCAAACGAACAGCGACTGAAATCGAAGAAAAAGTCGGCGAAGCTAAAATTACTTCAGTGAAGATCGACGAAGCTCGTGAATTATACCGTCCCGCAGCAGCACGCGCCAGTTTGATCTACTTTATCATGAACGATCTTTGCCGTATCCATCCGATGTATCAATTCTCATTGAAAGCATTCAAAGTTGTGTTCGCCAATGCAATCGAAAAGGCAGAACCATCGGAAGATGTTAAAGCACGTGTACACAATCTCATCGATTCGATTACATACTTCACATTCATTTATACAACTCGTGGTCTATTCGAAAAACACAAACTTATCTTCACATCACAAATGTCATTCTTGGTAAGTCAACTCTGCGTTGAGTTCGATGACTTGTCAACTAGCTTTGCTTAGATTCTGCTCGCATCGAAAGAAATCGATCCGAAAGAATTAGATTTTCTTCTTCGTTATCCAGTCACACCCAATGTTATTTCGCCCGTTGACTTTCTCAACGATATTTCATGGGGTGGAATCAAATCGTTGTCATCTATGAATGAATTTACCAATCTCGATCGAGATATCGAAGGTTCGGCAAAACGATGGAAGAAATATGTGGAAATGGAAGCGCCAGAAAAAGAAAAACTACCACAAGAATGGAAAAACAAAACACCTTTACAAAAACTGTGTATGATGCGAGCACTTCGACCTGATCGTATGCTCTATGCGCTAAGGTAAGAGAAAGCTATTTGATAATTTGTTTTCTGCACGCTTTCATCTATGCTTTTGTTTAGTTTATTCGTCGAAGAGAAATTAGGCAAACAGTTTGTTGAGAATCGTGCAGTGCCATTCACTAAATCATATGAAGAAACAAATACAACAACACCAGTATTCTTCATCCTTTCACCAGGTGTCGATCCAATCAAAGATGTCGAAGCACTTGGCAAAAAACTAGGCTTCACATCCAACCAAAAGACATTCCATAACATTTCACTTGGTCAAGGTAAACTAATCAAGCAAATCACTTCATGTTAATTCTTGTGCAAATTTTCAGGTCAACAAATTGTCGCAGAAGAAGCTATGGATGTGGCAGCCAAGGATGGACACTGGGTTGTCTTACAGAACATTCACTTAGGTAAGTAACAATGACAAACACGATAGCCTCTTACAGAATCTTTCTCATTGATATCGATAGTATCAAGTTGGCTACCACAGTTAGAAAAGAAACTAGAACAATGTTGGGAAATGGGTCATGAAAACTTTCGTATATACATGTCTGCTGAACCATCAGCTGATCCATCTGGACATTGTATCCCCCAAGGTATTCTCGAGTCTGCTGTGAAAATGTAAGTTGAAATGCATGGATGAAAGAATGATTTTTATTGATGTCGTACTTGTGGTTTTTTTTAGTACGAACGAACCACCAACAGGAATGCAGGCGAATTTACATAAAGCCTTGGATTTGTTCAACCAAGATACGTTGGAAATGTGTGCAAAAGAAACCGAATTCAAATCGATTTTATTTGCACTTTGTTATTTCCATGCTGTTGTAGCTGAACGGTAAGAAATGTGATTTCTGACGAGGAAGGAAGATCATCGGCAATCTTTTCTAGACGTAAATTCGGTGCTCAAGGTTGGAATCGAAACTATCCATTCAATAACGGTGATTTGACAATTTCTGTCAACGTACTTTACAACTATTTGGAGGCCAATTCCAAAGTACCATGTAAATATTGACTGAAACTTCTCTTTTCTATCACTTATTCGCCGTAATCGATTTCAGGGGAAGATCTTCGATATTTATTTGGTGAAATTATGTATGGTGGTCACATTACTGACGACTGGGATCGTCGTCTGTGTAAAACATATCTCGAAGAATACATGAATGCACAAATGGTAACTAAACATTTTTGATGAAATCTTTCTCCATTCTATACATCTTTAGTTCGATGGCGAACTCCTTCTTGCTCCTGGTTTTCCTATTCCACCAGCAACTGATTACAAAGGCTATCATGCCTACATTGATGAATATCTTCCGCCAGAATCACCCTACTTGTATGGCTTACATCCCAATGCTGAAATTGATTTTCTAACGACAACTAGTGAAAACTTATTCAAAACTGTGCTGGAAATGCAGCCACGTGACACAGGTGCGGGAGCCGGTGGTGAAGGTTCAGGAATGACTCGTGAAGAAAAGATCAAAGCGAAACTGGATGAAATCTTAGATAAATTACCAGACGAATTTCCTGTTCGAGAACTTTATGCTAAAGCTGAAGATAAAACTCCGTATACAGTCGTTGCTTTACAAGAATGTGAACGTATGAACATCTTAACACGAGAAATGAGACGATCATTGAAAGAATTGAACCTTGGTCTCAAAGGTGAACTAACCATTACTGCTGATATGGAACAATTACAAGATGCTCTATTCTTCGAGCAAGTACCAGCAGCATGGACGAAACGTGCTTATCCGTCCATGTACAGTCTTGGTTTGTGGTATAGCGACTTGTTATTACGTATTCGTGAGTTGGAAATGTGGACAAACGATTTTCAACTACCAGCAGCTGTCTGGCTTGGCGGTCTGTTCAATCCTCAATCATTTTTAACAGCTATTATGCAAACGACTGCACGTAAGAATGAATGGCCTCTGGATAAAATGTGTCTATCTGTCGATGTAACAAAAAAGACGCGAGAAGAATTAGGTGGTGCACCAAGAGAAGGTGCTTATGTTCATGGTCTATATATGGAAGGCGCCCGATGGGATACACAAACCGGTCAACTAAGCGAATCAAGATTGAAAGAATTAACACCGATGATGCCTGTTGTCTTCGTTAAAGCTATACCAGGTAAAAAGCGTTTGCTTGAAGTTTTGAGTTAAATGACGAACGTTGATTTTTAGTCGATCGTCGTGAAACGAAGAATATTTATGAATGTCCAGTCTACAAAACTAAACAACGAGGTCCCACATTCGTTTGGACATTTAATTTACGTACCAAAGAAAAACCAGCTAAATGGATCTTAGGTGGTGTTTGTCTTCTATTAGCTGTGTGAGCTTTCTCTTAGTTTACTGTTCATATAAACTTCGTCGTCTATGTATTATTATAATTATATTTTTGTTAATGAATAAATATTCATTTGTCTGAAACAATGCGTTTGTTTCAATGACGCTGTTCCGTAGATAAATTACATAATATGAACCAGTAAAAGTGCTTCTTCTCAAAACGCTTTTATTTTTCAAGTAATTACTGGAGAAAATATAAAAGTTACGAAGTATATAAAATATCGATGGAATAAGGAATTCTTTTTCTGCATGATATTTATCTGTTGGGTTGTTTTTCTCCTGACTGTACAGTACAGCACGAGAAATCAGACGATTCTCTTTTAAGTATGCATCAATACAACAGAATGAATCGCCTTAGGGATCAGTTTAGGTAGGAAACTTCTGGCACAGCTGTGCACTTATTTCACCCATATGATTAGCTGGTGGAATGGTTCGTACTGATATCGATATTAATTATATGGGTTGAACCGCCATCCAGTTCACACGTGTGATTCAATAGACGTATCAATACAAGTAAAAGCAAGATTGCAATTAACATTTGATTTCTATATAGTCCGGAACAAATCGTCTTATCTTTGCATATAACCTTACTGATTCACTTTAGGATCCTCCAAATAATCATATACTCTATCATGAAGATCAAAGAGGTGAATATTCATTATCTTTGTAAGCATGTAGTGATCCACCATTGGAAAGTAAATTCGCATCCTTGGATTATTTCAATATACAATTAAATAACGTACGTCCTCACGTTTTCATCTTCTATTCATTTCCGAGCTCAAATTTTCCTCAGTCCATTATTCCAGCAACAGATACGACTTATTATTGCAAAGTTTACAAAGCACCATCTATCTACATTACAAAAAAGCATGTTGTTGTTGCTGTATGTATTCTATTTTTGCGTTCTTATTTTTGTCTCCTAAATAATTGAGTTCCTTTAATATAAAGTCTTGTTTAATGCAACTGATCCAACACTTGTTCATCATTTGCTGCTATATGACTGTGATCCATTAGCACAATTCAATGATTCAAACTTACCGAGCGATCTATGTTCAAATATGCTTCTTGAAACGTATATGTGTATGTCAAATATTGCTGGCGGTTGGGTAGTTGGTGGAGTTTTTACGTCATTGAAATGCATTACAACAATTCAAGACGATATATGAGTGAGTATTCTGTTGAAGGTAAAATTCGATTGATTTTGAACTAGATTGTAAAGACAGTTCAGACGTTCGATTTGATGTAACTGACCAGTTCCGACAATACGATATTGGTTATCTCACGCTGGGAACTGATGCGAGTTCACTTAGTCGAACGAACCTAGCACGAATGGATAATTTCATCGTCAATTCATATTGTTCAACCGTTGCTACGGCAGCAAGTAACAGCGAAAAGGCGACGTTTTCGAGGAAGTTAACTGAATTAGAGAAAGACATGGCTGCCTTTATAAGCGCGGATTATTCGTTTTTCCATTTTCGAAAATGTATCTTTTTTCCACAGGGGAGCGAAAGAACAATAGATGAAATGTTTCTTCACATGTTTACATATTTTCTCTGATTGAATGATGTATTCGCGTGTGTGTCTATCATTCACCAGACTGGATGGATAAATTTCTTGCAAATATTTACGAGATATTACACATGATTTATCTACTACTTTAATAAATAATGATTTCAGTTTATGGTAAAGAATAATTCTGTTTATTATGCTAGCTGCTACATCTACTGCATAGCAAGGATACGAATAGTATATAATATCCATTCTTTTCTTGTACTTTGAGCTTATATTTTATTCATTCTTTCAATCTCGGAACAAAATAAATCTTTTCTAAATCCTAATACTCTTATACGGTTCCGATGCATAACCCCGACATGTTTCTTCAAATTATTAAACATTTTCATAAATGTCTGTGTTACCACTTTGTAAATCGAGTACTTTCCCACGAAGCACTTTCAAACAACAAGTATATAATGAATTAACATATCATATTTAATGCAGTCCGTTCCCCGCAAACTAGCATATTCTACATGATATCTCAATTAAATGTAAAAATATCACACCTCGAACACCTTCAGTTCATTTTCATCTCAGTGGAAAGTATCTTCAAAATACATTTCCTACTCAGACGTTTTTCCAAGAACTATATTGTAAACGCTTTATCCTGTGCGCGTCAGTGTCCTCGATGGCAGAGCATGACAAATTTGTAAACCTGATTATATAAAGTATTGAAAAGACATGTTTTCAGCTGATCTCTTCAATATATCAGGTAGAAAGATAAAAGGCATATCTAACAGACATGCAAATAGAAGAAGAGATGTTCGTTTTCACGCTTCACACATAATTGATCGACAATTATCATACATTTTATTTTATTGAGGTATAACGATGAATTATTTGTTCGTATCAATCATTAATATCTTGTATGTCTTTTTTTAGATGTGTTCTCTGCTTTTTATCACATCACTTGAATATGAATAGGATCATTAACGACAAATTTATTCTCGTGTATGATAAGCAGCATCGAACCGGTTTCAAATTGACCTTGAACTCAATATTCCCGGATTAATTCTGAGAGCAGCGTAGTTACATTTAGATTAAAAAAGCTAATCAGCAGAATAACTGGCAAATACTCATTTTCTTTTCTATCCAAAACGATTACTCTAATTCTCCTTTCATGATAAAATAAAACTCTTTGTCAAATAAAAAATACATTATGTTTATATTTAATAATTTCTGCTTAACTCATCATCTGACAGCAGTTCTTCTCTGACGTCCTATAAACATTTAGGCCATTTCTACTATGTATAGTTTTACTATCGTCTTGATGTTTATTCTCACAACTAATTATGAGCACCCTAAGGCCAAGACGGTTGAGAAAGATCTTTGACACCGATCATTGTCTTTTGGACACCTCACGTGATCTGTTCGAGGAAATGCATCGACAAGAGCATCACCTGAAATTTCCTCTTTCTTCTTAAGCTTACGCACACATCTACCTACAAAATGACGAGAAGAAAAGAGAGGGAGAGAGAGAAATTAAGCAATAAACGAGTAGTTTTTTCCTCTTTCATACTTTTACAGATAACATTTATGGTCGATTGCATCGACAATATTTTGTCTCGTTTAAGATTTTTCTCGGCAAATTTGGTTTTATGCTTCCCTTTTCTTACACATTAGCACTTCATTCAATGACGCATAAATTCTACGGTAAGGTAGAACTGTCTAGTCAGAATTCGTTTTGCTCTAACCTTTGACCACCTCCCATTTGCTCATCAAGAGAGTGATTTAATCGATTAAATCATGCAAAAATATCAAGATCATGTGAGTAGTTCAACTGAGAAGATCATGAGATTGGTGAATATATGCCTCGGAGAACATTCATGTGTGAAATGAGCACTTTGCACTGGAACTCATGCGTCATTGAAGGAAATCAACATGAATTCGATAGACGAGTTCGGAAATTTACATAATTACTAATAAAGCCCGGAAATATGACTATTCGGTAGTTTAATGAATCTCTACAGGCAATGAAGCTGAGTGTTATTGAGAAGGATGTTGACTCTTATGTTGAAAACTCGTACCCATTGCGTCACTTTCTTTTATATCATCAATCGAAAATGAGAAGAACCTTGGCACATCGGAAAATTGTTTTTTTCTAATCTGAAAATTTTGTGCTTTTATGATAATTAATCTTCCTGTTTACATGATTAGCTATTCAACTCTGAAAGCGTTGGGCAAAAAAAAAGCTCGCTTCGTTATAATCAGATAGAGTCGCTTGTTAATCGTGTCATATCATAGTGGGTGTACAAAAACCTATTGTGTTATTTTCATATAAATGCGCGCATTGACGTGCGCAGCTTGCGCGTCGTTCTATTCTTTTCTTTTGCACAAAAGAAGAAATAGCGATATGATATTTAGTGATTCGACGACAATCTAATGTATATAAAAATGTGAAGAGTATAACGTCATAGAAAAAAGTTTGTTTTTGGAACGCATTGTGTTTTGCTCGTTGCCAAATGAACACACACTTCTGAGTATAGCACCGCATAGTGACTGTAGTAAGTTTGACTTCTTTTTCTGTCCTTTGTAAAACAGAATAATAAAAATAATAGGAGTATGTTAAATTATACATCTAATGTTAGCCTTGTTGTTTCAGTTAACGATTCACTGAGTGCATTAGTCGACCGAGAATAAAAATAGAAAATAGATTCCGAAAATCTCTTCGGCATTCTTTTGATTTCTTTCTTTTTTCTCTTTTCTAACACTATTTTATATGAAATTATATAGAAAAAAAAAACGTCGCTAGTTCAGGCTCGCCACTGTAACGATCATCTAAGCCTGCTCTAATGAGTCGCATTTACAGAGAAGAACGGTAACCGGATGTTTGCATTTGTTTGAGAAAAGAAATTTTCAGTTTTTCTCTTCAACATGTTTTTCAAGAGACTGTTCAGGTACAACGGAAACAGAAGGCTCATACATGCCCGCAAAACTATTCGAGAAAAAAAAGTTCTCGCTAACAGGAATCACATCGTTAGTTGAATTCTATTAGAATGCACCAGTACATTCTTCATTACACATCTGCGTTTATTATGATTTAGATACATCGTTGCAAGTGAAATTAATAACCTGACTTACTAAACAAAACAGCGTAGGAGGATATCAATACAAAGCGAGTATGTTCTAGGATCGAGTACAATGTGTTAGAGTCTGAAGATAAAATTACCCACCTACGTATTTAATTCTTTGAGTTTTATACCTATAAGGTTTGTAGGCGTGAGCTTAGAAAAATAGCTTTGATTGCTGTTCTTTATTTTTGTTTTCGTGTTTGCAGATTTGAAAAAAAAACCTCGCGACAACAATTGATGAAATTTGGAAATGTTTAGAATGTTCTTGACGTGCATTGCATGAAAAGGAAGATGGAATAAAGCGAAATAAGATTATTTCATGAGCAAATCAATTGGAAAAGATGACAACACATATAATCAGTAAG